ATCTACCATATCCAGCTGCCTTGGCCATAACGTTAACTTCCCTTCTGCCTGTCAGAGGCACTCACCTTGTACCCAAGAAGATAGTCACAGCACTGTCCAAAAATGACATTATTTCAGAGTTCAGGATCTCAAGGTGGACTTTTGTATCAGGCCTCAAGAGAGACGTAGGAACTACACAGACGAGTTACGTCACCTCACACATCCAGCCAGCACTGGGACAGGCAGGGTGATTCTCCAGTATTGCCTAGTAAATGATAGGGGAGTTTACTCTCCCTTTATCTCTCTCTCTCTCTCTCTCTCTCTCTCTTTTTTTTTTTTTTTTTTTTTTTTGACAGAGTTAGAGAAAGAGAGAAAGGTCTTCCTTCCGTTGGTTCACCCCCCAAATGGCCGCTACAGCCAACGTGCTGCGCCAATCTGAAGCCAGGAGCCAGGTACTTCCTCCTGGTCTCCCATGTGTGTGCAGGGCCCAAGCAGTTGGGCCATCCTCCACTGCACTCCTGGGCCACAGCAGAGAGCTGGACTGGAAGAGGGGCAGCCGGGCCTAGAACTCGGGGTGCCGGTGCCACAGGCAGATTAGCCTAGTGAGCCGCGGCACCGGCCTACTCTCCCTTTATGTAATCAACCCTGGCCATTTCTGAAGTGGGCACTGGAGAGTATGCCCTTGTGAGCAGCCTTCTCGGTGTGGGGACCCCAGATCTTGCATAGTCTTGTTTGTTTGTTTGTTTATTTGAAAGGAGAAGCAGAGAGTGAGAGAGAATCTTCCATCTGCTGGTTCACTCCCCCAAATGTCTGCAACAACTGGGGCTGAGCCCTGCTGAAGCCAGGGGCCTGAAACTCCAATGGGTCTTTCACATAGATATCAGGGTCCCAAGTACTTGGGCCATCTTCTGCTGCTTTCCCAGGTGCATTAACAGGGAGCTGGATCAGAAGTGGAGCAGTGGGGACTGGTAAGATAGACACATAGAGAGGACACAATACAAGAAGTAGAATCAGGAGCCAGCGCTGTGGCATAGCACATAGCATAGCCTGCAGCACTGGCATCCCATATGGGTACCAGTTTGATACCCAGCTGTTCCACTTCTGATCCAGCTCTCTGCTATGGCCTGATGTTGCAGTTGATTTCTCAACAATGTTGCAGTGAATTCATTTCCGAGAGGAGGAATGTGGTGGGGGCAAGAGGCGTAGAGTCACCACACAGACCCTGGGAGTCAGGTGAAAGCAGGCCTGAGGCGAGCAGCCCACAGACTCGTTTATTTTAGTTGGTACCACATCTTACATAGCCAAGACCAGACAATCTGGTCAAGGGGCGGTCTATGCCCCAACCAATCACAGCCTGTTGCCAGGCAGTTTCCAGAGCCATCCAATCACAGCCTGTTGCCAGGCAGGCTCTGTTGCCAGGTGGGTTTCAAAGCCATTCCTGAGTAACTAATGCTCGCTTGCCAGTGGCCACCTTGGCTTGGCCTTCTCATTCCACCACATTTCCCCCTTTTCGTTTATTTTTGAGCAACGGGAGGCATGATTCTTGGCCATACCATTGTTCACCCCGTTTCCATGTGGTCTCCGTACACAGCTGTGCCTGTCTTAGGTTGTCCCCCAGGGGATCTTACCCGTCATTGACTAACCAGCGCTCAAATCGAGAGACCACAGGATTGCTTGCTCAGATAGGGGTAGGAATGAGGAATAATGATTATCAGGAATGGCATGACCGCACACAGGCAGTGGGCCGTTTGAGTGGCTGACCAGAGCTAGTGGGGTACAAAACAGTAACAGATGTGGCTATGGGCAGTTTCTCAGGGTAGGATGATAGGGCTAACAAGGTAGTCTCGGTCTTGTTCAGCTGGTTCTGGTTGGCTGTCAGTTGCAGGCTTGATGTTTCTGGCTGGTACCCAAAAGGGCTGTTCCGCATTCTCTGGAAAGACACAAGCATATCCTCAACCTTTGGTTAGCAGAAGCCTTTTTACAGGCATTGGAATCCAGGGCCTGAATTTTGCAAACACTTTATGACATTTACAGCAAACATGTGGGTGGGATGGGGTCTAGCAGCTTCCCTGAGAGCTTGGGGTGTCCGAGTACTGCCACAAATGTGGGGATCCGCACTGGGTGCGGATGGGATGACCTCGCATGAGTTATTGTCTAGAGGTCTTAGTTCATCCCACAGGTATGTGGGGGGTGGCTGACTAGGCATTGCTACCTTGTTTGCTACATTGTTATTTTCACTGTCAGAGCTCTCTCTCCCTAAGTCATCAACTGTTGTCTGTGAGACAGGGACCTGGAGTGTCAGGCTCTTATCACTCACAGATTCACTGTTTGGTAATCTGTTTGCGCTTCTGAGAGGGGGGTATCTTTCCCATGTCTGAGCGCTTAAGAGCGGCATGGCACGCCAACTCTAGCCAAAGGAAAGACACCCACAGCACTGCTGCCGTAACAAAGCAAATTCCTAGCACCTCAGCTGTTGATGGCATTTTGCAGGAGGTTTCCCTACGTTAGACAAACAGATAGTGGCGCATCAGATCCTAAGTATGTCCTGTGCTTAGTGGGGGACTAAGCACACAGTGTCTCCGGAGCGTCACCTCTCCCAACTGAGGGAAGATGACTTGGTTCCAAATTCTGGGATGATCAGTCCCTTATGTGAATTCGCCGGGCGAACCGAAAGTAAAAGGAGCTGAGAAGCGACGTACGCTTCTGGGCAGTGTGTGCTAACCTGGGGTCACTTAGACCGAGGACAAGGACAAGAAAAGGGGTGTAGGAGGGGGTTCTGTGCTCACCCTCACAGAACCGAACAGCACACAAAACACCGAGGGGCCTTCTTGCCAAAATCCAGGGGGGACCTTGCTGAGTCCGACACACTGTCTCTCTCTGTCACATTGGCGCACCAGATGTTGCTGTGCATTTGTTTCTGAGAGGAGGAGTGTGGTGGGGGCAAGAGGCACGGAGTCACCACACACACCCCTGGAGTCGGGTGAAAGCAGGCCTGAGGCGAGCAGCCCACAGACTCGTTTACTTCAGTTGGTACAACATCTTATATAGTCAAGACCAGCCAATCTGGTCAAGGGGCGGTCTGTGCCCCAACCAATCCCAGCCTGTTGCCAGGCAGTTTCCAAAGCCATCCAGTCACAGCCTGTTGCCAGGCAGGCTCTGTTGCCAGGTGGGTTTCAAAGCCATTCCTGAGTAACTGATGCTCACTTGCCAGTGGCCACCTAGGCATGGCCTTCTCATTCCACCACAGCCTGGGAAAGCAGCAGAAGATGGCCCAAGTCCTTGGACCCCTGCACCCACATGGGAGACCAGGAAGAAGCTCCTGGTTCCTGGCTTTGGATCAGCTCTGCTCCAGCGGTTGTGGCCATTTGGGGAATGAACCAGCAGATGGAAGATCTCTCTCTCTCTCTCTCTCTCTACTTCTGCCTCTCTGTAACTCTGCCTTTAAAATAAATAAATAAATAAATATTTTTTTTAAAAAAGTAGAATCAGATGGTGTCCATGAAAATAAAGAAAAAAACAACATTGAGTGAGGTGAGTCATGAAATGATCAGGAGCAGGAAATGAAGGAGGGATTGGGGGTTGGGGTGCTTGTTGCCCTGGCTTCAGCAACTCATCTTCATGCTGAAGAGAACTAATCTACATGAGGATTCAGTGGACAAGTATGAATGCTGATGTTTAGAAATAAACCTGGCCGGCGGTGCAGCTCACTAGGCTAATCCTCCGCCTTGTGGCACCGGCACACCAGGTTCTAGTCCCAGTCGGGGCGCTGGATTCTGTCCCAGTTGCCCCTCTTCCAGGCCAGCTCTCTGCTGTGGCCCAGGAGTGCAGTGGAGGATGGCCCAAGTGCTTGGGCCCTGCACCCCATGGGAGACCAGGAGAAGCACCTGGCTCCTGCCATCGAATCAGCGCAGCGTGCCAGCCACAGCGGCCATTGGAGGGTGAACCAACAGCAAAAAGGAAGGCCTTTCTCTGTCTCTCTCACTGTCCACTCTGCCTGTCAAAAAAAAAAAAAAAAGGAAGGAAGGAAGAAAGAAAGAAACCTAGAAAGAAACCTACAAGGGGGCCAGTGCTGTGGCGCAGCGGGTTAAATCCCTGGCCTGAAGTGCTAGCATCCCATATGGGCGCCTGTTCAAAACCTGGCTGCTCCACTTCTGATCCAGCTCTCTGCTATGGCCTGGGAAAGCAGTAGAAGATGGCCTAAGCCCTTGGGCCCCTGCACCCACGTGGGAGTGTTGGGCACCAAAAAATATGTTGTGCCCAGATCATTAGATCCCCGCAGAGACCCCCAGAGAGTCGATCACACCGAACTGCAAAAGCAAGGTTTATTCAGGAGTACAAGCCACGACAGGGACCCCATCCAACCAACCAGCACAGCGGAGGAAGGAGTGAGGCCCCGGTCTTTGTTAGGGAGAGTTTTTAAAGGACAAAAGGGGCTACATCAGCAGGAAAAAAGAGTTACATACAACACGGAAGCTTTGGGCGCAGGGAGTTACAGTGGGGGTTTACAGCACGGGAGCTTTGGGCGCAGGGAGTTACTCTGTTCAGCAGTCTCTACTGTGCTGTCCTTGGTCTACCAAGCTAGCTGTCCCTGGTAAGCTTTGATACCTCTGGAATGCCTGAATGCCTGCTTTTACAAGGACTCGGGTCTGCTATGGGAAACGAGGCTGCTTTTTTTATTGTTTTAAAATGGAGTCACTTTGGTTCTTCATTCCCCCCTTGTTTTTGTACATGTTTGAAAAACCCAATCATGGGTTTTGGACTGACATTTTATAGGTTTTACAAACATTTAAGGGTTTATATTGGGACCATTGGACCATTAATTGAATGGTTCCCAATCTCTGTTTTATAAACTGTACAAGTTTATTAACAATGCAAGGGCCAAACGTTAAAATTAAAATCAGGAGAACAAGGGGCCCTATGAGTCCTGATAGTAGGGTGGCTTGCCATGGGGATGCATTGAACCAAGACTCAAACCACCCCTGAGAGACCTCCTGTTCTTTTTTTTTTTTTTTTTTTGCCAGCCGCTTCCTGACCTTAGCCAGCCGTGTTATCTTTTATTAGGCCCGAGTGATGGGCGTAAAAGCAGCATTCTTTCCCAGAGTGGCTCACAGCCCACCACATCAGTCCCAGAAGTCCAAGAGGTGCAGAGGGATGACGATCCGTCTTCAGAGCCACCCCTGCTGACGTGGAGCAACGAGGCACTCTGCGCTGCCACGGGGCGATGTCTTAAGCCGCTGTCTCCTGGGTGGGGAGCCGAGCACATTCCTGTAGTAGCATTTGGTTGACCGCCTGGTTGCCAAAGGCCTTGGTTTGCTCCATTACCAGCTGTAAACACTTAAACAGACACTGTAGTATAGAGACAGGGTGAGAATAAAGCAGCTTCCAGCAAAACTGGGAGAAAAGCCACTCATTAGTGTGGGAGAGGATTACCAGTACACACATGTTGGGAGTATAAACGGCGATCTACTACCGAGAACAAAGAATTTACAGAAATCCTCAGCGTTTAATTTCTGCTCTACTTTTATACACAGAATAATGACTAGCTATCTGCAGCAGGTCTTTTAACTTTTTAACTTTGTGCATTTACTTTTCCCGAACAAGGCGGAGCTGCTGCTGCTACGTGTAACTGAGACAGTAGTTGATATTTAATAGGAAACACTGCTCACAGAACTGTACTCCCTACTAGCCAAATTTACCTAATAATGAATTATCCTGATAATGGAGAGTAGATACCATATGCACTAATTATACAGATGTTAAAGTCACGGTTTTAAACAAGGTAATTACATTTTGAAGTACACTATTTACAGTAATACTGTTTAAGAGATACTACTGCTGCCCCCACAGGATATGTACAGAATGTCTGTGTACCACTGATTTCAATAAGCAACAAAATTACTAAAGAATGAGACCCAGGAGTGGGCCAGACAGGGTCCAGAACAATGGGCAGAGTCGCTATTAGAGGAGTCAAGAAAGGTGTTGTCCAAGTTACAAATAAGTTTTCTGATTGAGAGGCAAAGAGAACCTGATAGAAGGGGCTTGATAATAAGCTGGTGGGCTTTAGGCCTTGTAAGTTAAGGGACCTAGACCTATTTATCTTTTTACATAGGGTACATTTTAAGGGAGGTGTGAACCTCCTTGGGGAAGGCACCCTGTTGACTTCCATTACCTAGCTGGCCTGGGAGGAGAGCTGGCCAGGTAAAGGCAGGTGGCATCTCCAACAGGAAATTTACAGCTCTGCCTGCAATGTTACTGACCCCACTTGGCCATTCTTTCAACAGTGGCGGTCACTTTGGAGGCTGGGCGAAGTGAAGGGCTTTTCAGCTTAGAGCCAATAAGATCTGTGGCTCTGACCTGAAGTCCTTCAACTCCAGGGCAGGTCCATTTCCAGTGATCTAACTCTTGGCTGGCAGAGCTCCCAGGGCTCTTCGTAAGCTGACTTCTGCTGAAGCCCAGGCTTACCACATGAAAGCCACTGCAGTGGACTGGCCTGTTGGGTCTCCCTGAGGGCAGATCACTGTACAGAGCTGTCTGTAATAGGCCCGCCACCCATCTTTACATTGTTTCTGATGCCCAGCTCTCTTTTCCTCCTGGTTTTTGTTAAGTCAGACCAGAGAATGAAAGTCAAGGGAGTGCTCAGTCCCACCTCTAATTTTCGTTGCCTAGACTAGAAGTCTATAGTCATAGGCATGTTTCTTATGAATATTTAGCTGGGCTGAGTTACTCTGATATCTGAACATGGTTGACCTTTAACAGAACTGACTTATGTCCTTACCCAAATAGCTATGCAAGGATACTGCCAGATTGTCACTACAAAATTTTACCAGTTACCAGCCATGCCTAAAAACCTTGCACCACCAGAAGCAAAACAGATACGTTACTCTGTGTGGTGTTGCCTGGCAGCAGATTTAATTTTTTACACTAGTCCTTAATTTAAGTAATTAAGTAATCTCACAGGAATAATCATATATGACAATAGGGTTAAAAAGGTAGGGCAACTCTTCCATGCACAAACATTTTAAGAGTAATATCAAATGAAAACTTAGCAAGTAGATTTAATTGTTAGACAACAACTTAGGAAAACACTTACCAGAAGGTCCAATGTCCTTCACAAATTTTAAGAATACATGTACTCGGAAACATCTCTTAAATACCCAACATGGTGTAGCTTGTTTAACCAGCAAATTTAAACACAAGTATATAAAATGTTTTCAGGTTTTTTTTTTTTTAACAAGTTTACAGAGATTTAGGTTACCCGAATTTTTGATTAACTTTAGCTGTTTAAACTTATGGGAAACATTTTGTTACAGATTACAATATAATCAAGCTCTACAGCAATATGGACACTTGAGATAACTTTCTTGTATAAAGAACATTTGGTCCAGCAGAGACATTAGAAAAACATACATAAATGATACAGAGGAGTTGATTTAAAGGCTAACTACATTTAGATAGATGCATTTAGTTTCACAGCAAACTACAGGGTCACATACATCAGAACAATAAAGCAGTTTCAGTAATAGCTGTTAAAATCGTTAACCTTTTTTATAAATCACCAATTGATTTGAATTACTTTCTGATCTTAGTAACCTCAGTTATCTATACTTTTTTTCCAGTTGGTACCTGTAATACATTATTGGCTTTATCAGTTTACAGAGTCATCCCAAAGTACTGAATACAATAGATGTAGCTGGGGCCGGCGCCACGGCTCACTAGGCTAATCCTCCACCTTGCAGCACTGGCACACAGGGTTCTAGTACCAGTCAGGGCACTGGATTCTTTCCCGGTTGCCCCTCTTCCAGGCCAGCTCTCTGCTGTGGCCAGGGAGTACAGTGGAGGATGGCCCAAGTGCTTGGGCCCTGCACCCCATGGGAGACCAGGAGAAGCACCTGGCTCCTGCCTTCGGATCAGTGCGGTGCGCCGGCCGCAGCACGCCAGCCGCGGCGGCCATTGGACAGTGAACCAACGGCAAAAGGAAGACCTTTCTCTCTGTGTCTCTCACTGTCCACTCTGCCTGTCAAAACAAAAACAAAAACAAAACAAAAATAGATGTAGCTGGAAAATGTCCATTGCAACCTATAGGAGGACAGTTAAACACAGAAACAACAATGCTTTAGTTTTATAAGCAGTAACCAAGAAGAGACACTTGTTTACTTTACATAGCATTTTTGAAAGCCCCTGTAGGATTTTACAAGGCACACTTAACTTTTTTAGACCTCTGGGGCCCCTCCACTAAGATGACCATTATGTTTAGTAACACTAGATTATCAGACTTTATAATTTTCAGACATCTGTATCAATAACATTTTATATCATGACATAATACAGACCAAATGTGATCATTTTACAGGGTGATTATTTAAAGGTTTGAAAATAAGCACATATTTAAATAACCCATAGCTGTTAATAAAAACTCAGTTTTTTTTTCTAAATGAATATCCATTTTATTGGATTTTTTTCCAATTACAAATGAAATTTCATTTTACATCTATAATTAGAAGCAACACTTACAATGGAACTGTACAAATTTAGATCAAAATAAAAATATATGTATTTGTGGCTTCATAAAACATCATTACTGTATCTTTAAAGAAAGCAGAAGTAACAGCAATATATGTAAAAGTAATGATTTAATGACTATAAGCAAGACAAAGCAATAAATTGTGCTTCTTTTGCAGACTGGGGACAATGAAATGTTTAGCTACAATTTTCCCATACAAACATGAAACAATATTCATATAGAATAAACACCCTCACAAATAACTGATGAGTGGAACACACACCAAGTTCGACCAAAGCAAAACACAAACTGAAATTTGTTGGGGTTATCCATATTTTAAATTCGATATGCTTGCTCTATTTAAAAATACCTGGTAGAAGCTAATAAACTGCTTCTATTTCCAGACATTACAGAGAAGATATATTCCACTGTTAACTGCTAAAGCAACTCTTAAATTTGAAATTACTGCTGTATCACTTATTAAAATAATTTTAGATAAAATGTCTTCTTTTGGTAATTTGCTGGTTTATTTAAAAATTTGTTCCGGAAATTAGTGGTAAGTATGCATTTTAAAAACATTAATCCCATCATAACCAATGGAAAATGAGGACACTATTTCCGTATGCCTTCAAAGTTTTTTCTGTACTGCAACAATTTTAAAAGTAAGCATGTATTATTGGAGAAGTCATCATTATGATTTGCAGCTGCTTGCAATGCAGAATTTAGACTCTGATATCCACATTAAAAACATTCTATGTTGGTAAAGAAGACTCAACATAGGGTATGGGTATCTGCAAAGGTCGAACCAGTTGGGAGAATTTTAACAATCACTTCTGAATGCATGAAACACAATATTTTCTTTATAGTATTTATAAATATATTATACAATACTGTCTCCTGTTATGTCATATACCAATATGGCATTGTACAACAAGCATAATGCCATTTGATTCTTACAAAAGTGAATTATTTAAACAAGTCAGTAAAATAAATGGTAGTACTCACTTTTAGGCATACAGAGTGTAAAACTGAAGTTTACTTTTCTTTGATCGGTTTTGTGTAGCAACAGAGAAGTAAAAATCAAACAGGAATCAAAATGGCTAAATATGCAAGAAATCGTTATTCACAGTGACATGGCTACATAGAATGCATTATTCTATGCGTATTCTTTCCATTTGTTGAATTTCAAGGTAAAAAGCACTTGTTTTCTACAGATTCACAAAACAGCATAATAACAAGAACAATCAAGGAGAATGTAATGTAGGCATTAGTTGAGATTAACAAACTATGGCCCAATGCTTACATCCACTGCAGGGTATTCCCAAGTCCAAACAATGGTTACAGAAACCATTTCACATTTTTCCTAACGCATAGAAAAAAACTTGCCTGCCTTCCCAGAAACCAATTTTTTTTATAATAACAATCTTTCTTTTCAATTGACGTCCATATGAATAGCACATCTAGTCCATCTTTTATAGCCAAATTTAATGTTACTACAAAAGAAAGCAACTTGGACGATATAGTCACATGTATTAGCATCTATAAAGCTGTAATGGCATGAAGAGATCTATATAAATCAGGGCTTAAATTTTTTTTTCCTTAACAGTCTCAGGTATCAACCAGATGAAGTTGCTGACGACCCATTTACTGATGATTTTCGAGGTCTATTGGCAAAGGAAGATTGGTGGTTACCGCTGGGGCTGTTGCTGGTTCCAGTCATTGTACTACAAATGTGAGGAAACTGGATGAGGAGACTGCACTGGAGTAGTGGGGCTAGGCAAACAAGAAGAGGTGGAGGGAATACCTCCTGCTGGGCTGTTGGCCTTGTCACTCCCAGAGTCACTTTCCAGTTCTCCAGCATTTGTCAGTCCATCTCTCTGATGACTGATCTTCATCCTCTTGCAAGTAGGTCGAACTCTGTATTTCAAAGGAAGTGGACCATTCCTTCTCCAGGTGTAAATGTAGGCGATATCCATTAGTGTACAGTAATCCTTCATACATGCCATCAGTCTGGAGAGTGTTAGGTATGTCCATTCTACTTCTGAGAAACTTTCTTAAGTGCGTCATAGTCATTGCTGCTGGGCATCGTAAATACCTTTTATCATTCACCTGCTCCTTAGATTTCTCTTTATCTTTGCTTACTTTCCGATCCAATCTGTTCTGGTCAAAGAAGTCAATGGATAAACTTATTATTTCATCATCAGTTATAATTCTCTTATCTTCATCTGCAACTTCTCCTCTATCTTCATTAGAGCCATTGGCAGCATCAGCTGAAGGATGAGCTGCATAAAAATCCCTTCTTCTCTTCATTTCATTTTTGAAAAGCCCTGGAACTAATTTGTATACGATATCTTGAAGAGTTTTATCTGACCTTATATTCAGTAGTGGTCTGGTTTTGTGAGCTTGAACATCACAGATAGGACAATACTTGCTGGTCTCCGGGTAACGCACAATACATGTTTTACAGAAGGAATGTAGACATTCTATTAGGGTGGTGGCATCAATGAAGTATCCTCCACAAAGCACACACATTAGGTGGGGATGTAGCTCAGTGATCTTGATTCTGGTTGTTCAATGCATTTCTGCTCGATGCAAGATCACTTGGCATCCGGCCATGGCTGCAACTCTGCGTGGAGCCCAGCCCGAGCCCGGAGCCTCTGCAGGTGTGCGGGGCGGTCTGCCGGCGGCAGCGGCAACAGCCAAAACTCAGTTGTTTTTAAACAATTAGAATTTAACAGAGACATCAAGAGAACATAATAGATTAACTTATTGCTCTAACAGAGAATCAGTAATACCTTTCGTGTCCAAAAATTTTTTTCTTATAACTTTTTGTGACTGTTACACACACTCTTTAACTTACTTTAAACATTTTATTTTTATACTTGTGATGTTTTTTATCTGTCAAGACAACATTTTTAAACAAGGTAACACATTAAATTTCAGCATTAATTACTTTTAAGTGATGTTGAACTATTTTTATATATATAATCTATGAAAACACGTTAGCAAATTTAAGTAGTTTTTCTATAGAACATAAGGTGTTGAAAGTACCAAAGTTTACATTTAGACACTTATCTCATTTGTCTTTACCCAATTTAAATTAGCAGTTATACCTAAATGACTTAAGATGCTGATATTATATATTTCTATCTGAATTTAATTAAAATTAAAATTGTATTTATTTAAAACAAGTGCTAATTACCTATTACTGTTTTATTGAGTACTGACCACCCAGAAATTTTTTAAAACAAATTGCAAAATAAGTTCGGCAAGTTACAAAGCAGTATCTTCTGGCTTGCACGAGATAAAAGAGAAGAACCATCAGAAGGGTGGGATACCCTTAGAACCAAACCTGGTTCTAAGATAAAGTTCAGATTCTGAGATAAGGCAAGGGGGAGAGTTACCCAGTCCACGCCAGTCTCCAAGGCCAAATTTGAATTTTGTGCCAATCTTGCGAGCAGCGCTGCTGCTTTGAGACCTGCCAACAGAGCCTGGCGATAGACACGGAGTCTCTCCTTTAGGGAAATTAACCCAACTGTAATTGTTCTTTTTAACATTTACATTGTTCCAACATGCCAAAGGCTGTTCACCTTGGAGACCTATTGCAGATATGGGTACGGCCCGGCACGAGATTTACACCCTCTTCCCCAGATTTTTAAGGGCCAGAGAGAGCTAACTGGATGCCGCCGCCGGCCCCCCAGGGCTCCCGCTGGCTTCTCAGTACTTCACTGAATTTCTTTAACATTTAGAGCACTGGGCAGAAATCATATCACATCAACACACGCCATGGGCCCTCACGATGCTTTAACAGTTGGATTCCCCTGATCCGCACCAGTTCTAAGTTGGCTGCTAGGCGCCGGGCAAGGCCAGCCGCTGTAGGGAACCGCAGCTGCAGGGGCGGGCCTGGCGGGGGCGGGGGGAAGGAGAGGGATCTTTGCGTCCAGAGTTGCAGCTGCCCCCGGCTCCCCAGGTGCCCCCCCCAGGGGGGGGCAGTGCCTCATCCAGCCACAGCGCATGCCCAGCCCTGCTTCACACCCCAGTCCGACCAACCCAGCCCTTAACCTACATTATTATGAGTCACATTTTTTACTTTTTTTTTTTTTACTGTGCAAGAGTTAGATTCAGTGGAGAGGATGGAGTCGCCCCCATGTTCTTCTGTCCAGTTAAGTCAGTTGTCAACAGAAATAACACAAACACCACTTAACAAAAAGACGAACAAACACGGGGCCCGTACAGAATTTCCACGGACAGATTCAGGTGGTCATATTACAGAAGGTCTCCACTGCTCCGAGGGCGAACCTCCAGGAGTATGAAGGAGACCAAAGACGAGAACTCTGCAGCAGTCCCTCTTTTCTTCGTCCCCAGATACAGATTGGACCTACCCATCTCCCCAGATACAGATTGGACCTCCCCAGGTCCCAGATACAGATTGGACCTCCCCAGGTCCCAGACGAGGAATCAGGACGTCTCCCGTTTCCTCTGGGGTGTGCCCTGCGAGCGCGTCTGCTCAGGCAGTGACCCTCCACAGATTCAGATACAGATGCAACGGCCGATGCTACAGATTCAGATTTAGACACAGTTAAACAACGAACAAATAGACTAACGAACTCACCCAGCCGACTGGAGCAAACCTTCGGGGTCGAGGTCGCTGGGGGGCTTTTTGAGGATCACAATCCCGGACGAGCCCCCACATATGTTGGGCACCAAAAAAGTATGTTGTGCCCAGATGGTTAGATCCCCGCAGAGACCCCCAGAGAGTCGATCACACCGAACTGCAAAAGCAAGGTTTATTCGGGAGTACAAGCCGCGACAGGGACCCCATCCAACCAACCGGCACAGCGGAGGAAGGAGTGAGGCCCCGGTCTTTGTAGGGAGAGTTTTTAAAGGAAAAAAGGGCTACATCAGCAGGAAAAAGGAGTTACATACAGCATGGAAGCTTTGGGTACAGGGAGTTACTTTGTTCAGCAGTCTCTACTGTGCTGTCCTTGGTCTGCCGAGCTAGCTGTCCCTGGTAAGCTTTGATACCTCTGGAATGCCTGAATGCCTGCTTTTACAAGGACTCGGGTCTGCTATGGGAAACGGAGGCTGCTTTTTTTATTGTTTAAAAATGGAGTCACTTTGGTTCTTCAGGAGACCCAGAAGAAGCTCCTGGCTCCTGGCTTTGGATCGGCACAGTTCCAGCCATTGCGGCCAATTCAGGAGTGAACCAGTGGATGGAAGACCACTCTCTCTCTGCCTCTCCTCTTTCTGTGTAACTCTGCCTTTCAAATAAATAAATAAATTTTGAAAAAAAAAAAAAAACACAAGGAGACAGAAGTCAGCATGCTCCTGGTAGCCTGCCCCCAAAAAATCTATACCTGTGTTACCAGGAATCAGCCCTGCATTGGATACTTTCTGACATTATCTTTGTGTATTCCTGGGAGATTTCTTAGTATTCATGGACTTCGAATGAGTTTTATTTTTTTAAGATTAATTTATTTGAAAGTCAGAATCACAGAGAGAGAGAGAAAGATCTTCCATCTACTTGTTCATACCCCAGATGGCTGCAATGGCCAGCGCTGGCCCAGACTGAAGCCAGGAGCTGGGAGCTTCATCCAGGTCTCCCACATGGGTGTCAGAGGCCCAGTTACTTGGGCCGTCTTCCGCTGTCTTTCCCAGGTGCATTAGTAGGGAGCTGGATGGGAAATGGAGCAGCCAGGACACAAACGAGCACACATATGGGATGTCCACATTGCAAACAGTAGCTTTACCCACTATGCCCACCCCTAAAAGGTTTAGGTTCTTGTTGTTGTTTGTTTCTTAAGATTTATTTATTTATTTATTTGAAAGGCAGAGAGGCAGAGGCAGAAAGAGAGTGTATGGGGGAGGTCTTGCATCTACAGGTTCACTTCTTAGATGGCCGCAGTGATCGGAGCTGCATCAATCCGAAGCCAGGAGCCTGGAGATTGCTCCAAATCCCCCATGTGGGTGCAGAGGCTCAAGGACTTGGGCCATCTTCTACTGCTTTCCCAGGCCACAGCAGAGAACTGGATGGGAAGTGGAGCAGCCGAGTCTTGAACCAGCGCCCGTATGGATGCTGGCACAACAGGCAGCAGCTTTATGCACTATGCCACAACCTGAATTATCTTAAATTAAGCTCTAAGTCATGGGACTTATCCCACTTTCTTCATCTCTTTCTCTAGATACAGTCGTTAGTAAAATGTTTTATTAAGAAAGTTAGCCAATCAAATCTTTCAAATAACTTCAAAATGAGCATCTGGAATTCTAGAGTTTCACACAGGAAATGTGCCTTTACTCTATAGATAAGGAAAACCAGTGTGCTGGGAATCTAAGCTGCTGCTTTTGAGCTTTAAAAACACACCGGCCTGCTCAGCTTCAGATCCCATCTCAGGTAACACGTGTGAACAGGGCACACACCGGTCTGTTCAGCTTCAGATCCCATCTCAGGTAACACACGTGAACAGGGTACACACCGGTCTGCTCAGCTTCAGATCCCATCTCAGGTAACACACGTGAACAGGGCACACACCGGTCTGCTCAGCTTCAGACCCATCTCAGGTAACACACGTGAACAGGGTACACACCGGTCTGCTCAGCTTCAGATCCCATCTCAGGTAACACGTGAACAGGGCACACACCGGTCTGCTCAGCTTCAGATCCCATCTCAGGTAACACACGTGATCAGGGCGCACACCGGTCTGCTCAGCTTCAGATCCCATCTCAGGTGACACACGTGATCAGGGCACACACCGGTCTGCTCAGCTTCAGATCCCATCTCAGGTAACACACGTGAACAGGGCACACACCGGTCTGCTCAGCTTCAGATCCCATCTCAGGTAACACACGTGAACAGGGCGCACACCGGTCTGCTCAGCTTCAGATCCCATCTCAGGTAACACACGTGATCAGGGCGCACACCGGTCTGCTCAGCTTCAGATCCCATCTCAGGTAACACACGTGAACAGGGTACACACCGGTCTGCTCAGCTTCAGACCCATCTCAGGTAACACACGTGATCAGGGCACACACCGGTCTGCTCAGCTTCAGATCCCATCTCAGGTAACACGTGAACAGGGCACACACCGGTCTGCTCAGCTTCAGATCCCATCTCAGGTAACACGTGTGAACAGGGTACACACCGGTCTGCTCAGCTTCAGATCCCATTTCAGGTAACACACGTGATCAGGGCACACAACTGTCTGTTCAGCTTCAGATCCCATCTCAGGTAACACGTGTGAACAGGGCACACACCGGTCTGTTCAGCTTCAGATCCCATCTCAGGTAACACCTGTGATCAGGGCACAGTCACTGGCACAATCTCACATGCCAATCGCTAAAATGTCACTCAAGTGACTACTGTAGGGGCTGGCACTGTGGCATCGCGGGTAAAACCCCCATCTGCAGTGCCAGCATCCCAAATGGGCCGCTGGTTCGCATCCTGGCTGCCCTACTTCCGATCCATCTCTCTGCTATGGCCTGGGAAAGCAGTGGAGGATAGCCCAAGTACGTGGGCCCCTGCACCCACACGGGAGACCTGGAAGAGGCACCAGGCTCTTGGCTTCAGATGAGCCCAGCTCCAGCTGTTACAGCCATTTGGGGAGTGAACCAGTGGATGGAAGACCTCTCTCTCTCTCTCTCTCTCTCTGCCTCTGCGTCTGTAACTCTACCTTTCAAATAAATGTTTAAAAAAATCTTAAAAAAGAGACTTTTGTAGTGGAGGGTGACGTCTTGGCCAGTGAGAGTCAGGCACATATAAAAGAAGGGGTGAGTGGCCGGTTCATACAAGGACAATGGAATTGGTTGACTGTTACTAAGTTGCACCAATGCCCAACAGAGGGAGAATAAAAAGCTATGGCCACTGAACAGCAACTAAAAACTGAGTGAAGGCCAGAGGGCCCTTTTGGCAGTTTACAAAGAGGCCTTTATCCCCTGGGGCAGCACAGCAGAAAGGCTGACAATGTGTCAGTCGAGTTGCTGACCCTCAAAGATATTGAACATGTACTGAGATGTGTTGCCAAAGTCAAGGCCCTGGGTGGGAGACCCCTAGACCCTGCTACATGGGGTGGGGACATCCGGGTTGGAAGTATCCAAAGATTCCCACCTTCCAGAGAAAGTTGGCTGAGCCAGAGCCTCAGAAGTGGTTCACCACCTCCCCGCACTTTTTTTTTTTTTTTAAGGTTTATTTATTTGAAAGACAGCGTTACAGAGAAGGAAAAAGAGAGATCTTCCAACTGCTGGTTCACTCCCCCAAAAGGCTGCAGTGACAGGGGCTGGGCCAGGCGGAAGCCAGGAGCCCAGAGCTTCTCACCGGTCTCCCACATGGGTGACAGGGCCCAGGAACTCGGGCCATCTTCTGCTGTTTCCCAAGTGCATTAGCAAGGAGCTGGATCAGAAGTGGAGCAGCAGGACTTGAACCAGTGCCCAAATGGGATGCTGGTGCTGCAAGCAGAAGCCCAACCAGCTGTGACACAGGGCTGGCCCCTCCTCCCCCTCCTTTTTTTTTTTTTTTTTAAGTCAGCACCCTTTCCCCCACCTCTTCCCCTCAGCATACACAACTAGAAGACAACTCTATGGAGACAACACTCAGTAAGGCAACAGGAACTCCCTCCAGGATCTGGCTCCACTTTCCTTCCTGGCTGCCAGGTTCATAACTGTGGTTTAGTTGCATCTTACTTCAGCCAGGAAAGGGAGGAAGCACAGAAGAATTTGCATAATTAGTAGCATCAGGTGTTTGGTGCAACAGTTAAGCTACATGCTGGGAACACCTGCATCCCATATCAGAGTACCGAGTTGAGTTCCAGCCCCTCCATTTCCAATTCCAGATTCCTGCTAATGCACTCGGGAGGCAGCTGATGATGGCTCCTATACTTGAGTTCCTGCCATCCTTGTGGAAGACCCAAATGGAGTTCCAGCTCCTGGGTTTGGTTCAGCCTAGCCCTGGCTGTTATGGGTATTTGAGAAGTAAGCCAGAAGATGCAAGATATCTTTGTCTTCCGTCTCTATTGCTTTGCCTTTTTTTTTTTTTTTTTTGACAGGCAGAGTGGACAGTGAGAGAGAGAGACAGAGAGAAAGGTCTTCCTTTGCCGTTGGTTCACCCTCCAATGGCCACTGTGGCCGGCGCGCTGCGGCCGGCGCACCGCGCTGATCCGATGGCAGGAGCCAGGTGCTTCTCCTGGTCTCCCATGGGGTGCAGGGCCCAAGCACTTGGTCCATCCTCCACTGCACTCCCTGGCCACAGCAGAGAGCTGGCCTGGAAGAGGGGCAACCGGGACAGAATCCGGCGCCCCGACCAGGACTAGAACCCTGTGTGCTGGCGCCGCAAGGTGGAGGATTAGCCTAGTGAGCCGCGGCGCCGGCCTGCCTGCTTTGCCTTTCAAAAAGATAAATCTAGAAGTGTATGTGGATATATGTATAGATATGTATGCTAGATGTACGTGTGCATATATCTGTATGTATATATTATATATAGGCTGGCACTGTGATGCCATGGGCTAAGCTGCTGCTAAGGAAATCCACATCCCCTATCAGAGTGCCAATTTGAGTCCCCTGCCTCTGCCTCCAATCCAGCACCCTGGAAATCCTCCACATAGTGGAGCATATCGTGGAAGGCAGCAGACGATAGATTCCATGCCTGGGTCCCCGCCGTCCACGTGGGAGACCCAGATGGAGTTCTGGGCTCCCGGCTGCAGCTTGAACCAGACGTGGCTGTTGCAGGCGTCCAGAGATCTCTGTCTCTTCCTGTCTGCTTTTCAAATAGATAAAAAGTTTTTTTTCTAAATCTTAAAAAGATACAATGAAAAATAAGAGAGAAAATTAGCATGTGTTAGCTAGCCGGAGCCAGGAGATACTTGTGGAGCTAGATTTTGAGAATTCTTTTTCAAAGAAGCCCTAAACTAAGATTGGGTAAGGAGGAGGTTATTTGGGAGTGCGAGAGTCTGCCTTGAGATCCAAGATTTAACATTCTGCCAAAGACCCAGGGGGTGGCAAACTCACTGCTAGGGAGGCTTCTAGTGACCCAGAGAAGGCATCCCATGATGAGCTATACCGAAATGCCTGAATGGCGGAGAAAGAGGAACAGGCTCAAAGAGACTGGCAAGCTGGAGTGGATAGATTTTGTGAGGCTGGAAGGTCTACAAGAAGGCAGGGAGGACTGCACTGATAACACCAAATCACTGCAGAGCTCAGCAGTGACTCCTGTGCTGTCGAGGCCTAACTCTAAGAGGCTGTGGCACAGCCATGAGTCAGGACCCCCCGCAGCAGCCAGACCTGTGCAACACCAGCCCGAGAGTGTTGCAGGCACCCGGCTCCAACCCCTGACACCTGCCTGGGGGTGGGCATGGGCACCACCCCCACCTGGGAGCCTTGGGGTCCAACCCTGCCCCAGTGTGTCCACAGCACAGAGCTGAAGATTATTCTGAAGATAAGACTTAATGTTGCTGGCTTTGTCCGGTTTTGGCTTTTGTTGATTTTTGTCATGGTTGTTCATTTTTTAAAGATCAGAGAAGAGCATTTTTCCCATTTTTTTTCTTTTTATTTATTTGAAAGGTGGAGAGAGGTATAGATAGAGAGATCTGCTGGTTTGTTCTCTAAATGCCTGCAAAAGCCAGGGCTGAAATCAGGAGCCTTGAATTCAATCCAGTCTCCTACATGGGTAGCAGGGACCCAAGTACTTGAGCCATTACCTGCTGCCTCCCAGGGTGCACCTTAGCAGGAAGCTGGAAGGGGAAGCAGAGCCAAGACTCAAACCCGAGCGCTCTGATACAGGATGCGACATTTCCAAGCAGCAACTTAATCACTGCACCAAATGTCTTGGGCTTGGACTCACTTGGGACCTGTTTCCCTTTCTTCTGGCCTGTTTTCTCCCTTTTGGAATGGGACTGTCTATGCTATGCCTGTCTGTTGTATTTTGGAAGAAGAATCAGATAATGTGTGAGATTGCACAGGCCCACACCTGGAGGGGAATTTGCCTTGGGATGGTATCTTGCATCTCCTCCACATCTGATTTAGATGACTCTGGACTTTAGATTTTTTTAAAAAATTTTTTTTTTATTTATTTGAAAGGCAGAGCAACAGAGAGGAGAGGAGAGATTAGCAATATTCCATTCTCTGGTTCACTCTCCAATAACCGCAACAGCCAGGGCTGGGGAGGCTGAAGGCAGGAACCAAGAACTCCATCTGGGTCTCCCATGTGGGTGGCAGGGACCCATATACATGAACCATTGTCTGCTGCCTCCCAGGCTGCGCATCAGCAGGAAGCTGGCTTGAAAGCAGAGGAGCAGGGATTGGATGCAGGCATCCCAGACAGTTGTGGAAACCACTGTACCACAATGCCTATCCCATGTACTTTAGATTCGAGTTGGTACTCAAGTTAAGACTTTTGGGGCTACTAAGGATGGAATGAATGTAGTCTGCATGTGGCAATGACATATATTTGGGAACCAGGGGTAGAATTTGTCTCCCTTTGCCTTCCCAAGCGCATCAGCAGGGATCTGGGTCAGAATCCGAACAGCCGGGACTCGAACCAGTGCAAGCATCACAGGCGGCTTAACCTGCACCACAAAGCTGGCTCCTTTTATGTTCTTTTCTGTTTGTTTTTTTTCTTTCTTTTTTTTTCCTTTTTTTGTTTTCTTTCTTCTTTTTTGTTTTTTCTTTTTTCTCTCTCTCTCTTTTTTAATGTTCTTTTCCTTTGTGTATCTGCACACTAACACCCATGTACCGCGGTCCAGCTTTGGCAGGTCCAGGACGTCCTGAAGAAGGGGCGGTGTCACAAAGAAAGGAGACGAGGTTTAGGTAGCGAGGGAAGGCATCATTCTGCTGTTCCTTCTCATAGCTTTATTTTTATTCTTTTTACACAGACTTTCCATCAAGCCTTCTTCCTCCTAAGCCTCCGTTCTTCCTGAGCAAGAACACATCACAAGTGATCGGCGATGTGTAACCGTTCTCTAATAATCTTGTTTTGTTTCATTTTCCTTTCATGGCCTCATCGTAACCTCCCCATTAATCATTTCTCCATTCATAGTGGATGCGTCAACTATATGAAACTTGCTTAACTTATCTAAAGGTGCTAGACAAAAAGTCTAAGGTTTTAAAGGTTAATCGATTTATTTTAAAAGGTTAAAACTGTATAGATAAAGTTCTAGTGATTATATCTTATTTTTCTAAAGGTAAATCACACGCCCAACAGCCGTGTTTTTTATAGGATCTATTCCATTGCCTAATGTAAGAGTTCCATGTTCCTGTGTTCTACATTTCCAAGCAGGAGCATAATGCCCTAACCTTAGTAAGAATGGCAGTGCTTGTTCATCAATCCACTTGCCGTAGCATTAACTACGCACCTACCATTCTCATCATACACTCCTGTATAAGGTAAGGGGGGAGGGTCTGTGGAAACAAGCACCTGCATGCTCTTTCTGTCCTGTTTTCTCATAAAACTCCTCGGATTCTGTCCCGGTTGCCCCTCTTCCAGGCCAGCTCTCTGCTGTGGCCCGGGAGGGCAGTGGAGGATGGCCCAAGTCCTTGGGCCCTGCACCCGCATGGGAGACCAGGAGAAGCACCTGGCTCCTGGCTTCAGATCAGCACAGCACGCTGGCCATAGCAGCCACTTGGCGGGTGAACCAACGGCAAAAGGAAGACCTTTCTCTCTCTCTCTCACTGTCTAACTCTGCCTGTCAAAAAAAAAAAAAAAAAAAAAACCAAAAACACAAAACAACAACAACAACAAAAAAAAACAAAACCTCCTTATTACTCATGTTCCTAATAATATTTTGCTCTAGACAAATTTTAGGAGATTCCCCTCTGATTTCTCCTGTCACCTCCTATAACTCATTTTTTAACAAGGAACAATTTTGCTTACATTGATATCCATGATTCCCACACCCAAACCCAAAGACTACATCACTATTAAGCCTAATAAAAACAACAGAGAAGACGGCTTCAGTTCAGTCAGGGGCTTCCTGCTTTGTGGAGTTCCCCTCCCCCAGCTCTGACTTTGTCATGCAGCATGGATGGCATCGCCCCTGCCAGCCATGTTTCCCTAGAACTGTTTTCCAGCTCTGAGTCTTTGGCCCTTTCCTCATCCTTTTGCCCCAGGTAGAATCCATCCGTTCTCCCCCCTCTCCTCCCCAACAGGACTGTGCACCTCCAGCTGCTTAGGACTTGGAGGCGGGGGTGGGGAGGGGTGGGGTGGGGAGGTGTGGGGTGGGGTGGGGAGGGGTGGGGAGGTGTGGGGACGGGTGGGGAGGTCTTCTGTTATGTGGGCTGGAGAGGGGTGGAATGGGGTAAGGTGCGGAGGTGTGGGGAGGGGTGGGGTGGGGTGGGGTGGGAGGTGTGGGGTGGGGAGGGGTGGGGTGGGGTGGGGAGGGGTGGGGTGGTGGTAGTGAGGGTCATAGAGCTTCCAGAAATGTTCCCCAGTGCTTCTGAGACCAGTAACGTGGGAGAGCTTCATTTTTAGGCCTATCTGCAAGTCATCTCCACTTCCATGGCTCTTCCAGGTTACTTGCACTCACCACTGCTTTGCACTGCTGGACAAGTAACTGGAGTGGAAGTGCTGGGCTAACGTGTGAAGATCTCTTGTAGCAACCCTGCCCTGGCTAGGGTGATGGAGTCCCACCTTTTGATCTGACCCCCAGCCACCCTTAGACCATCTACTGTTTAGACCGAAGGGAAATTATCCAACTAAGCTTGAAATAGTCTCTGCAACTGTGATTTAACAGTGTTGAACATGCACACAAAGGCAAAGTCAACGTGTGCTGGAACTGCCTGTTTTGAAGCCTCATTGCAAAATAATAATAATAATAATATAATAATAACAATAATAATAATCCTGGGGCTGGCGCTGTGACGTAGGAGGCTAAGCCTCACCCTGCAGTACCAGTATCCCATATGGGTGCCAGTTTGAGTCCTGGCTGCTCCACTTCCAATCCAGCTCCCTACTGATGGCCTGGGAAAGCAGTGGAAGATGGCCCAAGTGCTTGGTCCCCTGCACCCACGAGAGAGACCGGGAAGAAGCTCCTGCCTCCTGGCTTTGGACTGGCTCAGCTCCGGCTGTTGCAGCCATTTGGGGAATGAACCAGTGGATGGAAGACCTTTCTCTCCCTTGCTCCCTCTCTATAACTCTGCCTCTCAAGTAAATAAATACATCTTTAAAAAAAAAAAAATCCTGAGTGATGCCCAGTAAGACTGAAGTGAGCTTATTCCCCTCCTCTGCTCCATGTTTCCCCTTTCCTAAGAAGCCCAAGACTACGTACCCAGGTCCTGGAGTGGAGATGTCCAGGAACAATGCTGCTCTCAGCTATGGAACACTTTTTCCACACAGGGTCAAAGTCTGAGGTTCACAAGACATCCTGTGCACTGAAGTTCCCAGGCACCTCACTGTGGTGGAGAGAGACGGCCATGACAAGGTGGCCGCTGGCAAGCGTCAGTTACTCAGGAATGGCTTTGAATCCCACCTGGCAACAGAGCCTGCCTGGCAACAGGCTGTGATTGGATGGCTTTGAATCCCACCTGGCAACGGAGCCTGCCTGGCAACAGGCTGTGATTGGATGGCTTTGGAAACTGCCTGGCAACAGGCTGTGATTGGTTGGGGCACAGACCGCCCCTTGACCAGATTGGCTGGTCTTGGCTATATGAGCTGTTGTACTAACTCAAATAAACAAGTCTGTGGGCTGCTCACCTCAGGCCTGCTTTCACCGACTCCCGGGGTCTGTGTGGTGACTCCGTGCCTCTTGCCCCCACCCCGTTCCTCCTCTCAGAAAGGAATCCACTGCAACATTGGTAAGAAATCAACTGCAACCCCTTACTTTTCCAGCAAATCAGCCCAATGTCAATGGCTTGACATGGGGGCTGCAGTGAGCCTGGGCTTTCTCTGGCTCAGTCCTTCCATCTCAGCGGATTTTCTCCAGGACCCCTGAGGGCCTGCTGGTCTGTGCTCCACACCCTGCAGCTCTCCCCCCTCAGAAGTGGGCCCAGGCAGCCACTTCAGCCAGGCTGTGAACACACGGCGAGTGCCAGCTTTGCAGTGCCAGGGCAGTGCCGGGACAGCGGGGAACGTGGCTATGTCAGAGGGGCCTGGTTGTGAGTGCTCTGGGCCCAGCTCTGCGTTCAAGGAGAAAGCTTTTGCCCTCTTACACAATTGGCCTGGAAGTGCCTTTTGACTTACAAAGCCGACTTCCTTCCAAGCCTCCTGGGTCACAGAGGCCCTGCCACCCCCCAGCCCGCCTCCTGCAGGTCATAGGGCCAGGGCCAGGAGTTTGAGTCCTGCAGCTCTTCACTGGAGCTCGTGGCTTGGGACACTGGATTTCCCTGGAATTCTTTGACATCTTAGTCTGGAAATACATTTTGAGTGTATCTCCACACAGCTGGGAGACCACCTGTTTCCTGGTTTTATTAAAGAACTCAGAAAACCAGGAGGGGGACTGTGGGCAGCCTCCATTCCTGATATGTGAGATGAAAAGAGGTGAAAGGGAATATTTCATGTGTCTCTGTATTGTGCGTTTTTTTTTTTTTCTTAAAGATTTGAAAAGCAGAACAAGCAGAAAAAGAAAACGAGAGAATATCTTCTATCCACTGGTTCACTTCCCAAATGCCTGCAACAGCAGGGCCGGGCCAGGCTGAGTTCCGGGTCTCCAGTGTGGGTGCAGGGCCCCAAGCACTTGGGCATTCATCCACTGCCTTCCCAGGTGCGTTAGCAGGAAGCTGGATTGGAAGACGTGCAGCCTGGACTCGAATGGGCACTCCTATCTGCGATGCCAGTGTTGGCTTAATCTGCTGTACCACCTGCCCGCACCTCTGGTGTCCTTTGTAGGTGTTTCCCATGTACTCCTCAGGCAGGAAACTCCCTGCTTTTAAACTTATTTTCATGAATCACTTTATCAAATCCCTGAAAAATATTTTCCACCCAAGAAAACATTCTAAGAAAATTCACGCCAGTGGATCTATATAAAGCACCAAGCCCTGTACTGAAAGGAGAGGTGAGAGGTGCTCTTCAGAGCAGGCCCCTTGGAGGTGGCGCTGCCACTCCTCCAGGTTTGCCTGAAACACCTCTGGGAGGAGGCCCCCATCACACCGAGCAGATGCGGTCTAGTTCACTCGCCAGACCCGCCTCCGGGCATCCTTCCCCTGTTACACACATCAGAGCTCCGTCATCAAGGACAGAGCCGCAGGGTGTTGCCCGTGGCCCCAGGAGGACGGGCCTTGGTTGTGTGGTGCAGAGGCAAAGGCGTGGGAATAGGTGAACTTTCCAGAAGGCTGCTCAGCACGGTCACTCGTTTTGACACAATCTTGGTTGTCTTTTGTAAAAGTCGGTTAGCCTGACAGGCTTACTTCACACCCATTCACTGTGGGGTGTTCTTCACTCACGGGGTTAAGCCTGACGTTGCAGACTCTGTTTCCTGAGCCACGGTGGGCGCTGTCTCTGAGAGAAGGAAGCTGTGTTTGCAGGACCTCTGGCTGTGACGGAGTAAATGTGAAAGCTGGAACCGGAACGCGTTGGTGAGCATGGATGTCTTTGAAGACCGTAACACAAGAAGGGAAAAGAAGAATACAGAACTCGCTGTACCGAGTGAGCCTGAGCCTCTGCAGTCTGGTCCAGTGTGGACACCAACAGCGGGACAGTCCATCTCCACAGTCTACTCTGAGGTCCACTGCCAACTGGCGGTAGCCCACAGCGGGAGAGGGAGCCCCCGGGGTGGTGACTAACCAACCAGCTGTGCATATAGCAGGCTGCACAAACGCCAGGACAGTGGATCCCCACTCACGCACAAATAAAGAGTAGTAAGGGCAGACAACTCCTACTGCTGAGCCTTCTGCTGGAGACTCTTCATGGATCACTGACAATCATTTGGAACATTAAAAAAAAAACTTATGAATTTAATTTTATTTCTTGAAAGGCAAACAAACAACACAGATCTTCCATCAGCTGGTCTACTCCCCCAAATGCCCCCAACAGCCGGGGCTGGGTCAGGCAGAAGCCAGCAGGCCAGAACTCAATCTGGGTCTCCCATGTAGTTTGGCACAGATGCAAGTTCTTGAGCTATCATCTCCCCCTTCCCAGAGTGCACATCGGCAAGAAGCTGGGTCAGAAGTGGAGGAGCCAGGATTTTTAACCCCGCCCTCCAGTATGAGTGCAGGGGCCCCAAGTGATGAATCAGCTCCTGTGCCAAGCACTTGCCCCTATCTGAAACATTTTAAGCTCCAAACTTACTCAGGAGCTGGAGTGATGACAGAGGTGAATAATCTTTCACATAATTGGCTCCCCTGTCTTTTCAGAGCCAACAGAATGGGTAACCTGCTGCACTAGTTATACTGTTGTGTTAAAAATGTATAAACAGGAGTGTAGCGCTGTGGCGGCGTGGCGGGTAAAGCTGCCACCTGCTGCTCCACTTCAGGCTATTACAAATAGAGCTGCCATCAGCATTCATGTAGAGGTTTAAACACAAGCATTTGTTTACCTATGGTAAATACAGTATTTGAAAAGTTCCTTCTGGGATTTTCAAATGATTGCACACTTCATTTTATCAATCACAGGGCAAATACATCGGAAATGAGAAAACAAATCATATGGCTGTTTATTCTTTTTTTTTTTTTTTTTAAATATTTATTAGGGTTGCCACTGTGGTGCAGCAGGTAAAGCCTTTGCCTGCAGTGCGGGCATCCCAGATGGCGCTGGATCCAGTTCTGGCTGCTCCACTTCTAATCCAGCTTTCTGCTATGGCCTGGGAAAGCAATACAAGATGGCCCAAGTCCTTGGGCCCCTGCACCCGCATAGGAGACCTGGAAGAAGCTCCTGGCTCCTGGCTTCAGACTGGCACAGTTCTGACCATTGCAACCATGTAGGGAGTGAACCAGTGGATGGGAGATCTCAACTGATCTCTCTCTCTCCCCTTCTGCTTCTCTGTAACTCTGCCTTTCAAATAAGATTTGAAAGCGGCCCACAGCCGTTTGCCCCGCCCTGTGACAAGAAAGGCCCCGCCCCACAGAAGCCCAGGACTCCAGATCGCTGTGGCTTGCTTGTGCCCCGGAAGCTGCCCCTTCCCGGGGTCATGATGGGCAGTAAGATGGTGTCTGCTAGAATTTTTTAAAAATTTTAAAAGATTTATTTATTTGAAAGATTTATAGAGACGGGAAGGAGGGAGGGAGGAGAAAGGAGAGAGAGAGCCACACACACACACACACAGATTGCTTTTTCCATCTACTGGTTCACTTCCCAGATAGCTGCAAGGCTAGGCCAGGCCAAAGCCAGGAGCCAGGAGCTTTTTCTAGGTCTCCCACGTGGGTGACAGGAGCCCAACCACTTGGGCCATTAGCAGAGAGCTGGATCAGAAGTGGAGCAGCCGAGATTTGAACCGGTGCCCATATGGGATACTGGTATCACAGGCGGTGCCTTACCTGATACTCCACAGTGCTGCCCCAATTTTTATATTTTCAGATGACCTGTTGCCTACCATTAAAGTTGCATCATCTTTTATACCCACCAAAAATGTATGAGTGTCTCTTCTCCTTCAGTCTTTGTAGACTGTGTTGCCCAAGTTGCACATTTGCCAATTTGACAGATTAAAACAGTGTTTCATGTGGCACTGCAGGTTAGGAAGCCACATAGGATGCCAGCATCCTACATGAGGACTGGTTGGAGCCCCAGCTGCTCTACTTCTGATCCAGCTTCCTGCTAATGCACCTGGGAAAGAAGCAGAAGATGAGCACCTGCCACCCACATGGGAGACCTGGATGGAGATCCTGGCTCCAGCCTGGTCAGTCCCAGCCATTGGGGCCATCTGGGGAATTAACAGAAGGAAGATCTTTGTCTCTCTCTTTCTCTGTCACTTTGTTTTTCAAATAAATAGATAAATTTTAGAAAACAAAATAGCATTTCAGGAATTTAGATTTTCTTTAGGGGCAGGCATGTGGTCTAGAGGTTAAGGCATCCTTGTCCCACATTCAAGCACTTTGGTTAGATAGCGGGGTCAGCTCCTGGCTCCAGCTTCCTGCTAATGCAAACCCTGGGAGATAGCAGTTACTGCTCACTACCACTCATCTGGAGGACCTGGATTGAGTTCTTGCCTCCTGGCAATGGGCCCCCCGAGTGCCTGTTGAATTTGACGAGTGAACCAGAGAATGTAAGTTCTGTCTTTCCTTCCCTGTCTCTGCTTCTCAGAAAATAAAATTTTTAAAAATAAATTTTTCTTAGGTGAGTAAGGTTGAGTAGTTTTTTGTTTGTTTTAATTTAAGAGGTAGAAAAAAAGGTCCTCCGTCCGCTGGTTCACTCCCTAAACAGCTGCAACGGCCAGAGCTGCCCCGATCTGAAGCCAGGAGCCAGGAGCTTCTTCCAGTTCTCCCACACAGGTGCAGGGGCCCAAGGACTTGGACCATCTTCTTCTGCTTTCCCAGGCCATAGCAGAGTGCTGGTTCGGAGGAGGAGCAGCCGGGTCTTGAACCAGCGCCCATATGGGATGCCGGCGTTTCAGGCCAGGGCTTTATTTAACTTGTTGCGCCACAGCACCGGCCCCGAATAGTTTTAAATACATTTGCTAACTTCTATTTTTTTAAAATTTTGTATTTTTAAAAATGTTTAAAGTTTGCATTTCTTTTTCTGCAAACTGCCTAAAACTTCCCATTCAATCATTTTTTTCAGTCTAGTTTTTACAATACATGAGGTGAAGACAAGTTTTTAAAGTTTTTTTTAAAAAGGATTATGTGCTTCTCTATGTACAATCATAATACCTCATATACGGGTTAGTAATTTATGTTTTTACAAATCTCCCCATTTTTAGAAGTCACTGGTCCATATCATTAAAACAAGTTGGTGGCTCTAAATATTTACAACAGCATAAGGTTATATCACCCACAAAGTTATGTTAAATGGCCACAACCTAATGTGCATTTTAAAAGTTGTAAAAAAGAAAAAGCATGAATATTTACCATGAAACTTAATATAACTGGGGGAATGATGCGACCGGCTTGTGTCTCAGAAATTAAGTCCTCAGCTTTGGAGTTCTGTCAGCTTTGGCGCAGAGGTGGCAGTTCGGTAGCAGGTGTAAAGACTGCCAGAAGAAAACAAACTTAAATCAGGCAGTGCCAATCAGCAAAGGAGTACGGCGCGACCCCTGTCAACCCAGAGCTTTTCTTCTGAGCTCGCCAGCTCCCAAGTTTTAACAAGACCGCTCAACTTGGGACGCCACAACTTAACTGGTTTCAGACAGAGTTGAATCATACCGAAGTCAGAGGCTGGCTGTGTAGAGAGGCAATGGCCCTCCCTAGACAGCTTCCCACCCCACGAGCGCGGGCAGCGCCCCGCCGGGGAGAGGGGCGGGGCGGGGGCGGGGCTTACCGCGAGCCGGACGGGCCCCGCCCACGGCCGTCGCCCCGCCCCGTGACGTCACAAGAAAGGCCCCGCCCCACAGAAGCCCACGACTCCAGAGATCGCCGCGGCTCGCTCGCGCCCCGGAAGCTGCCCCTGCCCGGGGTCATGATGGGCAGTAAGATGGCGTCTGCCAGCCGGGTCGTCCAGGTAAAGGGATTCAGCCGCCTTTCGTCACCTTAGGCGGCGGGGACGGCGCTGGGGAGCAACAGCGGTGGCGAAGACTGGCGGGGCCCGCGGCCCTGAGTGGGGCCAGCGGCAGCGGCCGGGATGTGTGGGTGAGGAGGGGACCTGCGCCTGGGCTGTCGGGTCGAGCGGCGAGCCGGGGTCTGGAGCCAGGGCTCCAGCCCGGAGGCGAGAGCGCGGCGCCCGGACGCCTCCGCGGGACCTCGTTATCAGCCCGAGGAGAGTGCGGGCTAGCTGCGCGGCGCTGAGCCGCCGGGCCAATCAGCGTCCAGGGCTGTCTGCGGTGGGCTCGCGTCAGCCAATCGGAAGCGAGGCGGTGGCGCGGCGTGGAAGGGAACGAACCTTGGCTCTGACCCGCTGTCCCTTCAAGGTCTTGGGAATGGCTGGCCAAGTGGCCCCGCGGGTTGAGGCCTGCCTAGGGCCGGTTCGACCCGACGTCTCCCAGCGCTCGACTACTGGAGGGAGGGGTGTAGAAAACACTGCACTGTTTATCACCGTAGGTATTTCATCGCCGGTTTCCCACGCCTGTTTTCCGTGAGTTTAGATAGGCAGCTAGGTAAATTTATTGTTGATCCATGCACTAGCAACCGACTCCTGATAGCTGTTGTACTTGCTTCTGCAGCTGTGGTCTTTAGCTTAAACAGGAGAGGTAAAATCGGCGTAAAAATGACACAGTCCCCACTTGTGTAGTTGACATACAGTCTTCAGCCCTTCAGATGTATTATTTTTGTGCTTAACTGTCAGCTTTGCTAGGAGATTCCCTGTTGCACAGATACGTCTGTGAAAAGACCTTTTCCGGAAGGTCCTGAGGTTGTTTTCTGAATGATAATCCTCACTTACTCGTGTAGCGTGTATTTCTGTAAGGACTGAGGGAACATCTGACAAAGGTCTAGTATCCATGATAGGTAACCATGTATGTCAATGATAAATACGCAACTCAACTTAAAAATGGGTAAAATTCTTGATACTGTACTAAGATATACCCAAATGAGCAAAAAATGTGAAAAGCGTAAATTAAAATAAGGAGAGAAAAAATTTTTTTTTTGACAGGCAGAGTGGAAAGTGAGAGAGAGACAGAGAGAAAGGTCTTCCTTTTGCTGTTGGTTCACCCTCCAATGGCCGGCGCACCGCACTGAGCCGAAGGCAGGAGCCAGGTGCTTCTCCTGGTCTCCCATGGGGTGCAGGGCCCAAGCACTTGGGCCATCCTCCACTGCACTCCCGGGCCACAGCAGAGAGCTGGACTGGAAAAGGGGCAACTGGGACAGAATCCGGCGCCCCGACCGGGACTAGAACCCGGTGTGCCGGCGCCACAAGGTGGAGGATTAGCCTATTGAGCCGCAGCGCCGGCCAGGAGAGAAATTTAAAAGGCTGACAGTACTGAGTGCTGATGAGAATGTAAAACACCTGAAACCCTCATCCACTGCTGATGGGAGTTTAAAGTGGTACAGCCACTTGGGAAAACGTATACCTCCCCATGACCCAGCAATTACAGGCTTATTCCAAGAGAAATGAATGCCTGTACCTTATACTATAAGAAGCCTTGTAGAAAAATGTTCACAGAAAACAAAGTAAGCAGAAGCTTCACTTGTAATAACCTCCAAACAAGAAACAATTCATATGTCCATTATTAGGGTAAATTGTGGTAGTTAAGATGGGATAGTACGCAGTGGTAATAACTCACTGCTGATATGTACAAGGATTCTGTGAGATAGATGTTGAATGGCCTTCCTATCCAGAGTAAAGATCTGTATGGTATTCCCATATTCATAATACAGGCATTAGGCATAATAATTACATACCACATATATTGAGTACCTCTGTGCCCGGCCTATACTTGTTGAGACCTCACTGCCAACAAAACAGACATAGAACTTTGAATTTGGTAGTTGATCCATTTCTAAAGAATTACATTACAGAAAACTGGCACAATCTGATGGGAAATCACAATGGAGGGTCTTTGAACAGTAAGTGAAGAGAAAATACATCTTGAAACATTTTAATAGAATTTTCCTGATATAAAAGAAGAGTTAACCCAATACCTTGTATGGGGAGAAGTGAGCCAATATGGTTGATTAATGAATTTAATGATAAAGTCATTAAATTTTAAACAGAACTTCTTTGCTGACCCAGGCAATAAGACTAGGCACTTAAAAGGGAACAAAAGTCATAAATTTAAAAAAATAATTTCTTCATCCAGGAGGACATATTCAAGGTAGTAAAGGAAAGTAAAAGTGATTTTGTAACTGTACTGACCTTAAAGTGTAAAGGTCACAAAAAAAAATATATATATATATATTTTTTTTTTTTGACAGGCAGAGTGAACAGTGAGAGAGAGAGAAACAGGGAGAAAGGTCTTCCTTTTTGCCGTTGGTTCACCCTCCAATGGCCACCGCGGCTGGCGCGCTGCGGCCGGCACACTGCTGATCCGATGGCAGGAGCCAGGTGCTTCTCCTAGTCTCCCATGTGGGTGCAGGGCCCAAGTACTTGGGCCATCCTCCACTGAACTCCTGGGTCATAGCAGAGAGCTGCCCTGGAAGAGGGGCAACTGGGACAATCCAGCGCCCCGACCAGGACTAGAACCCGGTGTGCCAGCGCCCCAAGGCGGAGGATTAGCCTATTGAGCCACGGCGCTGGCCCACAAAATGTATTTTCTTAAAATATTTTATTTATTTGAAAGGCAGAGTTATATAGAGAGAGGTCTTCCATCCACTGGTTCATTCCCCAAGTGGCTGTATTGGCCAGAGCTGAGCCTATCCAAAGCCAGGAGCCAGGAGCTTCTTCCAGGTCTCCCAAGTGAGTGCAGGGGCCCCAGGACTTCCTGCTTTCCCAGGTGCATTAACAAGGAGCTGAATCAGAAGTGGAGCAGCTGGGACTTGAACTGGCACCCATATGGGATGCTGGTGCTGCAGGTTGGGGCTTTTAACCCATTGTACCACATTGTCGATCCCACACAAACTCTCCTGAACATTTCATAACTCAGTGTTCTCAAGAGCTCCTCCTACTAGATCTACTTTGACATTAGAAAATCACTGGAGATGTTTCAATACAACTACTGGGGATGAGTATAAGGTATGTTTAACTGTAGAACCAAGAGTAAAGAGTGGAGATAGTAACTGTTTGTTTGTTCTGACAGACCAAATATAACCTTTTTTTTTTTTTTTTTTGACAGGCAGAGTGGACAGTGAGAGAGAGAGAGAGAGAGAAAGGTCTTCCTTTGCCGTTGGTTCACCCCCCAATGGCTGCTGTGGCCGGCGCACCACGCTGATCTGAAGCCAGGAGCCAGGTGCTTCTCCTGGTCTCCCATGGGGTGCAGGGCCCAAGCACTTGGGCCATCCTCCACTGCACTCCCGGGCCACAGCAGAGAGCTGGCCTGGAAGAGGGGCAACCGGGACAGAATCCGTCGCCCCGACCGGGACTAGAACCCGGTGTGCTGGTGCTGCAGGCAGAGGATTAGCCTATTGAGCCACGGCGCCGGCCCAAATATAACCTTAAAAATATATAACTTTAAAAAATTGAAGAATAAGGGGAAGAGTTTATAGAAGGTAAATTAATTTGCTATTGCCTCTACTTACTAACTGGCAATAGGAGGTGCTGAAGGAATACAGAATAATACAGAATAGATTGCTGTAATATCTCATCATTTCTCATAATAATGAACCAACAGTATTGCAAAAAAGAGTGACTAAAGGTATTATCTAGAAATATTAATGTAAACACATACAAAAATATAGTTTTTTTCTAAATATCAAAAGTCAAGTGAAAGAAAAAAGGCACATAACCAAAGAATTTATCATAAGACAGATTTATACCAAACTTTGAAGTTATATCTGTAAATGTAGATGGGCAATAACATTTTCAGGTTAGCTAACATGAAAATCCAGCACTGTGCTATGTAGGAAGCACAGCTAAATCTAAGAGATCTGAAAGGTAAAAATAGAAGGATAGTTGACTTATACTTGACAAAGGTCAAAGGCAGCCGGCACCGCGGCTCACTAGGCTAATCCTCCACCTAGCGGCACCGGCACCCCGGGTTCTAGTCCCGGTTGCCCCTCTTCCAGGCCAGCTCTCTGCTGTAGCCAGGGAGTGCAGTGGAGGATGGCCCAAGTGCTTGGGCCCTGCATCCCATGGGAGACCAGGATAAGTACCTGGCTCCTGCCATTGGATCAGCGCGGTGCGCCAGCCACAGCACACCAGCCACAGCCGCCATTGGAGGGTGAACCAATGGCAAAAAGGAAGACCTTTCTCTCTCTCTCTCTCTCTCACTGTCCACTCTGCCTTTCAAAATAATAATAATAATTTTAAAAAGGTCAAAGGCAACATAATGGAGAAAAATTCATCTTCAACAAGTGGTGCTGAAAATGCTGGATACCTTCATGAAAAGGAAAACAATTTAAAATTGAATCTAGACGAAGACTTTACACCCTTCACTCAAAAGGGGGCTGGCACTGTGGCATAGCAGATAAAGCTGCAGCCTGCAGTGCTCTCATCCCAAATGGGTGCCGGTTCAAGTCCCAGCTGCTCCACTTCCAATCCAGCTCTCTGCTGTGGCCTGGGAAAGCAGTGGAGGATGGCCCAAGTCCTTGGGCCCCTGCACCCACGTGGGAGGCTGTGAAAAGCTCCTACACATTTTAACTCAGACTGTGGAATCGGGGGAAGTTGCTTAGAGAGGAGTGACACTTGAGCTGTTTTATAGGTTTAGCAGTCAGGGTAGGCTCCAGATGCAGTGGGGATGGCAAGAGCGTGATGAGTTAGGGAAGTGAAAAGTACTTAGGATACCTGGGTGGCAGACGCATCAGTGGTGGGGACTACGACTGCAGACAGGAGAGGCCACATGGTGACAAGCCTCTGAATGCCAAGTAAGAGTTTGAACTTTATCCTGAGAACTGTGGAACATTTTTCATATTTTTAAATAGGGCAGTAGCAGTAGGATGAGACGGGAAATTCTTTCACAAAGCTCAGTTATGAAAGGGAAGAAACAGTAGAAAGAAAAGTGGGTTTTGTTTTTTGTGTGGGTTTTTTTTTGTTTGTTTTTTTAGATTTATTTTATTTGAAAGACAGTTACATACAGAGAGAGGTAGAGACAGAGAAGTCTTCCATCCACTGGTTCACTCCCCATATGGCCGCAAGGGCCAGAGCTGCACCAGTCAGGAGCCAGGAGCTTCTTTCGGGTCTCCCACGCGGGTGCAAGGGCCCAAGCACTTGGGCCATCTTCTGCTGCTTTCCCAGGCCACAGCAGAGAGCGGGATTGGAAGAGGAGCAGCCGGGACTCGAACCAGAGCCCATATGGAATGCTGGCACCTCAGGCCAGGGTTTTAAGCCACAGTGCCAGCCCCTTGTTTTTAACTCTGCAAACTTGGGCATACTTCTATGTGGAGGACAAGAACCTATCCCAGCCTTTTCTCTCAGCAGCAGAATTGTGGTGCTGGAACTTCAGGCTGCTCCCAACAAGCCTGCTTACTTCTGTACTCACATAAAATGCCTGATAGTCCATATATACGGATATATTTACAGATAAACATACCTCAGTCTCATTAGTTACATAGCAATTTATAGATTACTTTGGTTAAAAAGTGTACTCTGTTCGTTAGATTATTCATTGAAGTGGTTTCATACTAATAGGTTTAAAGTTTTCTGTAGCACTCTAGAATCTTAGGGATGAAAATGTTCATAGTCTTTCAATGTCTATCATAATAACATTATTCTAAAAAGCTGTATTTCCTTGAATTTAGGAAAAAGACTAAAAATCTACCAGATATTTTTATCTGCTTTATGTGGGCTTGGAGATTATAGTGATTTCTTCTTTGTGCTTTTCTGCATTTTTTGCAAATTTCTTACTGTCGCTCCCCCTCTTCGCGGAGGAACGACACAGGACCCTGCGCTGTTCTTTTGTCTGCTCGGCCCTCCCCGGGTTTGCTGCTGGTTCTTCCCGGGTTGGCTACCGTCCTTCCACCTCCGTGGAAGGGCGGTTCCCCCTGCCACATTCCCCACTTCTGCGGGGGAGCGGCACACCGCTGGCCGGCTCTCTCGGGGGCTGCTCAGGTGTTCCTTCAGATGTTCCCCTTAGATGTTCCTGGTGCATGTTGTCTCTCTCCTCCTTTATAGTCCTCTTCCACCAATCCCAACTCTGCTACCCACACGCCGAGCACGCTGCTATCCTCCAATCAAGAGCAGGATCAGCTCCTGCAGGTTACTGCTTGAACTGGAGGCAGCTGTGTAAAAGTTGTTTTTACTCCTCTCCCAGCGCCATATTGTGGGAGAGCAGATGCATAGAATAAATCTTAATTCCAGTAACTTAGCCTAGTCTCAGTTGCTCCCCACACTTACAGTGAGCCAGTGTTACTTTTGTAGTCAGAAAAGGTGTTATTTACCTAATTCTCTATGTGATTGTTTGCTTTGTATCCTATCCTGAACTGTTCGATATTGACATAGTAGGGAAACCACAATCAGTACAAATTGAGAAACTTCCAGTCTCTTTCTTACCAATAAATAAATCATGCAAGATAAAATCCATGTCATCTTTTTATAAGGTTATTTTGAGGTCAGTTAATAATATACTGAAAAGTCTTGTGATACATAAAGCACAAAATGATGACTAGAAAATAAGCAAGTTAATAATTCATAAACCAGCTTTTCTGATTAGAGAAAAATACGATTGTTGCTGTCAAATAGTTGTTTTAACAAGGTTATCCATTTATGAGCTTTAGTAGATGACTGCTTCTATAGTCAATGAGATTTTTTTTTATGCATTTTATTGTTCTTTTAGGTAGTCAAGCCACATACCCCGTTAATAAGGTTCCCTGACAGAAGAGACAATCCTAAACCCAATGGTAAGTTGTACTTTATTTAGATTTTCTAAGTAGTGATTTTTAGTTAAATATTTTTCATTTTTATTTATTTGTAAGAGTGACAGAGAGCAAGAAGGAGAGAGAGAGAGATGTTCCATCCACTGGTTCAATCCCCAGATGGGCATAATAGCTGGGGCTGAGCTACGCTAGAGCAAGGAACCGGAAACTCCACCCAGGTCTCCACGTGGGCCCAAGCACTTGGGCAGTCCTCCACTGCTTTCCCAGTCACATTAGCAAGGAAATGGATCAGAAGTGGAGCAGGCGAGACTCAAACCGGGGATGCCAGCATTGCAGGCAGCAGTTTAATCTGCTGTGCCAGGGTGCCAGCTCCCAGAGTATTTTTTTTAAGATTTATTTATTTTATTTTGAAATGCAGAGCAACAGAGAGAGAGACAGGGAGGGAGACCTTCCATCTGCTTATTCACTCCTCAAAATGGCTGTAGTAGCCCAGTCTGGGCCAGGCTGAGGCTAGGAACCAGGAACTCCATACTGGCCTCCCACTTGGGTGGGAGGGACCTAAGTACTTGGGTCATTTTCTGTTGCCTTCTCAAGCACATTAGCAGGCAGCTGGATTAGAAGTGGAGTAGTCAGGACTTGACTGCTTGACAGTGGATGGCACTGCAGTTATGAGTTGTTAGCATTGCGAGCAGTGACAACCAGTTTTGCCACAGTGCTGGCCCCTTATATTGAAAAATTGTTATTTAGGTTTATCGACTTATTCCCCATTGTAATATATTAGCTATAAACTTCAACATGTGTTGGCCTCTGAGGGCTTTTATGACAAAATTTAAGTAGTGTAGGTTATACATAATGGGTTGAACTCCAGGCACTAACTAGAAGTCTTTTTCAAACTTATTCATTTTTGGAATTCACTTACTTAAAACTCATTATTTCACACTTGAGTAATTGCTCTAATTAGGTGTGTTTTTGTTTTTTAAATGTCAGTGTCTGAAGCTTTGAGATCAGCTGGATTACCATCTCACACTTCTACAGTCGCACAGCATGCGAAGGGAAGTAAATCACCAGATCTGCTGATGTATCAGGGGCCACCGGACACTGCCGAAATCATTAAATCGTTACCTCAGAAATACAGACGGAAACCCGTACCTCCAGAAGAAATGGAATTTATCCAAGTATGTTGTTGTTCTTTATCACAAGACTTTGCAAAACATTTTGGCTTTTGGAGTTTTGTGCGCTGACTTATCTGCTGCTCCCATCGTCTTGTCAGTTATGGTGGTAGTTAAGGCAGATTTGGGCAGGTAGACCAGGACTGAGAGTCAAACCATACTTTGTGCATTAAATAGCAATAGGCGTAGCCACATGAAGAAAATTTATTGGAGTCTTCAGTAATTTTTGGAGTGAAGAGAGCTCCTGAGGCAAGATTGTTTCAATTTTTATTTATTTATTTAAGAGGCAGACAGCGCTCCCATCCACGGGTCTGTCCACTAAATTCCCACAATAGCCAAGGCTGGGTGGGCTGGGCGGTAGGAACTGCGCCTGCCAAAGTCTGCAGCAGCAGGAAACTGGTCAAAAGCTGGAACTTGGGGCCAGTGCTGTGGTGTAGCGGGTGAAGCCACCACCTGCAGAGCTGGCATCCCAAATGGGTGCTGGTTCAAATCCTGGCTGCCCTACTTCCAAGCCAGCTCTGCTGTGGCCGGGAAAGCAGTAGAAGATGGCCCAAATTCTTGGGCCCTTGTCTTTGGATTGGTGCAGCTGCAGCCGTTGGGGCCATCTAGGGGGTGAACCAGTGGATGGAAGACCCCCTCTCTCCCTTTCTCTCTCTTTCTCTGCCTCTGCCTCTCTGTAACTCTGCCTTTCAAATAAATAAATACATCTTAAAAAAAAGAGCTGGAGCTGGGCGTTGAACCCCGGTGCTCCAACATGGGAACGTGTACCTCCTAACCACTTGGCCAGATACCTATCCTGAGACAAGACATCAGGGACAAGCGATCTAGGTCATTGCTGAGCCCCTTCCAGGTCTGAAATCATGTTTATGACAGTGGTTACGAATGCCCAAAAGCTATGGAAAACCGAAATTGTTTTTTTAAAAACTAGGGATAATCTGCTTAGAATTGTGTAAATTTTTCTAGTGGTCATGAAAGCATTTATCTCAATTTAACATCTCATCTTACTGCTTTTCCTTTTCCTGTGCAGCGTGGAGGTCCCGAGTAACCGCTGTGGCTGCTGCTTGTCATCAGACAAAAGGATTGTCTTTATAATAAAGGACTCCCAAAATGACAAATGAAAAATTGTATATGAAATAACTTTAATAAATATTCTGTAAAAAAATAATGAAATATAGAAAATTCAGACGAACACCTGCATCTCCTAATTTATGTATCTTGGTCAGCTTCTCCACGAGCTTACCTAATTGTTTATATACTTTATACTTATTAAAGCATACATTTCTAAATGTTAGCCTATTAATTTACTCGTGATGATCAAGTATTACCAGTGTTGAACTACTGCAAGCACACAACGTCTAGTAAACAAACGATCATAGATCTCCCGTAATTTCACTCTTCTGTTTAGACAGGACAAGAATTTATCAGATGGAATGGCTGCTGTAGAAGTGCTTTTCCTGAAATTAGATGAAGAATAGTGAAATAATGGCTCCATTATTTGTTCTAAATTTGCTAACATTTTTTCAGTCATAAGGTTACTAAAGTATAACTGGCTTATTAATAAGTATATCCTACTCCAAATGATAAAAATATACCCAAGATAAAAACAGATGTCCATGGTATTAGAATGGGTAAATAAGACAAAAGATTATTTGTAACCTATATTCAGAAAAAATTTCAGAGTATGAAATAAGGATACGAATATAGGAATAATTTTCACTACAGATTGTAGTTTATTATATTCTGGGAGATAAAGTCATTGTTTGGTTTACCACTTTGTGATCATGTGTGCAAATCCTGGTAATCATTAACTTCCTCAAATTTATGTCTTAAAACCTCATATATTCACCTTAAATAATTTACTTTATTAAGGCAATTTATCAAACTTTAACAGGATCATCCTATGCCAACGGTATGTATATTATGAAAATAAAACCTCACAAAGCTAAATAAATTCTCTTCCATATCTTAATGATTTCCAGAACGTGCTTAAAGAAGTCATCCTGATAGTGAGGGTGGTAGCTCATGAGCGATAGACAGTAGAAGTGTTGAGTTCATGTTTCCTTTTTTTTTGGTAAGATTTATTTATTTTACTTGAAAGTCAGAACTAGAGGGAGACACACAGAGAGAGATCCTCCATCCGATGGTCCACTCCCCAAATGGCTGCAGTGGCTGTAGCTGAGCTGATCTGAAGTCAGGACCCAGGAGCTTCATCCAGGTCTCCCACGTGAGTGCAGGGGCCCAAGCATTGGGCCATCGTCTGCTGCTTTCCCAGGCGCACTAGCAAGGAGCTGAATGGGAAGTGGAGCAGCCAGGACTTGAACCAGCATTCCTTTGGGATGCCAACACTACAGATGTCACCCTAATCCGCTGCACCAGCCGGCCCCAGAATTCTTCACCCAGCTACCTGTGGGTTACTCTTACATCTGCTGCTCCAGTTCATCTGCTTCTCTTGTAAATTCTGTGTTGTAGTCCCATGTAAATGTTCCCCAACACAAACGAGAGATAGGAATTTGGGTTGGATGCTAGCAGTCTACTCATACTAGTCTTTTGCTCTTTCTTACTTTTCTCCCAAGAAGCCCAGGGCCATTTTTTGCTTCCAGAAAAGGGATTTCAGGTAATGGAGAGCGGTTAGAGTAATACTGTGGGTGCCATTAGAAACCCTAATTCTGGAATTAAGAATCTGAGGGCTGGCAGGCGCCGCGGCTCACTAGGCTACTCCTCCGCCTAGCGGCGCCGGCACACGGGGTTCTAGTCCCGGTTGGGGCGCCGGTTCTGTCCCGGTTGCCCCTCTTCCAGGCCAGCTCTCTGCTGTGGCCAGGGAGTGCAGTGGAGGATGGCCCAAGTGCTTGGGCCCTGCACCCGTGGCGGCCATTGGAGGCAAAGGAAGACCTTTCTCTCTGCCTCTCTCTCACTGTCCACTCTGCCTGTCAAAAAAAAAAAAAAAAAAAAGAATCTGAGGGCAGTCCTTACTACAGTTCTTGCCACGAAGATCAAAATGAAAAAAATCACTTGTATAATCTGGGGGGTGAACCAGCACATGGGAGACCTCTCTCTCTACCTCTCTTTCAAATAAATCTTTAGACAAAAATGTTTATTTTGATGAAAGAATTTTTTTTTATAATTCACAAGTATAGCTAGGCAAAAGCATGTCAGTGGGAATGGCTGTCACAGGATGAGCTCCAAGGACAGTGTTGTAGACAGAATTCTGGCAAGGCTGAGTCAGGACGTCTGTTTCCATTAGGGGTTAAGCACTCACACAAGGGTATTCCAGAAAGTTCAAAGAAAAATAGTTAAAAGATGTTTATTTTGGTGCCAGCGCTGTGGCATAGCAGGTTAAAGCTGCTGCCTGCAGTGCCGGCATCCCATATGGACACTAGTTCAAGTCCTAGCTGCTCCACTTTGATCCAGCTCCCTGCTAATGTGCCTGGGAGGGCGGCAGAGGATGGCCCAAGCGCTTGGGCCCCTGCACCCATGTGGAAGACCCTAGAAGAAGCTCCTGGCTCCTGGATTTGGATCTGCTCAGCTCTGGCCCACTGGTGGCTATTTGGGGGGTGAACCAGCACATGGAAGACCTCTCTCTCTACCTCTCTAACTCTTTCAAATAAATCTTTAGACAAAAATGTTTATTTTGATGAAAAGATTTTTTTTTTAATTCTGCATAGTTTTTTTTAATGATATCCATGAAATTTTTGAAGAATCTTTGTATAATTAACCATCAGCAAATTGGTTAATTTGTGTTTCAGTTTTCCTCTCTAGTATTCTACAGTATAGGATCAAATTAGAATATTATCTGTAACCTGAGAATTTAGTGGCTGGAAACAGTAAGCCCTTATGGCTCAGTTACTGGGGCTGCAGTCATCTGAAGGCTTGGCTGCAGCTGACAGTCCCATCTCCAGGGTAGACCACTCACGTGGCAAGTGATGCTGGCTGTTGTTGGCAGGAGTTCCTCTCCGTGTAGGAAGGCTGTGCGTGTGGACTGACACGACTGACTTTCCCTGTAGTAATGATGCAGGCGTGCAGGCAGCAATGGCTGCTCCCACTTCCACCGCTGTGCCGTGTTCCACTGGTACAGAACAGCTTGTCTCATTGTGGGAGGACGACACAAGGGCATCCATAGCAGAAGGCAAGGTCGTCATGGCCATCTTTGACTAATAACAGATCTATAAACTCCGTGAGGTGCAGCAAAAGCTCAATATTTACAGACCTCATTGCCAGGGTATCAGCTAACCCATCGTCAGCAGCACGGTACAAGGTATGGAGTATCAACTTGTAGGACATGGCACACTTGAGAACCTCAAGCCTCAAAGGTAAAACTATCGTATTTAGCTCATTAGCTCTACAAGGAGGTAAAATTACCAAAGTATGTCTTTCGGAAGGAACGCTGGCAGAAGTCACACGACAGCACGCCTCTCTAGGTAGGACTTGCCCCAAGAAAAGTGGTAAATCCGGTGCACTTCCTGCAATGTACAAATCTTGCCTAGAGCCAGGTAGTGACAAAGCACCGAAAAAGAACAGTAATGGCTATCGTCAACCAAGACCTAGCTGCCGGAAATAAACTAGGTACGCGTAGTAGGTGGTTTGGCCCGGTCCTCCATCTCGTGATTGCATACTGGCGGGCAGGTATTCCGCTACAGGCGGTCTGATGCCGGAGCTAATGCTGACTTGCTGTATTACACGAACTGCACTGTTTTTGGCCTTGGCATCCTGCCATCTTCAACACGTCTCTGAAATCGGGATTTCGGCTCTCAGAAGCGTCAGATGCAATGGAGGAAACATTTCCGTGGTGCAGGCTGCTCCACTCAGATCTTGGAATCATTCTTTCCCCCTCCAACCCGTATCCAGCCTGTCCGTAAATGCTATTGGGTAGAAAGCAAGCAGAGTCATCTGGATTGTTGCACTAATTTTCTAACAGGGTCCTCTTTCTAAAAAATACTTAAAATCACTCTTCATCTGTGAAGCAGAACGGGCAAGCCCGTCTGCTGGTTCACTCCCCAGATCTCAATGGCAGCGGCCAGGCCAGAGCCACCAGCTGGAATGCAACCTCGCTGGTAGGAACTCAAGTACCCGAGCCATCTCCGCTCAGGCGAGTGGGATTCTGCCTCCCTAGGCCTGCTCCTCCCTAAGGGGAGTGCACCTGCTCCCGACTCGGCCTCAGAACGCGGCAGAGGTCGCGGGTTCTGGCGTCCACAGCAACCGTGACGCCGGAAAGCCTAGAGCAGCAACCAGCACGCGGTCACAAACTATCCGCACACGCACAGCCCTAGAAAATTCCGAACGCGGAACACATCAGGACGCCCACTCGTCCCCGACTGCGAGGACAACACCCAAATTGAAGCGATAAAACAGCAACACAGCGGCTGCCCAAAGGGCCGCACTTCCGGCATCCGCGGCGGTCACGTGACGGGCGCGACCCCGGCCCTGAGCGGCTTTGGTCCGGACGGGCTTTGCCCGGACTCTTTTAACAGCTGCTCCGCCCACCCCGGAAGTAGGGGCGGAGCCTCAAGCGTCGGAGCCCAGTGAGCGGAAGGGGCTGTTGGAGGCTTTAAGGTAGCTTTAAATTCCAGCTGTCTGGGGCGCCTGCCTCTTTTGGCTGGAGTCGGACTTCGGTTCCCGGATGGCTGTGGACGTGAAGTCTCGAGCTAAGCGTTATGAGAAACTGGACTTCCTCGGGGAGGGCCAGGTGAGGCTCTCGGGCGGGATGGAGAGCAGCGCGCGCACAGCCTTGCAGGGTTTTCCATGGACGCCCGAGGGCCTTGGCCGCTCGCTCTCCGTGGGGAGGCCGCCCGGACACAGCTGCCGCCCCGTTTTGTGCCCTGGAGGTTGGACCCCCACCCGGGAGCCCCCCGCTGCTTCCCGGCGGAGCGCGCTGGAGAGGGACGGGGCTGCCGAGCGCGGTGCAGGCCGCGGGGCCCGCGGGCTCCCCGCTGGCGCGAGCAGCAAGCGCCCGGGACTCAGTTCTCCCTGTTTCTCTTTCCAGTTTGCCACAGTTTACAAGGCCAGAGATAAGACCACCAACCAAATTGTCGCCATTAAGAAAGTGAGTCGCCGGCCGGGGGTGTCGTCTGCTCGCTCGGGGCGCTCCCCGAGTGCCTGTGCAGCGCCGGCGCGCACGCCCGGCGGGTTTCAGGCGCGCCGACGAGGAAGCCTGCGCCGCGTTGCTGGATGCGCTCGGGTTTGGGCCGCGGGGGCAGGCACTGCCCGCCTGCTGGGTCCGAGCAGGGTCTGCCGCCGGCGGGCTGTGGTTTCTGGGCACGGGTTGGCCAGGAGGGGCTTCAGCCGCGCCAGCGACGCTGACGGGGTGCGGAAGCCTGCGTCACAGCCAGCCGGCCTCTGCAGTGCCCGGTGCACGCTTGGGGTACCCGAGGCTGAGAGGAGTCCGGAGGCTTGTCGGGCTCACACAGCCGGCAAGGCTGAAGCTGGGGCGCGACCCCGCGTGTCGCTTCCCCGCTGCTGAATTCTGCAACCGCCAGGGCGGGGCTGTCTGTCTCACCTCTCTAAGGGCCTGTTAGTGGGGCAGGGGACCTCCGTGTTAACTTGTTCCAGCTGCTACTTTGTTTCTCCTTCAAAAGCCTTTAGGAGCGTCCATCATCAGGCTCTCTCTCTCCTGTTTCTCTCATAGCCGTGTTTCCAGCTTAGTGTTTGAGGACCCAGCCCTGCAGTCACTCCCTCGGAACGCCCCCAGCGCTGGTCCTTTCTACCCCTGACTGCATTCTGACACTGATGATCCCCTGTGTCGTGGACGCAGATGTTCATTCCTTCTTTTTTTGACAGGCAGAGTGGGACAGTGAGAGAGAGACAGAGAAAGGTCTTCCTTTGCCGGTGGTTCACCCTCCAATGGCCGCTGCAGCCGGTGCACCGCGCTGATCCGATGGCAGGAGCCAGGTGCTTCTCCTGGTCTCCCATGGGGTGCAGGGCCCAAGCACTTGGGCCATCCTCCACTGCACTCCCGGGCCACAGCAGAGAGCTGGCCTGGAAGAGGGGCAACCGGGACAGAATCCGGCGTCCCGACAGGGACTAGAACCCGGTGTGCTGGTGCCGCTAGGCGGAGGATTAGCCTAGTGAGCCTCGGCGCCGGCCTTGAAATCCTCTTAATCTGAGTTTGTCAGTTTAATTGTATTTACATACCTAGGACTATGTCTAGTACATTTGTAGTCACCAGTTAAAAATGTATTGGCTTAGCCGGCGCCATGGCTCACTAGGCTAATCCTCCGCCTTGCGGCGCCGGGACACCGGGTTCTAGTCCTGGTCGGGGCGCCGGATTCTGTCCCGGTTGCCCCTCTTCCAGGCCAGCTCTCTGCTGTGGCCAGGGAGTGCAGTGGAGGATGGCCCAAGTGCTTGGGCCCTGCACCCCACAGGAGACCAGGAGAAGCACCTGGCTCCTGGCTTCGGATTAGCGCGGTGCGCCGGCCGCGGCGGCCATTGGAGGGTGAACGAACGGCAAAAGGAAGACCTTTCTCTCTGTCTCTCTCTCACTGTCCACTCTGCTTGTCAAAAAATAAAAATTAAAAAATTTTAAAAAATGTATTGGCTTAAGGTGAGCATTTGGCTCAGCAGTTACACGTCACCAGTTGGGATACCAGCATCCCAAATCGAAGTGCCTGGGTTCAGATCCCACCACTGTTTCCTATTTGAAAGGCAGAGTTACAGAGAAGCAGAGGCAGAGTGGGAGAGGTCTTCCATCCACTGGTTCACTACCCAAATGGCTGCAATGGCTGGAGCTGGGCTGGTCCAAAGCCAGGAGGCAGGAGCTTTTTCCGGGTCTCCCAGGTGGGTGCAGGGGCCCAACCACTTGGGCTGTCTTCTTCCACTGCTTTCCCAGGCCACAGCAGAGCGCTGGATCGTAACTGGAGCAGCCTGGTCTCAAACCAGCGCCCATATGGGATGCTGGCACTGCAGGCCACTCCTCCCCACCCCTACTGCTTCTAATCCAGCCTCCTGCTAGTGCTTATCTTGGGAGGCAGCAGATGATGGCTCAACTACTTGGGTCCCTGTCATCCATTGTAGGCATTGGGGAGTAAACCAGCAGATGGAAGATATGTCTCTCTATCTCTGTCTTTCAAATGAAATTTAAAAATGTACTTGTCATTTATTGTTCTGTAGTCTGAAAGTTCATGTGTTTTCTTTTAAGATTTATTTATAAAAGGCTGTTGGGCATTTGAACAGTGAACCAACAAATAGAAGATCTCTCTCTGTCTCTCTTGCTCTGCCTTTCACATAAATAATAATATTTTAAAGGGTATATGGTGATTGTTACAGTTAACATCTTTCTGATTGCTTGTAAGATCATCTTTTCTTAGATTTGGTTTCTTAGATTGTCTCTGACCTGTGTTTTTCAGTTTGCTTGCTTTTTTTTTCTGCCTGATTTGTTGAAATTCTTTGTATTTTCTGGATATTGCTCTTTGTCAGAAGTATACATTGCAAATACCAGTCCAGTGTGTAGCCAGGCTTTTAGTTTATTTATGGTATCTTTTGAGACACTGATGTTAAAATTTAATTTGGTTGAATTTGTCATTTTTTTTTCCTTTATAGGTTTCCTTTCTGTGTGCTTTCCTGCCCTCAGTTATTTGGTCCACATTTAAGCTTGAACAGATAAAGGAGACACTTATTTTCTTAATTCCATTATTTGAATGTGTAGTTCAGAAACATAAGGGACAAGAGTAGGTATTTGATTCTTCTATTGTTAATTTTGCCTTTTCAATTCATGACTCCTACTCCCTTTGTGTCTGCTAATACTAGCTACATATGAGTTGCTACATGTTTTTGCTGTGGCTAAATTTTTGAAATTTTATGGATTATGCATTGAGTATGAATAATTTAACACATTTTTAATGTGTTTGTTTTCCTCTACTAGATCAAACTGGGTCATAGATCAGAAGCCAAAGATGGTGAGTGTTTCATGTAATCTGACAGAACTGGAATGGTTTTATTCTCACTGAGGAAATGAGCACAGTATTACTAAGAGTGGTTTTGGTCAGAGCTGTTGCAGAGAATAAAGCTAGACTCAGGGTGGGGAAAGGATATTTAATGATTTTCATCACTTGTTTGTTCATAGGAGTGTTCAGATCAAAAGCAGACTGCTTTGGTCTTCATTACTGTTTTAACTGTTACACCCCTCCCCCTTTTGTTTTTTTAAGATTTATTTATTTATTTGAAAGGCAGAGGAAGAGAGGTTTTCCATCCACTGGTTTACTCCCCAAACGGCCGCAATAGCCAGAGTTGTGCTGATCCGAAGCCAGCAGGGGCCCAAGGACAGCCATCTTCCACTGCTTCCCCAGATCGTAACAGAGAGCCGGATTGGAAGTGGAGCAGCTGGACTTGAACTGGCACCCATATGGGATGGCGGCACCACAGGCAGTGGCCTTACCCACTACACCACAGTGCCATCCCCAACCCATTGTTTTTTGATCTTAGAGCTTCTGATTACTTAAAAATTCAAGATACATCTTTGTTGAAGTACACAAGACTCACTGTGGAATGAACGTATAAGATTTCTTTATTTTTTCTTCCCAAGCCTTTTTAGTGCTAAGTCCTGTTTAATCTTCAGAATAATCCTTATAAAAAGACCTGTCATCGGCCAGCACTACATCTTATTTTTAATTTTAAAGTTCTATGCTTATTTTGGAAGTGATTTTTTTAAATATTTTATTCATTTGAACAGTAGAGCAAGAGAGAACAAGGATCTTTTATCCACTGTTTCTCTCCCTCAAAAGTCCCCAACGTCATAGCTGAAGCCAGGACCTGGAATTTCATCCGGGACTCCAACATGGGTGCCAGAGGCCCAAGTACTTAGGCCATTGTCCACTGCCTTCCCAGGTGCCTTGCTTAGCAGGGAGCTGGATTGGCAGCAGAGCAGCTAGGAGGACTCAGCTGGCAATCTGACATGGGATGCTAGAGTTGCAGGTGGTAAGAGCTGCCACATCACCAGCCCCTGGAAGTGATACTGTATTACCACTCGTTTGCTTTTAGCACAAAGAATCAGCCTCTAATATCTGTAGGGCAAGAGATAGGAAGCTATTTACTTGCTACCTTTGTGGTACATGTATTTATGTTTTTAGACCAGTGACCTTTGGATCTGATATGCTATAGATAGAGTGGAAATTTACTCCACCATTTATGATAGTCTGTTAAGCTGTTTGAGAAATAAGGCAATATAAGAGAAAAATAGATTTGTTCAAAAATTTGCTGCTATAACTCTTTTTGGGGCCAGCGTTTGACCTAGCAGTTAAGATGGTGGTTGAGATGTCCACGTCTCACATTGGAGTTCCTGAGTTTGATTCTCAGCTCTGGCTCCTGATTTCAGCTTTCTGCTAATGCAAACCCTGGGAGGTAGTCGTGATGGGTTTCGTAATTAATTTCTACTACCCATATGGAAAACCTCAGTTGTGTTCCCAACCCAAGCTGTTGTGGGTATTTGGGGAATGAACCAGCAAATAGGAGCTCTTTCTTTCAAATTAAAAGAAAATTAAAAGAAATAAATAGCCTATGAGAGCCCCCCCCCTTTTTTTTTTTATAAAATGTTCATTGCTATTTCCTGAGATGACTAACCTTTCCTAAAAAATATATTTGAGTGGGCTTGAGATACCAGAATTATTCTTTACTTTTTGCTTTGCTTTTTTGCATAGGTATAAACAGAACAGCCTTAAGAGAGATCAAATTATTACAGGAGCTAAGTCATCCAAATATAATTGGCGTGAGTATGATCTAACTAGTTTCTAGGGCTTAGGACACTGCCTTTTCCAATCATGGAAATTGATTAAATTTGAAAAGTTGATTAACAGTCCAGCAAGATGAGTTGTTTGAGGTAAGCCTTGGAGAAGAAGCTTAAACGCAAGCAGTCTGAAAGTATTTTCTGTCCTAATTGTTCCTGCAGGCAGTAGCTTTAAAATTATACAGCTGATGAAATGTTGACATAGGTTGATGTCAGAAATTCTGAAACCTGCATATCTGCAGCATAGTGATTAAGAGTGTCAGTCTGCACCCAGAACCTGCTTTCTGCCTGAGACCTGGCTTGCGACTCCGTGCTGTAGTCCCTATTTCATAGGGTTCTCGTAAGACCAGCTAATTGAATGCGGTATCACCCGTCGTAGTGCCTGCCTTAGAATATGCTCGTTCGCTCCGTGACAGCTGCTGCTGTTTGGAGGGTTCTCTTGAGCACTGTGCTTGAATCCGGGACTGAGGTCAAGTTTGCTGTAATTCGTTTCTTAATTGAAACTCTCAAAAGCCAGAGGGAGAGCTTAATTATTTAGTGATTTTTTTTAAGTTTAATATTTTTATGCTTGAATACACTAATTCCTCTTGTATGGTCCAAAAAAGAACAGTGTCATATTTAATAAAATATTATAAGGTCCACAGGGCAATACAGTATCTGAATTTCTAAACATCTCAATTGGCATGGTAGTTTCAAGTATTTAAGAACAATTTTAACTTTTTAAAAATGTTTGTTTTGCAGCTCCTTGATGCTTTTGGACATAAATCTAATATTAGCCTTGTCTTTGATTTTATGGAAACTGATCTAGAGGTAAGATTAAGATTCTGAGAGAAATATTTTTCTTCCAGTTTATCAAAGGAAGAGAGCCTGAATTTTTTTTTTTTTTTAAGAAATATGGACAGTGTGTGTTTATATATTTTAAAGATTTATTTATTTGAAAGGCAGAGTTAGAGATAAGGAAAAAAGAGATTGATCTTCTATTCTCTGGTTAACTCTCCAAATGGCTACAACCACCAGGACTGGGCCAGGCTGAAGCCAGGATTCAGGAGCTTCCTCCAGGTCTCCCACTTGGGTACAGGGGCCCAAGGACTTATGCCATCTTCTGCTTTATCAGGCGCATTAGCAGGGAGCTAGATCAGAAGTGGAGCAGCTGGGACTTGAATTGGTGCCCATATGGGATGCCAGTGCTGCAGGCCATGCCTTTAACCCACTGTGCCACAGCGCCAGCCCCTTAATATGTATTTCCTGCCTGATAAAACACTGGTAGTCAAAATGCTTTATTTTGCTGGAATCTGGGTGTTCTGAAGTCAGAGGACACTGGGTTCTTTTTTTTTTTTTTTTTAAGACTTATTTGAAAGAGCAGCAGAGGGGCCAGCGCTGTGGCATAGCCGGTAAAGCCACCCCCACAGAGAGGGTGAGAGACAGAAGGTGGGAGAAAGACCTTCCATGTGCTGGTTCATTCCCCAGATAGCCAGGCCGCAGCTAGGAGCCAGGTCTCCCACGTGAATAGCAGGCTGGATCGGAAGCACAGCAGTTGGGACTCTAGTTGTCACTCCAATACGAAGTGCTGATGTTGCAAGCAGTGGCTTAAACTGCTGTACAAGCACCAACCCTTGAGTACTTTATTTATTCATTAAAAAAAAATTTTTTTTATTTATTAGAGAGGGAAGAGACAGAGATCTCTCTGCTGGTTCACTCCTCAAATGGCGACAGTGGCTGGCACTGTGCCAGGTAGAAGCCAGACGCCTAGAGCTGCTTCCAGTGTGGGGTCCACGTGTCTCCATGTGGCTGCAGTGACCCAAGCACTTATGCCATCTTCTGCCCTCCCAGGCACATTAGCAGGGAGCTGGATCAGAAGTAGAGCAGCCAGTGTTCATATGGGATCCCAGGTGGCAGCTTTTAACCTGCTACACCACACCACCAGCCCTGAGTACTTTACTTTTAATTGTTTAGTTATATTCTCTGTGTTAAACGCAAAGATGTGAATTTCACTGGCATTTCTGTCTGCCAAGTTCCCTATAGCTTATTGGTGTTATTTTTAGAGAAATGAGCATTAGGCTGTGGCATTTAGAGCTTTTTTTACATGTTACCATAGATATTTTAAAAATATTTCTCATTTTTAAAATTCTCATTTTCATTTTTATTTGAAAGGCAGGCAGGGAGACAGACAGATGGACATAGAGATCCTTCATCTGCTGGTCCATTTCCTAAATGCCTAATGTCAGGGCTGGGGCAGATCAAAATCAGGAGCCAGGAACTCAGTCTGTGGGAACTACGTACCGGAGGGAACACCTGTTGCCTCCCAGGGTGCACATTAGGCAGGAAGCTGGACTTGGAAGTTGGATTGGTACTCTAGCTAGGCACTTCAAAATGAAATACTCAAGTGTTTGGGTCCCTGCCACCCATATGGGAGGACCCGGATTGAGATCGGGGCTTCTGGCTTTGACCTGGCCCAGCTGTTAACAGTTATTTGGGGCATGAACTAGCACATGGAAGATTGATTTCTCTCCTCTCTACCTCCCCACCCCAAATAAAAATGAAAACAAACAGATGTAACTTAAAAAGCAATAGCCATACCTGGGTATGGTATTGGAGGACTCCGATGGGAGTCAGTTCTTTCTTAACCATGTGGACTGAGCTGGGAAGAGGTGGTTTTCCAGAGGAATGCTGCATGTTATGGGGGCAAGCAGAAACAACAGGTGGTCACTACTTTCATGCCAGAGGGATTGAGATGAAGTGCTGCCTTTTTTCTTAAGCCAGAACGATTCTGACGGTGCTGCCTAAGAGGTGGGTGACCTCTCTTGAGATGCCTGTGTGGATACACTTACTCTAGATCTATAAACTGTCTAATGTGGTAGAATTAATTTGGAATAAGGTGCACCATTGTATTGTATGCTTGCTTTACAGGTTATAATAAAGGATAGCAGTCTTGTGCTGACACCATCACATATAAAAGCCTACATGTTAATGACTCTTCAAGGGTTGGAATATTTACATCAGCACTGGATTCTGCATAGGGTAAAGTTTTTAATATTTCTTCTATATCTCAGTCAATTTTTATTTAGCCAGCTTAGTACTACTGGTCTGAGTATGATTTGTTGAACACAATAGGTGTAGCTGGGCCACTTCATCCCACCCTCTTTCTCTGGACTCCCTTCAGCTATTGTAGTAGGTAGTGCTGGGGGCATCCCAACTACTGTATGAAATTTAGAACTACAAGAGATCTAACCCTTCATGTTTTTATAGACAGAGAACTAATTTGCTGAGTGACATAAGGTTTCCCCCACAAGGTCAGCAGATAACTGAGAACCTAGATCTTTTGGCTCTAAGTTCATAATTCTTTGTGCTATACTGTTATGGGGGAAAAACAGAGTATCTAGATTAACTTGTACAGTGCTAAAATGCCTTTTAAAAAGTAACATTTCTAATTCTAGAATTGTCTGAAGTTTTGAAATAAAATTCATTACATGAGTTTTCAGGAATATTCAGTTATGGAACAAGATTGATAATTTAGCTAAGTAGATATTCTTAGGCATCATTTAGATAACTAACCAATAATATATATTTTTGAACTACTAATACTCAAATTTGAATCCCTTTTATTTGCTGATATCATTAGTGTAGATTTTGAAGAATATTTTTCAATGTTTATAAATGTATAACTTTTTTTTATTATTAGATAGGCAGAGTTAGACAGTGAGAGAGAGAGAGACAGGTCTTCCTTCCATTGGTTTACCCCCAAAATGGCCGCTATGGCCAGTGTGCTGTGCCAATCCAAAGCCAGGAGCCAGGAGCCTCTTCCTGGTCTCCCATGCAGGTGCAGGCGCCCAAGCACTTGGGCCATCCTCCACTGCCCACCTGGGCCACAGCAGACAGCTGGACTGGAAGAGGAGCAACTGGGACTAGAACCCGGCACCCATATGGGATGCCAGTGCAGCAGGCAGAGGATTAACCAAGTGAGCCATGGCGCCAGCCCCATAAATGTATAACATTTTTAAGTACTAAAGTTTGTATTAATAGGAGCAAGCATTAAGGGATGGTTAGTATGAGTTAGTCATTGCACTAGCCTCTTACAGAAAGTGTTACATTAAGTCCTCACAGCAATCCCATGGAGTAGGTTAGTTAATGCTTGGTGAAACTTAGTTCCTTACCAGGGTCTCACTATGTAATATAACCAGTCTTACTTTGTTTTGATATTATTTTACATTTGTAAAAAAAAAAAAAAAGAACAAGTATGATTGCTTAATTGGGGGTGTTATCTTGTTTTTACTAAATTTAATGTCAACTAAAACGTATCACTGTGATATTCTCCCCAAACTTGTTTGTTTGCTTAAAACTTCCATGATACAGGATCTGAAACCAAACAACTTGTTGCTAGATGAAAATGGAGTTCTAAAACTGGCAGATTTTGGCCTGGCCAAATCATTTGGGAGCCCCAACAGAGCTTACACACATCAGGTTGTAACCAGGTAAGAAGACCTGAAGTAACCGAAAGCTTAGGTTGTGCAGGAGGAGGATGATAAACGAGCATCAGCTGGCCTCTCTGAGACGCCTGGGCAGAGCTCGGGAATCAGCGTGTCTGAAAAATACAGCCCGTTTTTTGTTACGTGTAAAAAGCGAAAAAACAGCCCTTCTTTCAAACAGTTGGATTAGTCAGTCCTCTGATATCTACCTGGTAATGAGAATAATTCTCAGTTTAGATAAGTGGCGCTTCAGTGGTTAATTACCTAATCGCACTGATTTATTGGCCTTATGTTTATCATATTGGTCAGTCTAGAGTCCATATCCTTATGTATGAAGGGCATTTAAAGCACTACATTGATGTTTGAATTGTTCATTTTGTTAGTAATTATGTTTTCTGTTTATACTTCTAAGGTACAAATAAAAACATGATCTTATACAGATTAGGATAAGAGGTTTTATAATTCTTGTCAGAATGACATTTGTTAATTTCAAAGATTATTTTTAAGGCTCTGAGGTCTTCACATGCTCTGTTCTTTTAAACTAGTCCATCACCTTCCGACTATATCTCATTTAGTGTTGGTCAGCTGAGCCATGAGTAAGGAGTAGCAGATGAGTTGTTGATACAGTTGTAGGAAAGATTAAGTCCATCATTAGGGAGCTTTTACAGATACCCACATGCAACAGAATAACACATTGGTGCTTTCTAATTTACCAATTTTCTCATATTTTTCTCTTGAAAATTAAATGCTAAAAACAGGTCAAGTTAAAATGAGTTTGCTATGAGGGGCTGGTGTTGTGGCTGCCTCTTGTGAGGCCAGTTAGGCTGCCACCTGCGAGGCCAGTATTCCCACCAGAGTACTGGTTTCAGCTCAGCTGTTCTGCTTTTGATTCAGCTCTGTGCTTGTACCTGGGAAGGCAGTGAAAACTTGTCTAGGTGTTTGGGCCCCTGGCATCCATGTGGGAGACCAGGGTGAGTTCCTGGCTCCTGGCTTCAGCCCAGCCCCAACTTGGCTGTCAGAGCCAGTTGAGGAGTGAACCAGAGGATGGAAGATCTCCCTATTTCTGTCTCTCCTCTGTTGCTTTGCCTTCAAATGCATAATAAGTAGTTTTTTTTTTTTTTTTAAATGAATTCTCTGAGAATAGACAGTTGGATTCAGCTGCAAGAACATCATTGACAACCTTGACAAGAGCAGTTTGGGTGCAGTGGTGAAGATGGAATCCTGGTAAAAAGTGTTCAAGAGGGGCAGGCTTTGGCACAGTACGTAGGCCGTCACTTGGAACACCTGCATCCCATTTCAGAGTGGCTGGTTCAAGTCCTGACTTTCCTGCTTCCAGTCCAGCTTCCTGCTAATGCGCATCCTGGGAGCAGCAGATATGGCCAAAGTGCTTGGTCTCTGCTGCCCACTTCGGAGACCTGGATTGTGGTTGCGTTTTGGGCTCCTGGCTTTGGCCAGGACCAACCCTGTCACAGGCATTTCAGAGGTGAACCAGGGGAAAGAAAGTATCTCCCCGCCCCTTCCTTTCAATTAAAGTAAAGATAAGTTAAAAAATCTTTTTGAGTGTTTAAGAGAGGAGGAATTGAAGATAATAACAACTCTTTGAATAACCAGAAAATGAGGAGGTAGCCACTAGGGGAAGGATAGTGCAGATAAGTTTACAGCTGTGTAAGTAATGATATGCGTACATATTAATGGGAGAGGGCCAGTAGAAAACTGATGGAGGAGTTGGAGGAGACAGCAGAGCAATAGCCTTGACAGGAGAATGTGGTGTCTAGTGCGCAAGGTAAAAGATCGGCTTTTTTTCTTTTGAGATTTATTCATATATTTGAAAGAGTTACAGAGAAGGAGAGGCAGAGAGAAAGGTCAGTTTTCCATCCGCTGGTTCACTCCCCAATTGGCCGCAGTGGCCCGGAGCTGCGCCTATCTGAAGCCGGGAGCCAGGAGCTTCTTCCAGGTCACCCATGTGGGTGCAGGGGTCCAAGGACTTGGGCCATCTTCTACTGCTTTCCCAGGCCATAGCAGAGAGCTGGATCGGAAGTGGAGCAGCCAAGACTCGAACCAGCGTCCGTATGGGATGCCAGCACTGCAGGTGGCAGCTTTACCCATTACGCCTCAGCACCAGCCCCAAAGATTGGCTTTTATTTATTTATTATTTTATTTTATTTCTTGACAGGCAGAGTGGACAGTGAGAGAGAGACAGAAAGGTCTTCCTTTGCCGTTGGTTCACCCTCCAATGGCCGCCGCGGCCGGCACTCCGCGCTGATCCAAAGCCAGGAGCCAGGTGCCCCTCCTGGTCTCCCGTGGGGTGCAGGGCCCAAGTACTTGGGCCATCCTCCACTGCACTCCCGGGCCATAGCAGAGAGCTGGCCTGGAAGAGGGGCAACCGGGACAGAATCCGGCACCCTGAGTGCCGGCGCCGCAAGGTGGAGGATTAGCCTATTGAGCCGCGGCGCTGGGCTAAAGATTGGCTTTTAAAAAGGTGAAGTTAGTTCATCCCTAAGAAATGCTCTAATTGTTCCTTCCTTCTAAAGTGACTGTATTTCCTTTTGTTCTTTAGGTGGTATCGGGCTCCCGAGTTACTGTTTGGAGCTAGGATGTATGGTGTGGGTGTGGACATGTGGGCTGTAGGCTGTATATTAGCTGAGTTGCTTCTGAGGGTAAGTCTTATACTAATGTACGTAATTTAGTAGCATTAAAGTTATTCTCATAATTTTCGTCACAGTTATCTTCTGCCCACTATCCTTACAATAAAAAGCCTACAAACAGGCCAATTTTTCTAAAAGCCTCCCCCAAAATACAACCTTTTTCATTAAAATGTTCAAGTGAGATGGGAAGACTTCCCTTTAGGAAGTAGGGTTTTATGATAGGTAATTATACTTCAGAACAGGAAGTAGCTTGTCACAGCATCTCTGTAGTCACTGCATGTGTGAGGAGGGACTTGTGTCCTGCTGGGAGACTTTGTGGTTACTTCTGAGATAGCTGGTACCAGCCATTGCAGCAGCCAGTCTGTGTGACTTTAAACATCGTGTGAGACCACCAGGTGTGTTCAGACAGCAGACATACTGGGACCGCAGCATTTCTGTGACTGAGACCATGAATAATAACATTCCCTTTTCCTGCCCTCATTGGAGAAAAAGGTAATGACTTGGCACCTTCTCTTTAGTTACAAAGCTTAGATCTCCAGGAAGACTGGGCCTCCTGGGAAATCAAAGCAAAGGGATTTGGGGGAATCCTTCTGAAGTTAGGAGTGTTTCCTCATTGCATTCCAGCCCCACTCTCCCTCTCCTTAGCCATATGTACTGAAACACTGGATACCAAAGAGAAAAGTTACACTGTTACTGTTAAAAAGTCTAAAGATGTGAATTCTCTTCATCATTTTGAGAAGCTTGCCCCAGTGGACAAAATTCTACATTTAGAACTGAAGATGGGGGCTGGCGCTGCGGCATAGAAGGTTAAGCCTCCACCTGCAGTGCTGGCATCCCATATGGATGCCGGTTCTAGTCCCAGCTGCTTCACTTCTGATCCAGCTCTCTGCTAATGGCCTGGGAAAGCGACAGAAAATGGCCCAAATGCTTGGGCCCCTGCACCCATGTGGAGGACCCGGAAGAGGCTCCTGGCTTCTGCCTGGCTCAGCCCTGGTTGTTGTGGCCATTTGGGGAGTGAATCAGTGGAAGGAAGATCTCTCTCTCTTTTTTCCCTTCTTTCTGTCTGTATTTCTGCCTTTCAAATAAATTTTAAAAAGAGAGAACTGAAGATGACATGGTAATCCCACTGCTAAAAGTTGGCCCTATGAATCAGCTAGCATCACAGCTTTGCTACTAGCAAGAACACAGAGCAGTGCAGAAGTTCACATTGAGAATCTGCCAGGCCCTAAATACACTCACGGAGAAGACAAAAACAATCCCACAGCCCTTAACGTTATAACTAATCACACTGTTTAGAAAGTAAGAGGAGCCGGGGGCGCTGGTGTTGTGTAGCAGGTAAAGCTGCTGCCTGCAATGCCAGCATTCCATATGAGTGCCAGTTGAGTCCTGGCTGCTCCACTTCCAATCCAGCTCCCTGCTAATGTGTCGCTCCCCCTCTTCGTGGAGGAACGACACAGGACCCTGCGCTGTTCTTTCGTCTGCTCGGCCCTCCCCGGGTTTGCTGCTGGTTCTTCCCGGGTTGGCTACTATCCCTTCCACCTCCGTGGAAGGGCAGTTCCCCCTGGCCACATTCCCCACTTCCGCAGGGGAGCGGCACACCGCCGGCCGGCTCTCTGGGGGGCTGCACAGGTTCCCTTAGATGTTCCCCATAGATGTTCCTGGTGCATGCCGTCTCTCTCCTCCTTTATAGTCCTCCTCCGCCAATCCCAACTCGGCTGCCCACACGCCGAGCACGCTGCTCTCCTCCAATCAGGAGCAAGTCCTACAGTTAATTGGTTGAACTGGAGGCAGCTGTGCGGAAGCTGTTTACTTCTCTCCCAGCGCCATATTGTGGGAGAGCAGATGCATAGAATAAGTCTTAATTCCAGTAACAGTCTAGTCCGAGCTGCTCCCCACAGATCCCCCTTTCTTTTTATTTTTTTGGCGTTGATACGCGCCTGTCTTCGGTGTCCCGCAGCACACACTCTGCTCTACTTGCTAGAGTTGCCACAGGCTCTTACAAGTCCTATCCATCAGGCAAACCGAATCCGGGTCCTCTCTTCGCCATGTTGTGAGGAGGTTTTTAGGCGCTGATGCGTGCCTGTGTTCGGTGCCCTGCAGCGCATACTCTGCTCTGCTAGAACTGCCTGCAGGTGTTTACAAAACCTATCAGGCAAACCGAATCCAAGCCTTCTCATTGCCTTATTGTGGGGGAGACTTATTAGTGTTGGTTCGTGCCTATCTTCGGTGACCTGCAGCTCATACTCTGGTCGAGCTTTGCTGGCGCTTACCGCCTTAAATCAGGCAGACCGAATCCAAGCCTCCTAATTGTTGCATTGTGGGGAAGCTTTACTGATGTTAATTCGTGCCTGTCTTCGGTGACCTGCGGCTAGCCGCCCAGGTGCTCATCGCCTCACTAATCGGGCAGACCGAATCCAAGCCTTCTAATTGGCATGTTGAGGGGAGGCCTTATTTCTCTCTATTTCTCTATCTCCGGGCATTCCTATTTCTCCCATTTTACTTCTATCTTCCAGCATTCCTATTTCTCTCACTTTACTTCTAAAACTTCTGTTTCTCTTATCCCCGCAGCTTCCCGGCACCTCGCCCCGCCGGCGGGTTCCCAGCTCTGCGCCGCTTCAGCCCGCGCGCCTCTCTCATCTGCGCAGCTTCCCGGCTTTGCGCGGCTCGGCTTTGCGTGCTCCGCGGTCTCCACGCTTAACCCTTTCGCGTCTGAACCACGGCCTACGCCAGCCCCGTTCCCTATCTACTCACGCCCCGTGCGCGAGTAACACAGCGTAGCTTGCGTCTCCACCACTAGCATTCAATCCAAGTTCCCCGGGCTAGCCTGGCGAATTCAACCCAGCGTACGTCTCCGCCCCACGATTTGGCTTCCCGTCCTTTGCTCCCCGGGCTAATCAGACGGATCCCAATCTGGCTTACGTCTCAGCTTCTGGTTTCAACTTTTCGCCCCCTATTCCCGGGCTAACCTGAGAACCCCAAAGTGGCTTTCGTTTCCGCCTTGGCCTGCCCCCCGCGGCTTCTTTCCTAGGTTCTAACTAGCTTTTCACCGGCACTCTTTCCGTCCGGCCTTCCCCTAGGCTCTTTGCTAGTCTCTCTCTCCAGTAATTTCCCACTTCTTCCCGGTCTTTCCCTCCTAGGTTTCCTATCCGAGTCACGTTTCTTCCCTCCTAAGTTTTCTATCCGAGTCACGGCACCACTTGCTGCTCCTCCGCACGCGGAGGAGCCGCACCGGACCGGGCGCTTGTTGTTCCCTTTTTTTACAAGTCCTTTCTATAGTAAAGTAAGAATAAGTAAACAGCAAACTCCCAAAGCAAGAATGAGTAGAGAGGAATGAGAAAGAACGAAGTAACGAACTTCCCCACGAACTTCCCCCACGAACTCTCCAACGCACTCTCCAACCAACCCACACCACTATGCCGTCTCTCTCCTCCTATATAGTCCTCCTCCGCCAATCCCAACTCGGCTGCCCACACGCCGAGCACGCCGCTCTCCTCCAATCAGGAGCAGCTCCTGCAGCTTGTCAAGTTGGTGAGAGGCAGCTGGGTAGAAGCTGTTTACTTCTCTCCCAGCGCCATATTGTGGGAGAGCAGATGCATAGAATAAATCTTAATTCCAGTAACAGTATAGTCCGAATTGCTCCCCACACTAATGTACTTGGGAAGGCAGTGGAAAATGGCCCAAGATCTTAGGCCCCTGCACCCACACAGGAGACCCAGAAGAGTCTCCTGGCTCAGTACTGGCTGCTGTGAGATACTCTGTCTGTCTGTCTCTCTGTGACTTCCTCTCTCTGAAACTCCAACTTACAAATAAATGAATCTTAAAAAAAATTATTTTGTTTATTTGAAAGAGTTACAGAGAGAAGTAGAGACAGAGGTCCTCTATCCACTGGTTCAGCAACAGCTGGAGCTGAGTCGTTCCGAAGCCAGGAGCCAGAAGCCTCTGTGTCTCCCACGTGGGTGCAGGGGCCTAAGCGCTCTGAGGGCACTCTGCTAGGAAGTTGTACGGGAGGTGGACAGTTCCACCACTGCTGGAACTCAGCTGGATGAACTGTGCTTTCTGCCCATGCTGTGGGAGCCTGCGCTGGAGAAGCTGGGGGTGCTTTAGGAGGCACCTGCGCAGGGCCAGCGCCGGAGCAGGTTAATTCCCTCTTCCCTGCTGGCCCAGCTCCCTGCTAATGCGCCTGGGAAGAAGGCCCCTGCCGCCCATGTGGAATTACTGGCTCCTGGTTTCAGCCTGGCCCAGACCTAGCTGTTGCGACCATTTAGGGGGTGAACCACTGGTTGGAGAATCTCTGTCTGTCTGTCTGTCTCTCCCTCTCTGTCACTGTGCCTGTCAAGTAAATAAATCTTAAAAGCCCAGGGCTGGTGTTGTGGCATAGTAGGCAAGCTTTGCTTGCACCAGCATCCCATATGGGTGCCGGTTTGAGTGCCAGCTGCTTCTCTTCCAATCCAGCTCTCTGCTATGGCCTGGGAAAGCAGCAGAGGATGGCCCAAATGCTTAGGCCCCTGCACCCATGTGGCAGACCCAGAGGAAGCTCCTGGCTTCTGATTGGCCCCGCTCTGGCTGTTGCAGCCTTGACTTAATAATGCTGGAGTGCATTATTATTCACAAAGTAGAGAAAATGCTTTTTTTCTTACATATTTAACCTAGCTGTCTTAAGAATGAATTGGAAAATAATATTTTGGTCATTTCTTACCAGTTCACTAATTTTTAACCTGCAATTATTTATTCTCTTTTAAAGTTTGCCTGTATATAATTTCAAAGAGGATTTTTCAATTTTTTTTTAAGATTTATTTATTTTTACTTGAAAGAGTTACACAAAGAGAGAAGGAGAGGCAGAGAGAGAGAGAGGTCTTCTATCTGCTGGTTCACTCCCAAATTGGCCACAACAATCGGAGCTGAGCTGATCTGAAGCCAGGAGCCCAGGAGCTTCCTCCCGGTCTCCCATGTGGGTGCAGGGGCCCAAGCTGGATAGAAAGTGGAGCAGCTGGGACTCAAACTGGCACCCATATGGGATGCCAGCACTGCAGGCGGCGGCTTTACCCGCTACGCCACAGCGCCGACCCCCCAATTTTTTTTTTTTTAATCTGACTGGTAGAGTTACAGACAGTGAGAGAGAGAGAGAGAGAGAGAGAGAGAGAGAGAAGGTCTTCCCTCTGTTGATTCACTCCCCAAATGGCTGCCACGGCTGGCCCTGCGGCGATCCGAAGCCAGGAGCCAGGTGCTTCTTCCTGGTCTCCCATGCGGGTGCACAGCCCAAGCACCCAGGCCATCCTCCATGGCCTTCCCGGGCCACAGCAGAGAGCTGGACTGGAAAAGGAGCAGCCGGGACTCGAACTGGTGCCCATATGGGATGCCAGTGCCGCAGGCGGAGGATTAACCGAGTTAGCCATGGCACCGGCCCCCCCAAATTTTTTTTAAGAAGATTCTCTTCTTTCCAGCCCTTGTGTCTACCCTTTGCTGGAAGAAAATTCTCTTCTCCCTTCTTACTCTTTCTCTGCCTGACTTCTGTTCATTCCCTTTCACTGCTCCTGCCTCTAGGAAGCCTTCCCTAGCCCATCTAGAGAGGGTGAGGTGCTATTGCTGTGTGGGCTGAGACCTTGGACTCTCAACACACCATATCGTACATGCCCGTTTACATCCATCAGCAGTGTCCACTATCTGCAGAGCAGGCAAGGGCTGGAACTGTCTTCCCTTGTTGTAATGCCTTGGGTTGAGCGCAGTGGCCGTTACGTGATAAGTGTTCATTAAAGATTTATAGATGAATAAAATGGGCAATGAAGATTTTATTTACTTCAGCGGCAATAGCAGGATCTAATAACACATCCAGTACATCATACTAAATTTTTATTGTTTAGGGTTTTTTGTTTTTTATTACTAACTTATGGTATTATTTCTGTAACAGCTATCACAAACTACCTTGAAATGTCTGTATCTTGCTTTCAGGTTCCTTTTTTGCCAGGAGACTCAGACCTCGATCAGCTAACAAGAATATTTGAAACTCTGGGCACACCAACTGAGGAACAATGGCCTGTAAGCCTTTAAGCACTTTCTTTGAAATTTAATTAGGATTACAGTTATTTGTCCTATCCTTTATGTACTAATCACATTGAATTAAATTTCCTTGCTAGTTATCTTAATTTACTAGCAATATGTATACTTATAACATTTCAAATGATAAAGAAGTAGAAAAAGTAAGAAGTTAAAATTGTAACATACTATCCAACCTCTCATACACACAGTAATCCCCAGCCCAGAAAGTACCCAGTGTTAACAGTTTGGTGCAAGGCCATGCTACGGGTGTACACACATACATCCAGGGTTGCATTTTCTTTCTTTGTTTTTTTTTTTTGTTTGTTTGTTTGTTTTGTTTGGTTTTTTTTGGACAGAGTAGACAGTGAGAGAGAGAGAGAGAGAAAGGTCTTCCTTTGCCATTGGTTCACCCTCCAATGGCCGCCGCAGCCAGCGCAGCGCGCCGATCCAAAGCCAGGAGCCAGGTGCCTCTCCTGGTCTCCCATGGGGTGCAGGGCCCAAGCACTTGGGCCATCCTCCACTGCACTCCCTGGCCACAGCAGAGAGCTGGCCTGGAAGAGGGGCAACCGGGACAGAATCTGGGGCCCCGACCGGGACTAGAACCTGGTGTGCCGGCGCCGCAGGTGGAGGATTAGCCTATTGCTGCGGTGCTGGCCAGCATTTTCTTTCATTCATTAACAAAAATGAGTTCATAGCATAGTTGGGGTTTTGTTTTTTGTTTTTTGCAACCAACTTGTACTTTTTTAACATTAATATGTCATTTAACTTTTTCTTTGTGATAGCCGTATATTTTATTTGTATTTCTTGTTAACCACTCTGTGGTAAACTTACAACAGTTTAAGCTTGCTGAATTTTACTGTGATTGTAATCTTACTGCTCTGATGGCTATTGGTGTTAAATACCTTCTCATATGTTCGCCATCCATGTATAGACAGAGAGAGAGACCTTCCATCTGTTGCTTCATTCCCCAAATGGCCACAATAGCCAGAGTGGGCCAGGCCAAAGCCAGGAGCTAGGAGCTTCTTCCAGGTCTCCCACATGGGTGCAGGGGTGTAAGCACTTGGGCCAAGCTCTGCTGCTTTCCCAGGCACATTAGCAGGGAGCTGGATTGGAGACAGAACAGCAAGGATTCAAACTGGTGCCATGTGGGATGCTGGTGCTGCAGGTGGTGGCTTAAACCACTGCACCACAGTGGTGGCCCCTGTTTTAATTATTTTTTTCTACTCCACGAGAGTTTTAATACATTTTCTACTAACATGCATATGTTGTGCATATTACAGGGTACAGTGATATTTGAAGACATTTTTACAACATGGCTTGATTAATTCACAATAATTAACATTTAATCTCCTTTTAATTTCTTTGGAGTCTCCAAGCCCCTCCCTTTGCTTTCTTTATAAAATACATAATGTTACTTTTTAATTTTTAATTCATGTTTTTTATGAGTTTTATTTATTTGAAAGGCAGAGTTAGAGAGGGAGAGGCAGATAGAGAGATCTTCTCTCCGTTGGTTCACTCTCCAGATGGCTGCAGTAGCCGGGGTGAGGCCAGGTCCGAAGCCAGGAGCTTCATCCAGATCTCCCACGTGGGTACAGGTGCCCAAGCTCTTGTGCTGTCCTCTGGTTCTTTCCCTGCGCATGAGCAGGGGGCATCCACTGGTTTATTCCCCAAATGTCCACAGTAGCTGGGGCCCAGTCTAGGTTCTCCCACTTGGGAGTTCAGGGATCCAAGCACTTGAGCCATCACATGCTGCCCTCTGTGGTGTGCATCAGCAGGAAGCTAGAAACAGAAGTGGAGCCAGAACTCTCACCCCGGCACTCTTGTGCTCCTGTTTGTTTATTTATTTTGACTGCAGAGTATTGAGTTGTATAGTCTAGATAGTAGTTATTTGTTGTATGTGAGTTTTGCAAAAATTTTTTCTCACAGTGCCTTTTTATCATAGTAAGTTTTTATCAGAGTAAGTTTTAATTTTGATCAGGCTTATCAGTTTTTCCTTTAATGAATCATGCTTTTGGTGTCAAGTTGAAGAACTCTGGCCTAGTCCAAAAATTTTTCTGAAAAAAAAATTTTTTTAAGTTTTTTTTACTTTCCTTGAAAGAGTTACACAGAGAGAAGGAGAGGCAGGGAGAGAGTGAGTCTTCCATCCAGATAGCCGCAATGGCTGGAGCTGCGCCGATCCAAAGCCAGGAGCCAGGAGCTTCTTCCGGGTCTCCCACACACATGCAGGGGCCCAAGGACTTGGGCCATCTTCTACTGCTTTCTCAGGCTATAGCAGAGAGCTGGATTGAAAGAGGAGCAGCTGGGACTTGAACTGGTGCCTATATGGGATGCTGGCGCTTCAGGCCAGGGCGTTAACCAAATGTGCCATAGTGCTGGTCCCCTGAAAAAATTTTTTAAAGATTTATTTATTTATTTGAAAGGCAGAGTTACAGAGAGGCAGAGAAAAAGAGGTCTTCCATCAGCTGGTTCACTCCCTAAATAGCTGCAACCACCAGAGCTGGGCTGATCCGAAGCCAGTAACTTCTTCCGGGTCTCCCACGTGGGTGCAGGGTCCCAAGCACTTGGGCATCTTCTGCTTTCCCAGGTCATAGCAGAGAGCTGGATTGGAAGTAGAGCAGCCGGGACTCGAACCAGAACCCATATGGGATGCTGGTGCTGCAGGCAGCAGCTTTACCTGCTATGCCACTGAGTCAGGCCCTTTCTGAAATTCTTTTTGTATGTTTTTTTCTAAAAGTTCCATAGGACTGTGTTTAAGTCCACAGTCCATTTAGAATTCAGTTTTTCATGATGTTTTAGACTTAGGTCAGGGTTCATTTTTGGGTCTGTGGATGTAGCACCATTTATTGAAAAGACTTTCTGTCCATTTCTTTTGCATCTTTTCCAAAAATCTCTTAGATAGATTTGTGTGGCTGTCTGGGTCAGTATTGTGTTCCATTGATCTGTGTGTCTGTCCCTCTTCCAGTACTGCACAGCTTTTTTTTTCTTTTTCTTTTTCCAGCTGGAATCATTCTTAATATTTAAATACAAAAAGTGCACACTACTTTTACACATACAGATCTAACAGTAAAATATGCAGAGGAAATGAGCTCCCACTCTGTCCTCCACCGTCCCCGACGTCTCTCTTGTGGCTGCAGCTGGCCTCCCTCTTCTCCCACATACACGGGTTCGCAGTGGCCGCTTTGTAGCTGGAATGCTTTTTGTCAGCTGCACGCTGCCACACAGTCTTAATTAAAGCTGGTATAAGTTGTTCTAAAATAAGGGAGGATGATTATTGTTATTTCTCTAAATTGTTTTAGCCATGCTAGTCCTTTGCCTTTCCTTTTCCTAAACATTTTATTGAAGTACAGTATATGTACCAAGAAAAGCGCATAAATATACAGAAATGAGTATTTTTTGAAGATTTTTATTTTATTTATTTGAAAGGCAGAGTTACAGAGGCAAAGAGGGAGGTCTTCCATCTGCTGGTACACTCCTCAAATGGCTGCAGTGGCTGGAACTGGGCCAATCTGAAGCCAGGAGCCTGATGCTTCTTTCAGGTCTCCCATGTGGGTGCAGGGGCCCACGGACTTGGGGCATCTTCCACTGCTTTCCCAGGTCATAGAAAGCTGGGTTGGAAGTGGAGCAGCTGGGACTTGAACCAGCACCCATATGGGATGCCGCCACTGCAGATAGTGGCGCTACATCACAGCACCGGCCCCTGCATTTTTTGTAATCTAATCATACTGATAACTGACACCCAAATTTAGAACAAAGTATTGCTAATACCCCAAGAGTCCTCGCTACTTCCTCCCTCTCCATTTTTTTATGCGTGAAATAAGTATATTATCATTTACATGGTATGATTCAGTAAAGCACAGTTATTAAGTATATACCAAATGATATGACATCCACACAATGTTTATACTCCATATAAACTACCACAAATAAGAGAAACCATATATTTTTTTTTTTTTTTAGGTCTAGCTTATTTCACTTAGCATAACAATCTCCAGTTGTGTCTTTTTATTGCCAATGTCAATCCATTCATCAGCTGATGGGTATTTTAGGTTGAGTCTGTATCTTAGCTATTGTGAGTTGAACTGCTATACTTGTGGGAGTGTAACTTTCATATGCTGATTTCATTTCCTTTGGCTATATTCTTAGCTATGTGATAGGTGGGTCATAAGGTGGATCTATTTTTAGTTTTCTGAGGAATCTCCATACTGTCTTCCATAATGGTTGTACCAGTTTGTATTGCTACGAACCGTATATGAAAGTACCTTTTTCTGCATCCTCACCAGCATTTGTTATTTTTTGATTTTTCTATGCTAGCCATTCTAACTGCGGTGAGGTGATGCCTCACTGTGGCTTTTCTTTGCATTTCCCTGATAACTAGTAATCCTCAGATCATCTTTTCATGTGCCTGTTGACCATCTGTATTTCGCCTTTGAAAAATACCTGTTCATATCATTTGCCCATTACTTAACTGGGTTGTTTGTTTTGTTTTGTTGTTTCCTGAGCTGCTTATATATTCTGGATATGAGTTCTTTATGAGATGCATAGTTTACAAAAATTTTCTCCCATTCTGTCAGTTGCCTCTTTACTTTGTTAATTATTTGCTTTGCTGTGCAGGAGCCTCTTAGCTTAATGGAATCCCATTGGTCTGTTTTTGCTTTTATTGCCTGTGTTTTTGGGGTGTTATCCAAGAAGTTTCTGCCGAGGCCAATGTGATGCAGCATTTCCTCTATGTTTTCCTCTCGTAACTTGATGGTGTCCGGTCTTTAGATCTTTAATCCATAGTGAGTTGGTTGTTGTATAGTATGTAAGGTCTTGTTTTAAATTTCTACATGTGGACGTCCAACTTTTCCAACATTTATTGAAGAAACCGTCCTTTCGCCAGAGAATGATTTTAGCTCACTTGTCAAAGATTAGTTGGTTGTATATGTGTGGTTTCTTTCTGAGGTTTCTATTCAGTTCCGTTAGTCTGCATGTCTATTTTTGTGCCAGTACCAGGTGTTTTGGTTATAACTGTCCTGTAGTAAGTCTTGAGTTCTGGTATTGTGATAGCTCTGTTGTTGTTATTGTTTGTTTATTTTGACTGTTCAGAGTCTTTTGTATTTCCACATGAATTTTAGGTTTGTTTTTTCTAGATCTGTGAAGAATGTACTTGGTATTTTGATTGAGATCACATTGAATCCGTGAATTGTTTTGGATACTATGGACACTTTGATGCTATTAATTTTCCCAATCCATCAACATGGAAGATTTTTCCATTTCTTTGTGTCTTCTATTTCTTTCATTAATACTTTGTAATTCTCATTGCAGAAATCTTTCGCATCCTTGGTTAAATTCATCTCAAGGTATTTAAATTTTTTTGTAGCTACTGCGAATGGGACTGATCTGATAAATTCTTTCTAAGCCAAAGCGTTGTCAGTGTATAAGAATGCTGTTGATTTTTGTGTGTTGATCTTAAATTCTGCAACTTTGCTGAATTCTCTTATGAATCCTAATAGTCTCTTATTGGACTCTTTTGATTCCTCTCTGTAAAAGATCTTGTCTCTAAATAGGATCAATTTGACTTCCTCCTTTCCAATTATAATACACGCTTTGATTTGATTTTCTTGCCTAATAGCTATGGCTAAAACCTCCAGAACCATATTGAATAATAGAGGGGAGAGTAGGCATCCTTGTTTGGTTTCAGATCTTAGTGGAAATGCATCCAGCTTTCAGCTTTTCCCCTCAGCATGATGCTGGCTATGGGTTTGTCATATTTTGCCTTGATTGTGTTAAGGTATGTTCCTTCTATGCCCGATTTTTAAAAGGTTTCTATCATGACAGGATGTTGTATTTTATCCGATGCCTTTTCTTTAATTGTTGAGTTAATCATATGGTTTTCGTCCTTCATTTCGTTGATGTGATGTGTCACGTTTATTGACTTGCTTCTGTTGAGGCATCCGTACGTTCCTGGATAAATCCCACCTGACCCAGGGTGGATGACCTTTCTTGTGTGTTGTTGGATTCTGTTTGCTAGTATTTTGTTGAGGATTTTTGCCTCTTTGTTCATCAGGGGTAAGTCCCATAGGAGTTTTAGGGTAATCTGCTTCTATCTATGATAACTTTTCCAGGATTTTGATAAAAATGTTAAACCTGTGTGTCACCTTGAGGAAAGTTGACATCCTTAGTGTGTTGAATCTTCCAGTGCATGAACATGGTATGTTTCACCATTTATTTACATCTTTGGTTTATTCCATCAGTGTTGTGTAGCTTTCAGGACATGAACTTGTACATGTTTTGCTTAGGCTTTTTTCTTTTTTTTACCTATTTCATTTTCCTTTTTTATGTGATCATAAATGGTACTTTTAATTTTGCCATTCATATGTTCATTGCTAATATGTAGAGCTATAGCCCTGCTGTACTTTTTAGTTTTAGGAGTTCTTAATAGATTTATTGGGATATTATACATAGAATATTGTATCATCTGCAAGTGGGTGCAAGGGCCTAAGTACTTGGGCCATCTTTCACTGCTTTTTATTTCTTTATTTGATATTTGTGTCTTTCAGTCCACTTAAATTTGAATGTTCAAATTATTTTTTCCAGGATATGTGTAGTCTTCCAGATTATGTGACATTTAAGAGTTTCCCTGGAATCCCGTTACAACACATCTTCATTGCAGCAGGAGACGATCTGCTCGAGCTCATACAAGGCTTATTCTTATTTAATCCGTGTACTCGAATTACAGCCACACAGGTATTACAGCATATTTGAAATTACAGGATTATCTAAATTTTAGCATTGATAAAGCAAAAACAGAATGTCTTAAAACTTTTTAATATTTTTAAATGCTGCCAAAAATGTGTTTTTGTCTTAAGGAATAATAACAAATCCTTGTGTCTTTTCCATAAGCTACTATTCAGACTGTTAGTAAATTTCATCATGTACATACAACTATGAGAGAGTGTATACTTGCTTAGGAAAATATAAATACATAACTGGGTACAGGTGTTTGGATCAGCAGTTAAGAGGCCTCTTGGGACACGCACATTCCGGACTGGAGTGCCTGGTTCACGTCCCAGCTTTGCTCGCACGTGCAGCTTCCTGCTGGTGCAGACGCTGGGAGGCAGCAGATGCCCCAACGGTTGGATCCCTGCCACCCATATGGGAGACCCGGATTGAGTTCCTGGCTGTTGGCATTTGGGGAGTAAGCCAGTGGGTAGGAGATCGCTCTCTCACTCACCAGATGTCTGCAGTAGCTGAGGCTGGGGCAGGGCAGAGCCGGGAATCAGGAACTCCATCGAGGTCTCTCATGTGGGTAGAAGAGACTCAAGGACTTGAGCCATCGTCTGCTGCTTCCCAGGTGCATTAACAGGGACCTGGATCAGAGGCAGAGTAGCAGGGACTCATTCTGCTATGGGATGTGAGTGTCCTGAGTGGCAGCTTAACCTGCTGGGCTACGTGACAATGCCCTATGCAGTCACATAATAGTCTTTTACGTACTTTACCTGCAGAGGGGAATAAACCAAGGCTTTTGTATTTGTTAAAAAAACTGGCATATTTCAGTTGAATTCATGTATCTTTAAACTGTGATGCAAACTTAATGATTAAAGTGGTTTAGTTTTTATTCTCCCATAAAATGCAATCCAGAGATGTATACTTGGCATTGCCAGTCAGAAAATGACAATGGGGAGCAAATGGTATGTTAGATACAGTTGTATACTTACAAGAGATTAAAAGCCATCAAACAGAAAAAGGGAGAGATGTTCTCCAACATAAAAATATAAAAACCTATAAATTTGATTACTTTGTTTTAAAAGCAAACACACAAAAAGGATAGGTTCACACTTGATGGAGCAGGGCAGTGCACAAATGCGATATGGTGTACTGATTTGATCTCATAAAAGATAAGACTAACTGAAGATTCCAAGCATTTATATATCCAACAGAAACATCCATGAACAATATGCCAAGAACACAGAATGGATGTTTTCCCCTTAAGTTTGTGGCAGACTACCAAACCTTAGTTTAATGCATTTACTTTTTTAAAAAAAAGATTTATTTACTTATTTGAAAGGCAGAGTTAGAGAGGCAGAGGCAGAGGGGGAGAGAGAGATCTTCCATCCACTGGTTCACTCCCCCTCCAAGTGGCCACAGTGGCCGGAGCTAGGCTGATCTGAAGCCAGGAGCTTCTTCTGGGTCTCCCACGCGGGTACAGGGTCCCAAGCACTTGGGCCATCTTCTTCCACTGCTTTCCCAGGCACATTAGCAGGGAGCTGGGTTGGAAGTGGAACAGCCAGGACTGGAACTGGTGCCAATACAGGATGCCGGCACTGCAGTTAAGCCACAACGCTGGCCGAGGACTATTCTTTTTTTCTTTTTTGACAGGCAGAGTTAGAGAGAGAGAGACAGAGAGAAAAGTCTTCCTTCCCATTAGTTCACCCCCCAAATGGCTGCTACGGCTGGCGCGCTGCGCTGATCCAAAGCCAGGAGCCAGGTGCTTCCTCCTGGTCTCCCATGTGGGTGCAGGGCCCAAGGACCTGGGCCATCCTCCACTGCTTCCCCAGGCCACAGCAGAGAGCTGGACTGGAAGAGGAGTAACCGGGACAGAATCTGGCGCCCCGACTGGGACTAGGACCTGGGGTGCCGGCGCCGTAGGCGGAGGATTAGTCTATTGAGCCATGGCGCCGGCCAAGGACTATTCTTCTAATTTCAAAGAAGGAAACCTATTACTGCCTTTTTACCTGTGCTTATGTACCTATTATTTCCATCATAAGAAACTTGAGACTAGATTAAATTGTCCAGGAAATTATTCTCATTATTAGTATAATTTAAGACTTAGAAAAATACTAGTTGTACTAATCTATTTGGGTTGTATTTTGACAGAATTTTTTTAAAATGTCTTTATCGGGGCCAGTGCTGTGGTATGGTAGGTTGAGCCTATGCCTGTGGTACTGGCATCCCATATGGGTGCTCTACTTCCTATCCAGCTGCTTGCTAATAGGAAAGCAGTGAAAGATGGCCCAAGTATTTAGGCTCCTGCAACCACCTGGGAGACCTGGAAGACGCTTCTGGTTCCTGGCTTCAGATCAGCCTAGCTCCAGACGTTGCGGCCATTTTGGGAGTGAATCAGCAGATAGAAGACTTCTGTGTCTCTCCCTCTGTCTATAACTCTGCCTCTTAAGTAAATAAATAAATCTTTAAACAAAAAAAAGGCTTTATCTCAGGAATGTATTATAGTTGGAATGAGACAGTCTTCCTTTCTTAGCTTTCCGTGTAGCCCCAAATTAGCTTAATTTACCTGTGGAACTGCTATAGAAATACAAGTCTTGAAGTAAAGAATCTCTAAAGTATTAGTGCAAATGTTAGAAGAGGGATGTGCTTGGAAAGTTTATTTGGACTTTTTTTTAAGAGATTTATTTATTTTATTTGAAAGTTAGAGTTACACAAAGAGAGAAGGAGAGGCAGAGAGAGAGGTCTTACAGGACCGATGGTTCACTCCCCAGATGGCCACAATGGCAGAAGCTGTGCCGATCCGAAGCCAGGAGCCAAGAGCCCCCTCTGGGTCTCCCACGCAGGGGCAGAGGCCCAAGGACTTGGACCATCTTCTTCTGCTTTCCCAGGCCATAGCAGAGTGCTGGGTTGGAAGTGGAGCAGCTGGGACTCGAACTAGTCCCCATATGCACCTGCAGTGCCAGCACTGCAGGTGGTGGCTTTACCTGCTACAGTGCCGGCCCTGGAATTCTTAAAGGATTTTCCTAAAGGAATTAAGTTATTGTGGCTTTTGGGCAATAGTATTGTTGTACTGCTGTAAGCAAACAGATATGAACTTGACAAGCCTGTTACTTAGGATGGAACTACTATTGGAATTTTGGCCCCAAGTAAAGGAAATATCATAGAATATTGGACTGGTAGTTAATAGAGGTAACCTTGAGCAAGCTTTGTTTAAAAGATGTATTCATTTATTTGAAAGGCAGAGTTACAGAGAGAAGGAAAGAAGGAGGGAGAGATCAATCTTCCCTTTCCTGGTTCACTCCCCAAGTGGCCACAACAGTCATGACTGGGCCAGGCCAAAGCCAGGAACCTGGAACTCCATCCAGGTCTCCCACATGGATGACAGGGGCTCAAGCACTGAGCCTTACTTTATTGAATTTTAATATACATTTAGGGCTTGAATAAATATGGGTATGGTTACAAATAAAATTTTAAGTTCTTTTTAGCAGGTTTCTCTTTACCTTTTAAATATAAGGCCCACACTGTATAGAGAGCTAAAATGTACAACACCTAACTATGGATAGTTCATAACTAATATAGGCTCTTTATTTTTATTAATTTTTTGACAGGCAGAGTGGACAGTGAGAGAGAGAGAGACAGACAGAAAGGTCTTCCTTTGCCGTTGGTTCACCCTCCAATGGCCGCTGCGGCCAGCGCACCGCGCTGATCCGAAGGCAGGAGCTAGGTGCTTCTCCTGGTCTCCCATGGGGTGCAGGGCCCAAGCACTTGGGCCATCCTCCACTGCACTCCCTGGCCACAGCAGAGAGCTGGCCTGGAAGAGGGGCAACCAGGACAGAATCCGGCGCCCCGACCAGGACTAGAACCCGGTGTGCCGGCGCCGTAAGGCGGAGGATTAGCCTATTGAGCCGCGGTGCCGGCTAATATAGGCTCTTGTAAAAGAGTTAGAAGGCAGTCTTTTTCCTGAAGTAATACTTATTAGCTCATCTTGAGTGCTAGGTGTATATTTGTAGTAATTTGCATATGCAAATACTCTACATTGGTTTCTTTGTGTTTGGGGGATGGACGTGCTCACGTAATATTTCTAATGCTTCCACCAACTTTGGAGATTAGATTTTCTTACAGGTTACTAACTTAAAACCTTTCTTTTAAAAGGCATTGAAAACTAAGTATTTCAGTAATCGTCCAGGGCCTACACCTGGTTGTCAGCTGCCAAGGCCAAACTGTCCAGTGGAAACCTTGAAGGAGCAGTCTAACCCAGCCATGGCAACAAAACGGAAAAGAACAGAGGCCCTGGAACAAGGTTAAATTCCTATTTTCATAAGAAATGAGATAAATTTGTAAAACTCCAAATAGATCCTATACAATTAGTGACTGAAGGCAGCTAAGGAATGTAACTTGTGAGCTATTTATTTTAAAAGTTTGAAGTTGTATAAAATAGATAGAATGTGCAGTTTTAGAAGTTTGCCTCCACTGGGACGGCTTCAGCCGCTGAGGGTGCCCCTGAGCGACGTGGCGGCTCGCAGTGGGTGGGGCTTTCTCCCCTTCAGCGGTTCTGCCAGGCGCTGTGTGCTTAAGGAGCAGTAGCACGTGATCAATAATGTGGTTGATGGTGGAAATCACGAAAGGTGAATGTGAACAACCTGTCTTTGTTCTGTTCTGCTTTCTAGGAGTATTGCCCAAGAAGCTGATTTTTTAATTGCAAAGAACACTGGAATTCTACTACTGAAGGAAAGAGTCAAGAAAGAGAATAATGACAAAATAGTAAAAATGAAGTAAATGCTGTAGAAGTGAACTTGTAAATATGCTACATGTATAAAATATATAAAACGGAGTTATTTTTATTAAATGTATTTTAAAATAATTCTGGTTTTTCTGATTAGAGTACAAAAGTAAGATAAATTCTTTTCTCTGAAATGTACAATTAAAAATGTGTTAAGAAAACCCAGAGAAGAACTGGTACTTTGAAACTCTCACTGTATAGCTCTACAAATTTTAATAGCTGGGGTGGTATTTAAAGAATAATAAAAAGAAAATGGAAAAATTAGGAATAATTTAGCAAATACATACGTACTACTCAGATTTAACAAATACTAACAAAATAAATATGCTTTTAAAAGAAATAAAACCTAGGGCACTGGTGTTGTAACGCAGCGGTCTGCAACACTGGTATCCCATATAGATGCCTGTTGGAGTCCCAGTTGCTCCATTTCCAATTCAGTGCCCTGCCAATGCACCTGGGAAAGCAGCAAAAGATGGCCCAGATGTTTGGGCCTCTGCCACCCATGTGGGAGACCTGGATGGAGTTCCAGGCAGAGTTACTGAGAGAAAGAGGGAAAGAGAGAGGTCTTCCATTGTTGGTTTACTCCCCAAATGGCTGCTGCAGCCCGAGATGGGCCAGGCCAAAGCCAGGAGCTTTATCTATCTCCCACATGGGTGCAGGGGTCCAAACACTTAGGCCATCCTCTGCTGCTTGCTCCCCAGGCACATTAGCAGGGAGCTAGACTGGAAATGGAGCAACCTGGACTCAAACCAGCGCCCATATGGAATGCCGGCATTGCAGGCGGCAGCTTAACCTGCTATGCAATAACCCCGGCCCCCAAAAAAAAATTTAAAAAAAAAAGTGACAGATAAAATTGAGGTTCCCCGTAATATTTTATTGTACTCCTGTTTTTCATTTCCCCCGTTCTGAAAGGGAAATCACTCATGGAATGAGTGTATATCCTTCCATGATTTTATGTCGCTGTTTTGTAAGAATGCATATTCATACTAACATGAATAACAATATATACAGGATTGTGTGGGGCCTGGAAATTATAATGTGAGTGAGTGATGATATCTCACTGCATTTTTTTCACTCAACTTAGTTCCTTCCATGTTAATCCATATAAATCTAGTTAATCTGTCTTAAGTTCCACATAGTATCTCACATACACAACATTCCTGTGCCGTATTTGTGACCTGTGATTTTCTATTACTGTATGAAAATTATAACCATAGCAGCTGAAAGTAGCACAGTGTGTTAGCTCTCAGTTCTGCAAGTCAGTTGTCTGGCTTGGCCCAACTTGGAATCCTCATCACGGTGAACTGCTGGGCCTTGCTCACGGAAACATTTTGACTCGCACTAACGCCTTACGTCTGCGCATTTATATCAAGAATCCACACACAAATGAGAATGGGAAATCTAGGTGCCTTCTGCCCCCTGGGAGGAGAAATACCATGTTTAGAACTCCCAGTAACTGGAAGGAGAGCAGGACGTTTTGGGAACGAAGTGTTTCCCATCCTGGTGGATTAAGAACGTCCTCTGTACGCAGCCTGCCAGCTGGCTGGGCGCGGGCAGCACACGGTGGTGTCCTCAAAGGCCAACCAGACCGGCCTCGCGTGCCTCCTGCGGAGCGCCAGCAGCAGATCTGTTATGACATCCTGAGCAGGAGTTTGCGCAGCTCAGTGGGCCTGTGATGACGTCCAGTTTGACGTCACGAGCTCCGCAGTTCTGGTCCAGTAGAGGGCGCACTCTCGCGAGCCGGCCCCCGGGCGCTGCACCGCTTGCCCTGCCCTGCTTCTGCGAGCGCTGCGGCGCCCTCTGCCTTGCGTTTGACTAAGGTCTCGCAGGGCCAGATCAAGGCGTCAGTTTGATCCGGCTGGGTCTGGAATTAGGTTGACATAAGGTAGATTGGTGGGAGAAAAGCCTGCAGACTTGTTTTTCACATGGCACTGGAGCTCTCATTAAAAAATGAAAATCTAGGCCGGCGCCGCGGCTTACTAGGCTAATCCTCCACCTGCGGCGCCGGCACACCGGGTTCTAGTCCCGGTCGGGGCGCCGGATTCTGTCCCGGTTGCTCCTCTTCCAGGCCAGCTCTCTGCTGTGGCCCAGGAGTGCAGTGGAGGATGTCCCAAGTGCTTGGGCCCTGCACCCCATGGGAGACCAGGAGAAGCACCTGGCTCCTGCCATCAGATCAGCGCGGTGCGCCGGCTGCAGCGGCCACTGGGGGGTGAACCAGTGGAAAAGGAAGACCTTTCTCTCTGTCTCTCTCTCTCACTGTCCACTCTGCCTGTCAAAAAAATGTTTACAGCTACTAAAAAATGTAATGTTAGTATATGCACATATTTCACAAATGCACATATTTAGAACTATAATTGTGAGGTCATTAAGTATGTGCGTTTTCAGTTGGTGTTGCTATTTTCATATTTCTCCAAAGTAGTTGTACTGACTTGTTGCATGTATACCATGGAAAAACCAGGCCTCGGGACAGTCTGGAAGGGAGAAAGGAGAGGGGGGTTCGTTTTCCACTCCTGTCCCCATTGTCAGATGTCACAGAATGTTAGCTGTCCTGCATTTCCTGCCGCCTGGCGTCATCTGCCCCTGCGGAGCTGAGGTTCCATACCCTTGGTCAGCTTCATCTGTGACAGAAAGTAGCTGCAAAAGTCAAACTCAGGACTAGCGATTAGCTGTCTCCAAAGTCACACTGACCTGAACTGGACAAGTGCAACAAAACTGGAAGGCAACCCTTGGGAAAGCAGGACATGGCAATCCGTGTCCAGGAAACGTTAGCACCACAGGACCCTGGGGATGCTTAGAAACTCCCATGGCACGTGCTTTACCTACTTCCTGTATCTTGGAGATTACACTATTTATCTGTAAAGGAAGTTCCTACATATGTATATGATAAAAGTCCAAGTTGGATCAAATATGAGCTTTTTTTTTTTTTTTTTTTTTGACAGGCAGAGTTAGTGAGAGAGACAGAGAGAAAGGTCTTCCTTCCGTTGGTTCACCCCCAAATGGCCATTACAGCCAGCGCACTGCGCCGATCCGAAGCCAGGAGCCAGGTGCTTCTCCTGGTCTCCCATGGGGTGCAGGGCCCAAGGACCTGGGCCATCCTCCACTGCACTCCCGGGCCGCAGCAGAGAGCTGGCCTGGAAGAGGAGCAACCGGGACAGAATCTGGCACCTGGACAGGGACTAGAACCCAGGGTGCCGGCGCTGCAGGCAGAGGATTATCCAAGTGAGCTGTGGTGCTGGCCCAAATATGAGCTTTATACAATTCTTAAAACTTTATTGTAGAGGAGGGAAAAATAAACTTTATTATAAAATGGACAACATAAATATCTTTATAATTGTTTTTGCTTTAATTAGAGTAACACATGCTCTTAAGTTTTTCAAATAGAGGAATATAGGGAGTAACAGTTTCTGTTCCCACTCACGCCCTCCCTCTCCCCTCTCACAGTTTGTGCCTTGAAGGGTTTCCTGGGTATTCTCACTTTCCTCTGTGTGTGCCTATACAGAACTCAACACAGGAGTTTCTCCTTGGAGGAGCAGTTCAGATGCAGCCTGCTCACGGAGGGGCCCGGGGCTGGACCTCACTGCTTCCGGGAGCCGCGCAGGTTTCATAGCGGGGGTGATAGCGGGGTGCACATACCGGCCTCAGCGTTTCCCTGTGGACAGACATGCGGGGTCCTCTCATTGACTCACACAATGCTTCATGCAGTGGTCTGGTGACACTTGTAGGGGCTTTAAAGGGTGAGACTAATAAATACACACAAGTATGACTTCACAGCATTATTTTCCAATGCCAGGTAACCATGATATTGCTAGATGGTTCTGGAAAAAACACCATGATCCAGAAGTTTGGGAGACACTATATGGTTTTCCAGTTACTGTTTTCTTAGTTCTTGTGAAGTAAGCAAGACTGACTATATAACGCAGAAAAGGAAAGTCACTGAAATACAAATACTTACTCTGAATTCAGGAGAAATTGAGGTCATCTCGTTTTTTTTATTTCCCCTAAATATTTCCTTCTCCTACTTGTGCATTTACATATCTCAACGTTAATTTACATACATGGATTCACATTGTAGCAGGATTTGTGAACAGAGAGGAGACACCAAGGCCAGAAAGCACTCATGATGATGTTGGCAGCCTGAGCCCTGAACAGAGGGGTGTTTCCTTATATATGGTTTTCGCTTCTCTGTCTCCCTTTTATGGCTCCGTGCATACATTTGATTAGATATTCTGATGTTACATGGTGGCCACAGGAATTGATACAGTACTGTACGTGAGTACATACTTGTAATAATATTTTGTTTTTTTTTTTAATGCACCTAATATTTCTTCCACACACATACTGGGCTGTATATTGTCTGGCAGGGGCTAACACCCTCACTCCATGCTAACAAGCAGAAGCTGGAATGGTCACAAATGAAACATGCACAGGCCAGAACATAATGACCACATTCCTGCCTGGGCGGCAGGAGCCCAAGTATGCGTGTACACCAGGACCTCCCAGAGTCTGTGTCAGCAGGAAACGCGTCAGGAGCTGGAAGTCAAACCCAGGCACTCCCGAGTGGGACACTAGCATCTTAACTAGACCAAATGCCCGCCTCAGCTTTGTGAGTCTTTTTTAAAAATCATCTCATGGGGCCGGTGCTGTGGCATAGCAGGTAAAGCCACTGCCTGCAGTGCTGGCATCCCATATGGGCGCCAGTTCGAGTCCCGGCTGCTCCACTTCCGATCCAGCTCTCCGCTGTGGCCTGGGAAGGCAGTAGAAGATGGCCCAAGTCCTTGGGCCCCTGCACCCGCATTGTTAATCCTCCATGAGTCATAACAAGCAAGGAAGTAGTCAGCGTGTTAGCGGCAGGAATCCATCCCTACTGAAGAAATGCCTCGTTAGGTGAACATCTTCAAACGTACTTCCCTGAAGATGGATACCAAGTCACTAGGTGATATGATCTTCGGGGACCCCAGTCAGTATGTGGTCTGTTCTTAAAACATTATGCAGTGCATGCACATTAGGACTGTAACAGCCGGCGCCGCGGCTCAACAGGCTAATCCTCCTCCTAGCGGCGCTGGCACACCAGGTTCTAGTCCTGGTCGGGGCGCCGGATTCTGTCTCGGTTGCTCCTCTTCCAGGCCAACTCTCTGCTGTGGCCAGGGAGTGCAGTGGAGGATGGCCCAAGTGCTTGGGCCCTGCACCCCATGGGAGACCAGGAAAAGCACCTGGCTCCTGGCTTCGGATCAGCGCAGTGCGCCGGCCACAGCGTGCCGGCCATGGCGGCCATTGGAGGGTGAACCAACGGCAAAGGAAGACCTTTCTCTCTGTCTCTCTCACTGTCCACTCTGCCTGTCAAAAAAAAAAAAAAAAAGACTGTAGCACTGAAGTGTTTGCCTTTCCTCAGGAGAATCCAATCAACCGAACTTCCATCCAGACTTAATTTACATACAATCACGTGGCTACAGCGCACCTGGTGCGGGCCGTGTCTGGACGTGTTGCCATCTGCTTCTTCAGATCCCTGAGACCATCACATCCACCTCACCAGACGCAGTCACAGAAGCTGTTTAGCGCCTGCAGACACAACGTTGCCTCCCGACCAAAACCAAAGCTATGAAAATAGCCAGAAGAAGCCCCTGGCTCCTGGCTTTGGATTGGCTCAGCTCCGGCTGCTGTAGCCAGTTGCGGAGTGAACCAGCGATGGAAGACCTCTGTCTCTCTCTCTCTCTGCCTCTCCTTCTCTCTCTGTGTAACTCTTTCAAATAAATAAATAAAAAAAAAAAAAAAAAAAGAAATTGGAGCCAATAATTACATGGAAATCATCAAGCTATAAACACAACAGAAAATGGTAACGAATGCTTTAAAGCACACAGATTTAACAGTAACATAAAACGCCCAGTATAAAGGAGTAATTTTGCTTTTCCGAAGAATCATTTTTTGTTAAGATGTTGACAACTACTGAAAACTTCATAAAACATAGCAATGTAATTTATAAATATCTCAACACACAATACTAATAAATTTTTTTAAAAAAATTTATTTTTATTTTGAAAATCAGAGAGAGGAAGAGACACAGAGAGAGGAAGAGACACAGAGAGAGGTCTTCTATCTTGTGGTTCACTCTCCAGATGGCCGCAACGGCCAGAGCTGGGCAATCCGAAGCCAGGAGCCTGGAGCTTCTTCCGGGTCTCCCACGTGGGTACAGGGGCCCAAGCACTTGGGCCATCCTGCACTGCTTTCCCAGGCTATTAACAGAGAGCTGGATCAGAAGTGGAGCAGCCAGGTGCCCATGTGGGATGCCTGCATTGCAGGCAGAGGCTTCACCAGGTACACCACAGCGCTGGCCCCTAATAAATGTCTCGTAGGAAAAGCTTCATTTAAGCTGTCTCCTAATATGTAGACATCCAGAAGGCACACAGCCTTGCAATACGTCCTTTGTCAAAGTCTCTTGCATTAAGCAGCTCCCGGTTCTCCTTTCAACTGCTTTGTCTTCCAAGTGTGATAGTTGACGGCAAAGAACAGGACCTTTTAAGAGTTCTTGGGCAGGCCGGATCTGGTAGAGGGTGCTGGCCTGAACAGCTGCAGCCCGCAGATTTAAACACCGGGACGCTTGGATGTACAGGATCACGCAGAACAGGGAACTGTGAAGTTTTACGCCCGGAGTTTTTGAATGGAAAATTCTCTTTCACAGGATCTTTTTCTTTCTTCTCTTTTGAGATAGTATCTTTGTCTTCCAATGCACGGGCAAGCATGTAACTAACTTTCCTCTGATGAGCCAAAGCTTCTTCTTTATCATTCAACTGAGGGCGCAGAAGTTAAAAATGTACCAGTTAGCGAACCACAGAGTATATTCAGAGAATGGAGTACTATATAGTATTTCACCAGAACGCTCTACATCTGTCAGGGCAACTGAATAGATGAATTAAGTGTCACCTGATTCCCAAGCATTGTGCTATAGGCTGAGGACTGTTTTTACTTTATTGTTTAAAATATTTATTTATTTGAAAGGCAGAGTTAAAGAGAGGCAGAAGGAGAGAGGGAGAGAGAGGTCTTCCATCCACTGGTTCACTCTCAAAATGCTGACAACGACCAGAGCTGGGCCGATCTGAAGCCAGGAACCAGGAGCTTCTTCAGGGTCTCCCACATGGGTGCGGGGGCCCAAGCACTTGGGCCATCATCTACTGCTTTCCCAGGCCACAGCAGAGAGCTGGACTGGAAGTGGCGCAGCCGGGACTAGAACTAACACGTATGTGGGATGCCGGCACTGCAGCAGTGGCTTTACCTGCTGTACCACAGCACCAGCACCTACCTTTTCTTTTCTTTTTTTTTTTTTTTAATTTTATTTTTATTTATTTGAAAGGAAGAGTTACAGAAAGAAGGGGGGAGAGAGAGAGATCTTAGAACTGCTGGTTCACTCTCCAAATAGCTGCAATGACTAGCATTGGGCCAGGCTGAAGCCAGGAGCCTGGAGCTTCTTCCAGGTCTCCCACACGGGTGCAGGGGCCCAAGCACTTGGGCGATCATGCACTGCTTTCCCAGGCACATTGGCAGGGAGCTGGGCTGGAAGTGGAGCAGCCAGGACCACACGGGATGCCAGAGTCCCAGGAAGTGTCTACACACAACGTCACAATGCCACTGGCCCCATAAGTAAGTCTTCAGAGACAAGCAGGAGAATGTCCATCAAGCCTTGCTTTCTCGTTGTCTAACTTCAGTCACGTTGTCTGTGGAATGCGGCTGCCAGGCCTGATTTCAGGGTTGTAATGATTTCACATATTAAATATGTATACTGGGTGAGAAATGACCTTATGTAGTTTAAAGATGCCTGGATAGGGGCTGGTGCGGTGGCATAGCAGGTTAAACCACCACCTGCAGCACCGGCATCCCATGTGGGTGCCAGCTGTAGTCCCATCAGCTCCACTTCGGATCCAGCTCCCAGCTAATGTGCCTGGGAAAGCAGCGGAAGACGCCCCAAGTATTGGAGCCACTGTCACCCACGTGGGAGACCCAAAGGAAGCTCCTGGTTCCTGGCTTTGGACTGGCCCAGCTCTGGCCACTGCAGCCATTCGGGGAGTGAACCAGCAGATGGAGGATCTGTGTGTGTGTACGTGTGTGCACATGTGCCCATGTGTCTCCTCTATCTCCAACTCTGCCTTTCAAATAAATGCCTGGATAAACCGATGGTCTTGAAACAAACTCTAACTATAAACTCGGATGACAGAGCTAGCTGGAGTTAGCTAAGGGAGGCTCCTCTTCTGAGGCAGAGCTTTAGCCCTGCACAGACGGAGCTGGTTAGACGTGGACCATGCATTCCGGAAACTCTAGGAGAAGGAGATCACAAATTTGGAGTACAGTATCCCATTAGAAAAAGGGCATGAAAGGCAAGAATAAAGAGCTGAACTCAAAGGAAGAAAGTAGATTAGTTTAACCCAGCAAAAAGGAAGCAAAGATACTGACCAAATCTATTAGCATCTTGAAGACTTCCTGTGGCTGATCCCGGTCTTCAGTCCTCCTGGAAATGTTTTCCGAAGGGAGCATGCCCAGTAGTTTCTGTGCTAAGGTTTTCTTGCTCCTCTGTGATACGAGCCCTGCAATTGAACACGGACGTCCCGCTGAGACATGAAAACACAGCTGTGCTTCCACCAGTGAAAGAGGCCTCAGAGTCCCGGCTAATCCATCCCTGAATGTGTCCCTCGGCTCCGGGTGGTGGCAAGAGCATGGGCCTCATAGCCAGGACACCTGCAGGTAGGCGAGGGGCTGCCAAGGGGGGAGACGCACAGCGGTCCCTGAGCACCAGCTGGTGCTGCCCAAGAGCGCAGTCCCGGTCACAGATGTCATAGTCAAGAGCAGCCAGAAATCCAGATGTGCACGTGAAACCTCCCAATTTTAAATGTCAGCTGCCTGCCGGTTCAAGTCCCGGCTGCTCCACTTGCTCGTGGCCTGCAAAAAGCAGAAGATGGCCCAAGCACCAGGGCCCCTGCCACCCACATAGGAGGCCTGGATGATGGTCCTGGCTTCAGCCTGGCCCAGTCCTGGCTGTTGCAGCCATCTGGGGAGTGAACTGCTGGAAGGAAAACCTCCCTCTGTAACTCTGCCTTTCAGATAAATAAATAAAAATCTTTTAAAAATATATTAAAGAAAATATGGGGCCGGGGCTGTGGCACAGCAGGATAAAGCCCTGGCCTGAAGCGCCAGCATCCCATATGGGTGCCGGTTCTAGTCCCAGTTGCTCCACTTCTGATCCAGCTCTCTGCTATGGCCTGGGAAAGCGGTAAGAAATGGCCCAAGTGCTTGGGCCCCTGCACCCACATGGGAGACCTGGAAGAAGCTCCTGTCACTTGACAGCTGACTGGCGCAGCTCCGGCCGTTGCAGCCATTTGGGGAGTGAACCAGTGGATGGAAGACCTCTCTCTCTCTGTCTCTACCTCTCTCTGTAACTCTTTCAAATAAATAAAATAAATCTTAAAAGAAAAAAAAAAACTGTTAGCACCAATCCACATGATTTGAAAACACTATAAACTTGGCCGGCACTGTGGCTCACTTGACTAATCCTCCGCCTGAGGCGCCAGCACCCTGGGTTCTAGTCCCAGTTGGGGCGCCAGAAGGCAGTGAAGGATGGCCCAAGTGCTTGGGGCCTGCACCCGCATGGGAGACCAGGAAGAAGCACCTGGCTCCTGGCTTCGGATCAGCGCAGCGCACCGGCTGTAGCGGCCACTTGGGGGGTGAACCCACAGAAAAAGGAAGACCTCTCTCTCTCTCTCTCTCACTGTCTAACTCTGCCTGTCCAAAAAATAAATAAAACACTACTTAAATAATTTAAAAAGTTTAAAAAGGGGGCTGGTGCTGTGGCATAGCAGGTAAAGCCTCCGCCTGCAGTGCCTGAATCCCACATGGGTGCCGGTTCAAGTCCCTGCTGCTCCACTTCTAATCCAGCTCCTTCTAATGTGCCTGATGAAAGCAGCTGAGGATGGCCCAAGTGCTTGGGCCATTGTACGCTTATAGGAGACCTGGAAGAGGCTCCTGACTCCTGGCTCCGGCCTGGTCCAGCCCAGGTCATTGCGACCATTTGGGGAGTGAACCAGCGGATGGAAGATTCCCTCTCCCTCTCTCCTCTTCCTGTATGTGTCTCTGCCTTCCAAATAAATAAGTAAATCTAAAAAAAGAGGCATTTTGATCTCTTTCCCTGGTTCCTGACCTACAGCTCCTAAAAGCCTTATTCAGAGAGAAAGCAGGAGAATCTTTTCTTCTGATTGAGTTGGTCTTGGAACCCAGTTCCTGAAAGAATCCCTAAGACATCTGTCATCTCCTGAGTGACAGCAGTATCTATGCGGAGCCCCTAAGTCCCCGGCCCTTCCCAGGTAACTGGAGCATCTTTCATTCCCAAGAGGCTTGGTGGCCTCTGGAAAGCCTCAGGATGGGGCCGGTTGCCAGGGGAACCAACTCTGATTACAGGGCAGGGGCTTCCAACCCCACCCCCCAACATCCAGGGCAGGGAGAGGGACGGAGAGCTGACTCCCAGTGCCGGCGATGTCCTTAACCATGCCGCAGAACGAAGGAAGGCTCCATGAACACTCAGAACGGGGCGGGTGCTCGGCCTGGCGACGTTGACGCTGCTTTGGAAGCCTGCATCCCTGTCGCACTGCCTGGGAACCAGTTCTGCTTCCAGTTCCAGCTCCCAGCTAGTGCACACCCTGGGAGGCAGCAGTGAGGGCTCGAGTCCTTGGGCCCCTGCCACCAGAGACCTGGGTTGAGTTCCTGGCTTCTGGCTTTGGCCTGGCCCAGTCCCAGCTGTTACGCACCTCTAGGGTGTGAATCGGTGGGTCTGAGAGATCTCTGTCTTTCAAATAAAATAATTTTTAAAGAACCCAAAAGGACCAGGTTTGGGGAGTTCCCAGAGAACCGAACAATAGTTTCCTGAGAGTGGGCATGGAAACCCACACCCCTTCGTACATACCTTGTCCTGTGTATCTCTTCCTGTGATGTGCATCTGCATCCTTCCGTAGCATCCTTTATGATAACCCAGGAAACCTAAACGCTCCCTTGAGATCTGCGAGCTGTCACAGCAAACGCTTCAGACAGAGCCAGAACTATGGGTAATACCTGGTGCCCACCCGTGACCCGCAGGGGGCAGTCCTGCGGACTGAGTCTTTTTTTTTTTTTAATTAAAGATTTATTTTATTTATTTGAGAGGCAGAATTAGAGAGAGAGACAGAGACAGAGACAGAGAGAGAAGTCTTCCATCTGCTGGTTCACTCCCCAAATGGCTGCAGTGTTTGGAGCTGAGTTGATCTGAAGCCAGGAGCCAGGAGCTTCCTCTGGGTCTCCCACATGGGTGCAGGGGCCCAAGGACCTTGGTCATCCTCCGCTGCTTTCCCAGTCCACAGCAGAGAGCTAGATCTGAAGTGGAGCGGCCAGGACTCAAACCGGTGCCCACGTGAGACACTGGCGCTGCAGGCTGGGGCCTTAACCCACTGTGCCACAGCGCCAGCCCCAGGGCCTGAGCCTTTACGCTGTAGGATGACCCTAGCGCCAGGCAGAGAGTGTCAGAGGTGACTTAACTTGTAGGACAGCCAGAGCGTGTCTGGGATAGGGGAGGGAGGGAGTGGGAGAAGTGGGAGAGAAGTGGTGACATGTGTGACAGAGGAAACACTGGCTTTCCTAGCTCTTACACTGAGAATGGCAGGACACCTGAGATACAACACGCGCACAGTCCCCAGTGCTGACACGAGCAGGAGCAAGCTCTTAGGGAGAGCTAGGGCCGTCCTGACGGCCAACCCCCAGGCAGGTTCACAGCATGCCTTTCGCCCTGCCCCCCCCCCCCCATCTTCTTTCTCTCATCCTTCTTCTCTCCTCCTCCATCAAAGCAAATAGTTAAAGCCTGACTTCACAGCACAGAAGCCTGGGCTGCTCCTTGAATGTCCTGCAGTGCAGCTCCTGCCATGGGCCCGAGAGCAGAGGTCGCCCACACCTCTGCCGGCCACACGAGAGCCCTTCTTAGTGTCTGCCACCACGCGTCTTAGCTTTGGTCCTGGGCAAAACCGCCTACCCTGAGTTGGACAAGGAAGGTTGTGCCGTCAGCTTTTACCAAAGGATGTTATAGAAAATGGCCATGTAAGTACTGATTGTTTTATTAAACATGATTGCTGAGGACTTGGCCAGCATGTTTGCTCCATGGATTCTGAAAGTCTTATGTCAGAAAACACTTGCAGTGTCGTTTCAGGACAAAATGAACGTCTTCTTGGGAATAAGAAGTGTGTGCCCTATGTCCCCTTGGCCCAAACGTCCACTGATGAGGACTCCTCACTTTCCCGACTTTTTACTGCTTCCTTAGTTCCGGTCACCACTCTTCTTCTTACTGCCCTGTAAGCCACTTCCTTGCACTGTCAGCAAAGTGAAGGAGTGACGTTTGGTCATTGACGCTAAAATTCACCACATTGGCTTCTATATAAACTATTATTAATGTAAACTATTTGAAAAGTATTTTTTAAAAATAGGTATTGATTATTAAAAGTTTAATTTTCTATATTATAAGATGCTTACTTATGAAGTTCATCTGACTTTAAGAAATCTTGGAATTAAGAAGAAGTTGAAGGGACAGTGCTGTGGCACAGCGGGTAAAGCCACCGTCTGCAGTGCGGGCATCCCATATGGGCGCAGGTTTGCATCCTGGCAGTTCTACTTCCAACCCAGCACTCTGCTGTGGCTTGGGAAAGCAGTAGAAGATGGCCCAGTCCTTGGGTCCCTGCACCCGCGTGGGAGACCTGTAAGAAGCTCTGGCTCCTGATCAGTGCAGTTCCGGCCATTGCGGCCAGTTGGGGACTGGACCAGCAGATGGAAGACCTCTCTCTCCCTCTCCCTCTCTGCCTCTCCTTCTCTCTGTGTGTAACTCTGACTTTCAAATAAATAATAAATCTTTAAAAAATGGATTCAACATATTAGAAAATACTTACAAGTATAGTTATCTCAGAATTTTCACACTAAAATATTCAAACTTCTTACAAATTTCATTTTGTTCTTTCTTGACTGATATAAATGGTTTCAAAATAGAATTGGCACTTTTGAATGAAATAACATGAATTCTACTGAAGAATACTGATAAATGATGAAAATTGATACTGACTTCAGAAAATGTGATTTCTATAAACTAACAGTTACTTGTTTACACTGGAATAGTTGCTTCAACTACAATTGTATTCTGTGTCTTTTTCAGATATTTTATATTTTGTTTAAACTCACAATAATACTCAAAAATGGTTATGGACTCTTGATAGGCTCTTTAACCTGAACCTAAGCTTGTTCCGTTTTTTCTTTAAATATTTATTAATTTATTTAAAAGAGTTACACGGGGAGAGAAGGAGAGGCAGAGAGAGAGGTCTTTCATCTGCTGGTTCACTCCCCAATTGGCCACAATGGCTGTAGCTGCCAGGAGCCAAAACCAGGAGCCAACAGCCTCTTCTGGGTCTCCCACGTGGGTGCAGGGGCCCAAGGACATCTTCTACTGCCTTCCCAAGCCAAAGCAGAGAGCTGGATCGGAAGTGGAGCAACCAGGACTCGAACCGCTGCCCATATGGGATGCCAGCACTGCAGGCGGTGGCTTTACCCACTATACTACAATGTCAGCCCCTGTGGTGTGCTAGGATGAAGCCAGGAGCCAGGAACCAGGAGATTCTTCCAGGTCTCCCACATGGGTAGCAGTAGCTCAAACACTTGAGCCATCTTCCACTGCTTTCCTAGGTGCATTAGCAGGGAGCTGGTTTGGAAGTGGAGCAGCCGAGACTTGAACCAGTGTACATATGGGACGCCAGAGTCACAGGCAGCGGCTTTACCTGCTACGCCATAACGCTTTCCCCTTGGCCATTTCCTTTTAATCATAAAACCTCTATTGTATATTTTTCTATTAAACATGTTCTTTTTCCTTTTTTTTTGACAGGCAGAGTTAGTGAGAGAGAGAGAAACAGAGAGAGTTATAGACAGTGAGAGAGAGACAGAGAGAAAGGTCTTCCTTCCGTTGGTTCACCCTCCAAATGGCTGCTACGGCTGGCGCTGAGCTGATCCGAAGCCAGGAGCCAGGTGATTCCTCCTGGTCTCCCACACGGGTGCAGGGCCCAAGCACCTGGGCCATCCTCCACTGCACTCGCTGGCCACAGCAGAGAGCTGGACTGGAAGAGGAGCAACTGGGACAGAATCCGGTGTCCCGACAGGGACTAGAACCCGGTGTGCCAATGCCGCAGGTGGAGGATTAGCCTAGTGAGCCGTGGTGCCAGCCAAACATGATCTTTTTAAAATCAAATAGAAGAGTACAAGAAGAGATTTTCCTGTTATCTTATGGTATTGTTGATTCCAGGAGCTCATCTGTGGATATAATATTCGATGACTTTTTTTTCCAAAGTCGCTAAATTTTTAAGTAAATCACAAGAATATGCGAAATGAAATTATATCCTCCTACATTGGACTAAATGTGCTTCATCAACTTTGTCACCAAACACAACTAAAGTGGACACCTGATTATTGCCATTATAGCCATAGTTACCATTCTCTTTAAGGTGCTTCCAATTTATCCGTTTTGCTGCTTTTTGCCACATTGTATCCATTTGTGTCAATCTTAGTGCCTGGTCACTTTTCCTCATTAATTGCTGCTCAAACGCAATTCTGAATGCATCTGCCATTACGTAAGCCTCTTCTTTACTCTTCTGCAAAAGTTCCAGCTGGTTTTGAAAGACAGATGGGAGACGTCAGAGGCAAAACCAGAATGGTTCTTGCCTGAAAGCTGCATTGAATTGGCATGCTCCTTCTCCCGGCCTAGCTGGGTCTACTGCCTGGCTTTGATGGGTTTTGTCTACATGAGTGGCCCACACTGACCTATGTAACCAGTAGTTTCCCTTGGAGTGCCAGTCAATGCCATGCTAAGCCAACTCTTGGACCTCACTACCCTAGGCAGGCCCTGGGTGCACCCTGCCCAAATCCGGGGAAGAAGGACCCAGCGAGAAACAAGGGGGGATGCTCTGTTGGGATCCGGGAACCTTGCCCGGAAGCGGAATCCCAATAAAAGCTTGTGAATTAATGGATTCGCCTGCCTGGGATAATTTGTTACGTGCCGGACACCTTGCACTGCCCAAGAACTACATTTCAGTTTGGCACTGAAAATAACGATGAGCACACCTCTCAGTCCCTCCCAATGCTGACCTTGACATTGAACCATGTCCTCGAATGCCCTTCTTACTCAATTGCTAATGTTTAGCTGTGGTTTCCTACATCATCAAAAGACTTTACAATTCCGTGCCTCCAGTAGAGGGTAAAATATTTTAAAATTATGGTCCACGGACAGTACAAGGAGTCTTCAAAAAGTTCTTGGTTAATGTGTATTATGAGAAACTTCATGGATTTCAAAAGCACTTTGCTTCCAAATGATCTTAAGTTATTAAAAATTTATTTATTTAGGGGGCAGAAAGCATGAGAGAGACAGCCAACAGAGCTCCCATCCACAGGTTCACTCCTCAAGTACAGTCAATGGCCAAGGCTGGGCCGGGTCCACTAGGAACTCAATCCAGATCTCCCACATGCATGGTAGGAACCCAATTTACTTGAGCCATCACTTGCTGTCTCCCAGAGTTTGTGTTAGCAAGAAGCGGAGTCAGGAGCTGCATCTGGGAGTCAAACCCACGTACTCCAATTTGGGCCACAGGTCTATTAATCCTAGGCTAAACGCCTGCTCCCTGAACTTCCCCTTCAGTCCCCTTTCCATGAACTTTCTGAATCCCCTTGTATTTGCAATGAAAGCCCTATTCTGATGGCAGCTGTCGTCTGATTAAACGCCTGCAGGTGCACGACACCACGCTAAACCGTGCATGTCTATTTCCTCTATTCTCACAACAACCCTCCAAGGTAGTTATCTCACCCCCATTAAACACATGAGAAAACCAAAACTCAGCCCAAAGCCACAGCTGGCGAAGATGGAGTCTGGCTGGTGCAAGGGCCCTCTTCCTCTCCAACTCACTCCTTTTCAAATCAGCTCCACATTTATCGCCCCATGAGTCAGTGTTGGGGATCCTAGGGACTTTCAGCATCAAAGCATGTTTCCTCTATTTTAGGTCCCTGTATAGACAAGTAAAATTTTAAGAAACATCGGGGCCGATGCCATGGCTCACTTGGTTAATCCTCCGCCTGTGGCGCCAGCATCCCATATGGGCGCTGGGTTCTAGTCCTGGTTGCTCCTCTTCCAGTCCAGCTCTCTGCTGTGGCCCGAGAAGGCAGTGGAGGATGGCCCAAGTGCTTGGGCCCTGCACCTTCATGGGAGACCAGGAGGAAGCGCCTGGCTCCTGGCTTCAGATTGGTGCAGCACCGGCTGTAGCAGCCATTTGGGGGGTGAACCAACGGAAGGAAGACCTTTCTCTCTGTCTCTCTCTTTCACTGTCTATAACTCTACCTGTCAAATAAATTTAAAAAGTTAAAAAAAAAAAAAAAGAAACATAACCACAGGGGCTGGTGTTGTGGTGCATCGGGTTAGGGTAAGCCACCACCTACAAGGCTGGCATCCCGTATCTGAGCACCAGTTCGAGTCCTGGCTGCTCCACTTCTGATCCAGCTCCCTCCTAATGCACCTGGGAAAGCAGCAGAAGATGGCCTGAGTACCTAGGCCCCTGCCACCCACGGGGGAGACCCAGATGGAATTCCAGGTTCCTGCGTACATTTTGGGGAGTGAACCAGTGGATGGAAGATGTGTTTCTGTTTCTGTCTCTGTCTCTTTCTCTGTTGCTCTGACTTTCAAATAAATAAAGTGCATCTTTTAAAAATATATTAACTACAAGCGTAGGCAAATGACCTTACATAGATTCATATATGCCAAGTATTTGCATTCTGGAACCAGGTACACAAACACCAGTACATAAGTTACTGGCATGGGATAAACCTAAGTTCCACAGCCAATATCTACTCAAATGAAGTTCTTTATTACTCATGCTTCTACTGAGCCTGCTGGTAACAGACAAACAAAACCAAAGCTGTGGTGATGGAACGGTACCTCGTGTTTCAGCTGCAGAAGCAACTTCCGGGCGGATGCTGCCATGCGGGCACAGGAACAGGGCCTCTCCCCAGGATCGTGACAACGGCAGGCTCCGAGGACGGCGAGCTTTAAATCCAAAAGCACAACTCCCACCGTAAGTGCCACAGTGCTTTCGCCACTTGCCACAAAGGGGCACCTGCACACACACCCACTTTTCGCTACTCAAGTATCTGATCCACAGAAACTGGAAAGGAAAAAGAAACAGGAGAGAGAGAGAGCACGGGAGAGAGAGAGAGAGAGAGAGAGAGAGAGAGCAAGCGAGCTAAGACCAGGATTTCAGGACACAAGTAGAAATTAACCACCAATGAGAAAGAAAATCACTACTTGGAAGGAAAACTTAGAGGGATCCTGCCTGCCTTCGTTTTGCTCTTAAATCCTTTAAGCCTGGCATCAGCCTCCTAGAGTTGGTGCGCCCTCTGCAGGAACGCAGCCTAGCAGAGGGTTTAGCACTAACAGCCACACCGTGGATTTCCTGCAGTGGGGCTTGGCGCTCTGTGCCAGCTCTCTCCAGGGAGACGGGCGTGCTCGGAAGTGGCGGGCCAAGCTGAATTCTCGGTGGGACAGTAAGCATTCCTCCACTCCTCCACAAGATACTCTGTAGTCATGCAATGTATTCTTTAAGACTTCTTGGAAGCCGGCGCTGCGGCTCACTAGGCTAATCCTCCGCCTTGCGGCGCCGGCACACCGGGTTCTAGTCCCAATCGGGGCACCGGATTCTGTCCCGGTTGCCCCTCTTCCAGGCCAGCTCTCTGCTGTGGCCCGGGAAGGCAGTGGAGGATGACCCAAGTCCTTGGGCCCTGCACCCCATGGGAGACCAGAAGCACCTGGCTCCTGCCTTTGGATCAGCGCGGTGTGCCAGCAGCAGCGTGCTGGCGGTGGCGGCCATTGGGGGATGAACCAACGGTAAAGGAAGACCTTTCTCTCTGTCTCTCTCACTGTCCACTCTGCCTGTCAAAAAAAAACAAAAAAAAAGACTTCTTGGCTGATCTGCTGTTTCACCTGGAGCCCTGGTCCCTCAAACCCTGACCATGAATCACGATGAAGAAAACAGGGTCACTCTGGTTGACCACTGTAGATGGCAGGAAGGTAAGAAGGTGAGGGGATGGGGGGCAGAGGGAGCTTGGATAAGAGGCACCAAAACAGAGAGAAGGAGCAGGCTGGGGAGGTCCACAGCACGGCAGGGCAGCCCTGGCTCACGGGACGCGCTATGTGCAGGAGCAGGAGCTGCGGGAGAGGAGCTGGAGGCTCCATGCGGCAGGGAGGAGGGGTGGGGATACTGATGCCTGGTTTCATCTGCTTATCCTCTATGCATGTGCTGAAATACTGCTTTGGGCCCCATAAAGGTGTACAAGTATTACATGTTCTTCAAAAGCTTTAAAAATTAAAAGAACTTGTGCTGTGGTGTAGCGGGCAAAGCCGTAGCCTGCAGCGCCAGCATCCCATTTGGGCACTGGTTCAAGACCTGGCTGCTCCACTTCTAATCCAACTCTATGCTGTGGCCTGGGAAAGCAGTAGAAGATGGCCAAAGTTCTTGGGCCTCTGCACCTGAATGGGAGACCTGGAAGAAGCTCCTGGCAACCTGGCTATGGATGGGGGCAGCTCCAGCCATTGTAGCTATTTGGGAAGTGAACCAGTGATGGAAGACCTTTCCCTCTCTGTGCCTCTGCCTCTCTGTAACTGACTTTCAAATAAATAAATAATCTTAAAAGTTAAGTTAAAAATTAAAAAGAAAGAAATAAGAAAAGAAAAAATAAGAAGCTTAAACAAAAAATCACCTTTTTTAAAGGGAGCAGGTGCTGTGGCACAGTGAGTTAAGCCACTGCTTGAGATGATGCCATCCATATCGGAGCACGAGTTCAAGTCCCAGCTGCTCTGCTTCCAATCCAGCTTCCTGCTAATGTGCCTGGGAACGCAGAAGGTGGCCCACGTGCTTGGACCTCTGCCACTCACATGGGAGATCCAGGTGGAGTTCTAAGCTCCTGGTTTGGGCTTGCCCCAGCCCTGGATATTGTGAGCATTTGGGAAATGAATCCGAGGATGGAAGATCTCTCTTTGTCTCTCCCTCCCTGTCTGTCACTCCGTCTTTCAAATAAATTAATTAAAATTAAAATAAAAAAAAAACTTGGCACTTGCAAAGGTCTATGTGTTTACAGTTGCCTTTTTTTTTTTTTTTTTTTGAAGTTCTGCAACGAGTGAGGGTTGCCCTCTGTCACTCCACTGTCACATTAAAAATACATTCTAAGGCCGGTGCCGCGGCTCACTAGGCTAATCCTCCGCCTTGCGGCGCTGGCACACGGGGTTCTAGTCCTGGTTGGGGTGCCGGATTCTGTCCCGGTTGCCCCTCTTCCAGGCCAGCTCTCTGCTGTGGCCCGGGAGTGCAGTGGAGGATGGCCCAAGTGCTTGGGCCCTGCACCCCATGGGAGACCAGGAGAAGTACCTGGCTCCTGCCTTCGGATCAGCGCGATGCGCTGGCTGCAGCGTGCCAGCCGTGGCGGCCATTGGAGGGTGAACCAACGGCAAAGGAAGACCTTTCTCTCTGTCTCTCTCTCTCACTGTCCACTCTGCCTGTCAAAAAAATAAATAAATAAATAAAAATACATTCTAAATTTTGAAAGGCAGACAAGGAATGTCTTCCACCTGCTAGTTCACTCTCCAAATAGCTGCACCAACCAGGGCTGGGCCAGGTCTAAGCCAGGAGCCCAAAATTCCATTCATGTCTCCCCCATGGGGGGCATCGTCCCAAGTACTTGAGCCTTAACTGCTGCCTCCCAGGGTGCACATTAGCAGGAGGCTGGATTGGAAGCAGATGTGGGACTCAAACCCAGGAACTCCCATCAGGGGGGTGGGCATTTTAACCATCATGGCAGACACCTGCCCCTAAACTTCTTTCTTGTGAGGGCAGGCCTTTCTGTATCTTACCATCCAAAGTCCCCATCCCGAGGCATTAGCAGGACAGCACGGCGTTAGCAGAGCCCCAGCAGGTCTCTGTTGTGAACCTGGCTCACGCATGGATGACCTTGTCACCGGGAAGCGAACTGAACTCATCCGTGCCTTCCCTCCATCTCTCACCATGAGGACCACACCTGAGACTCCCGTGAGCACCTTGAAGCTGTAAGCCCCAAGACAAGGGCAGGGCACCGCCGATGTTGCTTCCACCAGAACCGGGAACACAGGAAATAAAAGGGACAGGAAGTGGCCAGCCAAGAACGTCAGGCACGATGGGCACGGCACAGGCGAGGTGGAAGAACCGACATGGACAACCCCGTGGGCCGCCTCACCCTGTCTCACACTGCTAACCAAGCGCATCCCAACACGTGCACCAGAGGGCCATGGGGAAGAAAAGGAAAGCAGAAAATCCCCTCATTCCACCTGCACACACGCTTCCTACCTCGAGACTGGAAACCTCTGTGGAGCCCCCTGGATGGGCGCACGGGTTTTCCTGAGCCATCTTCTGCTGCGTGACATCAAGCATGGCGAGGGCCTCCAGATACCGCTGGTTCAAAGCTGGCGTGGGCCACACGGGGAAGTGTGAGTTCCCAGCCCAGCTCCGGCCTCCCCTAATGTAGCCACGCCAACACCGTGCACTGGCTTCCCACAAGCAAGGCACACACAGCAGTCACCAGGACAACGTCAGAAAGCCCGCCTCTAGAGTGTGGGTAGCACCGCAGACAATCCACACGTAGTATCAGGTGAGGTGACACGATCTGCAGTGGGGAAGCATCTTTGCTTTGCAAGCAAAGTCTGTCCTTTGTTTGCTCTTGGAGAATTTGCTGGATTTCCACGAGTGGAAGATGGGAAGGCACATGCTTTCCGAGGCTGTGGGCAGCGAGACGCTTGGGTGGCACGCTGTCACCTACCGCACGGATGCCAAACGTGCCAGCCACCCAAACCCTATCGGACTCTTCTATCCTTTGGGAGCTTCTGCTGGAGGCTCTGAAGCCGAGAGAGCACGAGGGGACCTGCTGTCCCCTGGGGAGCAGGAAACAGCACCTTCCCTCGCTGGAGGGAAGAGTGGCAGCGAGGGTGGGAAGGGCTCTGGTTCTGAGCAGTTTCCACCTCGATCTAATCTAGTACCGCAGACAGCTCCCCGGGCTCCAGGGCCCGGTGCTGGGGCCGCCATCCGCGCCCGCAGCTCTCCTGCGTGCGGCCCAGACACACGGACACAAAGTGCCGGCGCTCAACCGCGCCACGATTCGCTCTGACTCCTTCCAGTTACCACTCAGCTTCCACTAAGAGGAGCAGGGAGAATTAGCATCACCTCCTAAACTTGTTTTTTTTGTTTGTTTTGTTTGTTTGTTTGTTTGTTTTTTTTTTTTTTTTTTTTTTTTTTTACAGGCAGAGTGGACAGTGAGAGAGAGAGACAGAGAGAAAGGTCTTCCTTTGCCATTGCTTCACCCTTCAATGGCCGCCGCGGCTGGTGCGCTGCGGCCGGCGCACCGCGCTGATCCGATGGCAGGAGCCAGGTGCTTCTCCTGGTCTCCCATGGGGTGCAGGGCCCAAGCACCTGGGCCATCCTCCACTGCACTCCCTGGCCACAGCAGAGAGCTGGCCTGGAAGAGGGGTAACCGGGACAGAATCTGGCGCCCCGACCGGGATAGAACCCGGTGTGCTGGCGCCGCAAGGCGGGGGATTAGCCTAGTGAGCCGCGGCGCCGGCCTAAACTTGTTTTAAAACATTAGTGCCCAACACCTTCAGGTCCTTCCACTGACTTTCAGTTAAGGTGATTCATTCTACAAGGGTACAAGGAGAATGCCTGGAAAGATGGAAGGAACAGATAAGTTGATTTTGGTGCAAAAACTTTTGTGGGTGGTTAGCACAGCAGTTAGGACGCCATTTGGGACGCCTACATCCCATGTCAGGTTCAAGTGCCTGGATTCAAGTCCCAGCTCTGCTGCTAATTCCAGCTTCCTGCTACGGCAAACCCCGAGAAGCAGCAGGTGATGGGGTCCATGTCATCCACGTGGGAGGCTCAAATTGATCCTGGCTTTGGCTTTTGGCTTTTTTGTGTCTAGGGAGTCAAACAGCAGATGGAAGATCTTTCTCTCTGCCTGTCTCTCCTTTTCTCTTTTGAATACATAAATAAAACCCTAGATTTTAAAAAATTTATACAATTTTTTTCTTAATGTGCATTTCCATGAACTTTTTGAAGGGCCATGTATAAGAGATGTACTGTTGGGGCCGGCGCGGTGGCGCACCAGGTTAATCCTCCGCCTGTAGCACCAGCATCCCTTATGGGCACGGGGTTCTAGTCCCGGTTGCTCCTCTTCCAGTCCAGCTCTCTGCTGTGGCCCGGGAGTGCAGTGGAGGATGGCCCAAGTGCTTGGGCCCCTGTGTCTGCATGGGAGACCAGGAGAAGCACCTGGCTCCTGGCTTCGGATCGGCGTAGTTCTGGCTGTAGCGGCCATTTGAGGGTGAACCAAAGGAAGGAAGACCTTTCTCTCTGTCTGTCTCTCTCTCACTGTCTAACTCTATCTGTAAAATAAATAAAATTTAAAAAAAAAAAAGCACTTGAGAGTTGTGGACACAACTGACCTAAGTTTCAATCCTAGTTGTTTGACTTAGCAGCTGTGAAAACTTGGGCAAGTCAATTAGTCTCTCTCAGACTCAGTACCCAACTATAACATGAGAAGATACCAACTCTGTATTAGGGATTATAGGTACCTGGCACAGAATGAGATGTGAAATGGTAAACTGGGGGCTGGCGCTGTGGCCACAGCAGGTTAAAGCCCTGGCCTGAAGCACTGGCATCCCATATGGGTGCCGGTTCTAGTCCCAGCTGCTCCTCTTCCAGTCCAGCTCTCTGCTGTGGCCTGGGAAGGCAGTGGAGGATGGCCCAAGTGCTTGGACCCCTGCACTCACATTGGAGACCAGGAGGAAGCACCTGGCTCCTGGCTTCGGATCAGTGCAGCTCCAGCCATAGCGGCCATTTGGGGAGTGACCTTTCTCTCTGTCTCTCTCTCTCTCTCTCACTGCCTAACTCTATCTGTCATGTAAATTAAAAAAAAAAAAAGAGAGAGATGTACTGTTGACTTAGTTTCTCAAACATCAGATGCTGTGCCATTTTGCTTTCCACTGAAACTAAATGAAAAAGAGAGAAAGGAAAGAAATGGCTTAATGGGTATCATGTTTGATTTTGGGGCACTGGAAACAGAAGTGGTGCTTGTATAACTTTGTGAATGCTACTGAGTTGTTCACTTTTAAATGCTTAATTTCATGTTGTGTGAATTTCACTGTGATTAATTTTTAACTAAAAAATCTTTTAAAAAAAGATTTATTTATTCATTTGTTCAAAAGGCAGAGTTAGAGAGAGAGATCTTCCATCTGTAGGCTCACCCCTCAAATGGCTGCATTAGTCAGGGCTGGGCCAGGCCAAAGCCTGGAGCTTCTTCCGGGTCTCCATGTGGGTGCAGGGGCCCAGGCACTTGGGCCAGCTTCTGCTGCTTTCTCAGGCCACAGCAGAGAGCTGGATGGGAAGTGGAGCAGCCGGGACTTTAACCAGTGCCCATATGGGATGCCGGCACTGCAGGTGGAAACTTAACCTACTATGCCACAGCAGCAGGCCCTTAATTTAAAAAACTTGAAGGATGAATTTCTTCCTTAAATTATTCTTTAAAATATTATTTTAAAATACTAGCACTTAATCTCTGTCAAAATATCTGTCCTTTTTAATGTTTTATTTATTTATTTATTTTTATTTGACAGAGTTAGACAGTAAGAGAGAGACAGAGAGAAAGGTCTTCCTTCCGTCGGTTCACCCCCAAATGGCCACTACGGCTGGCACCGCGCTGATCCGAAGCCAGGAGCCACTTGCTTCCTCCTGGTCTCCCATGCGGGTGCAAGGGCATAAACACTTGGGCCATCCTCCACTGCCTTCCCAGGCCACAGCAGAGAGCTGGACTGGAAGAGGAGCAACTGGGACTAGAACCTGGCATCCATATGGGACGCTGGCGCCGCAGGTGGAGGATTAACCAAGTGAGCCATGGCACTGACCTCGTTTTATTTATTTATTTATTTATTTATTTACTTATTTTAAAAGGAGAGAGAGAGAGACAGAATGAGTGAAGGAGAGAGAAATATGCTATCTAGTGGTTTACTCCCCAAATGCCTGCAACAGTCAGAATTGGGCCAGGCCGAAGCCAGAAGTTTGGACTCCATCCAGGTCTCCCATGTGGGTAGCAGGGACCCAAGTACCTGAGCTATCACTGCTGCCACCCAGGGTGCACAGAAGCAGAAAACTGGCTCAGAAGTGGAACAGCTGGGACTCAAACCTAGTCCTCCAATACGGGATGCCAGTGACCCAAGCAGGCATCTTAACTACTGTGCCACAATCCTTGCACCAATATGTGTGTTCCAAATACAGGCTGCTCTGTATAAAACCGATCTTTTAAAATACCTTTAAAGAATCATAAAAATACCACTTTTTACTTACCTGCATTTTCAGACTTTAGCATTTTAATTTCTTCTGTTTTCAGCTTCAAATTTTCCTTAAGGACTGCATTTTCACAATTTAGTCTGAAAAAAAAGTACCTTCAAGTAATCAAAACATTAATGCTTCTTCGTTGAGTAATATTTTTATTTCATAAACTGAACATGTAAATGTAACTTCACCTATTTCTTTTTAAAGATTTATTTATTTGAAAGACAGAGCAACAAAGAGAGGGAAAGAGAGAGATCCTTCACCCACTGGTTTACTCCCCAGATGGCTGCACCAGCCAGGTCTGAGCCAGGCTGCAGCCAGGAGCCTGGGACTCCATCCATGTTTCCCACCTTGGTGGCAGGAGCCCCAGCACTTGGGTACCTTCTGCTGCCTTCTCAGTTGCATTAGCAGGGAGCTGGATCAAAAGTGGAGTAGGGTTTGAACTGGCGCTTGGATATGGGATGCCGGTGTCACAAGCAGTGGCTTAACCTGCTACACCACAATATAGGTCCTCCCCACTTCAAAATACTCTAGATTTATATGTACCACACACACACACACACACACACACACAGAAAAAAACACCAAATTTAAATGTACTCTTAACCCTTTTGGTTACTTAGTTATCATCAGAACCAGAAATATTTCTAAGGCATCCATTCTTCACACTCTTTCTCTTTCCTGAAGTTCTGGTTCAACTTAATAACCACATGAACACTAACCACGGGCTTAGGCCACCTTCCCTTGCACAGAATGTCAATGCTGGACTTTGGTTAACAGGGTGGATCAGTGCAGGTTCGTGGATTGTAACAAGTGGGCTCCCCTGGAGGGAGATGCCGACAGTGTGACAGACTGTGTGGTGTGGAGGGAGGGGTGACAGGGGCGATCTCTGTACCTTTCACTGTGAGTGTATAATGACTCTAAAAAAATAGTTAAGATCTTCAATAGGAGAAAGGAGACACACACAGTGTACAGCCATGCTCCTAGCAACACTGTTCAAATAGCCCAGGGGTAGAACTAACCCAAGGGTCCTCCAAGTGATGAACGGATAAACCAAATCCAGTACACCCACACGACAGAAGGTAGTCTAAGAAGGCAGAGAGGTCTGAAAAATGCCACGACACGGATGCACTCTGAAGACATGAAGTGAGTTAAGCCAATGGACAAGGACAAATGCAGGGGCTGGTGTTGTGGTACAGCAGGTTAAGCCACTGCTGGCCATGCTGACATCCTGTATCAGAGCGCTGGTTCCTGTCTTGGCTGCTCTGCTTCCGATCCAGCTTCCTGCTAATGAGCCTGGAAAAGCAGCAGCAGATCTCGGGTCTCTGCCACCCATATAGGAGCCAGATGGGTCCCTGGTCCTGGCTTCAGCTGGGCCCAGACCCAGCTGTTGTGGCCATTTGGGGAGTGAACCAGCAAGTAGAAGATCTCTTTCTCTCTCTGTCCCTCTGCCTTTCAAATAATTAAGATAAATCAAAAATTGGCTTAAGACTTACAGAGAGGAGTTTGGCAGCATCTAATAAATCTACTTATGTGTGTGTGCCCTTTGACCCGGCAATCCCACTTGCAAGAATTTTTCCCGAAAATACATCTCTAATAACAGTATAAAAACGTATATGTCAAGGTTATTTATTCCAGCACTGTTTATCACTGCAAAACACTGGAAACTATATATAGGACAGTGGTAGAATAAACTGTGGCACATCTATCCATAGAGTAATTTCCAGAAAACACTGTAAAGTGGAAAAAAATGCAGGCGTCTCTACTGGGTTGGGTGTTTTATACAGCATTGAAGCTGCCACTTGAGACACCTGGAACCCGTATCAGCGTGCATGATTCAAGTCTGGCCACTCCATTGTCCCTCCAGCCTCCTGATAACGCCAATCCTGGGAAGCAGCAGTGACGGCCCCAGTGCGTGGGTGCCTGCCACTCACCAGGGAGACCCTGGCTTCAGCCTGGCCCAGCCCTGACTGCTGCAGGGATTTGTAGAGCGAATTATTGGATGGAAGATCTCTCTTTGTCCCTCTGTCTTTCCCTGCTTTTCAAATAAAATGAAAATAAACAAGTATTTATAATAGGTTTTTGTGTAAGAGTAAATAAGAGCATATATATATATATACACACACACACACCCATTTATGCAAATAGAAACACAAGAGGGCTAAATCAAAAATGAGACTGGTTCCTAACAGTGACTGTGGGGAAGACAAGAGGGGAAAGAGGTTGGGAGGAGGTGAAGGGGGAGGGGGAGAACGACCCCCCTCTAAGTGCAGCTTTCAGAACAGCTCTGACTTTTGGAAGCATGTTACCATGTCATAAATAAATACACAATTACATAAGGAAGAGGAAAACAACCTAAAATAGAACACAAACAAGTGAACCTAACAAATACATAGAGAACCACACTGGAAAGGAAAATGAAGAAATTAACCAACTACCTTTTGACAGCATTTTGACTCTATACCGTCATGCTAAAGACAAAACTGTAAACAAATATTGGACACTGCTGATTTGGTTTGATTTTACAGTGGAATATATTGGCAATTCTTTTTAAGATTTATTTACATACATAAAGGCAGAGTTAGAGAGAGAGAGACAGAGAGAGAGAGTGTGTGTGTGTGAAAGATAGAGAGAGGTCTTCCATCCACTGGTTCACTTCCCAGATGGTTGCAACAGCCAGAGCTGAGCCAGCCCCATGCGAGTGCAGGGCCCAGCATTTGCACCATCCTCCACTGCTTTCCCAGGCCATTAGCAGGGAGCTGGATGGGAAGTGGAGCAGCCGAGACTCAAACCAAACTGGCACTCACATGGGATGCCAGTATCCCTGGCAGCACCTTCACCTGCTACGCCACAATGTATACACCTTCTGCATATTCTGCTATGAAACAAATAAGGAAACATTAGGTAATCAGAGTCAGATTTCCCATTACAAATGTGTTGGAATTGCAAACATGAAACAGAGTACAGCTACAGTGAACCCCGGGCGGTGGCCTGGAATTGGAGGCATGAATCCAGACACCAGCCTCTGACAGAAGGTGTGTAGGTAGATGGAAGATGGGGGTGGAGAGAGAGGTGGGTTTGTCCCATGTGTGTCAGTGGGTGTTTTCTGTGTGTGTGTGTGTGTGTGTGTTTTCCAGCTCTGTTCTCTGAGAAGACATTTCAGCCCTCAGATCTTGGTTTCTGAAAACCATTCTCCACTTCAAGGAAGCAGGACTCCTCGAAGAAATGCCTGGTATTGTAGAGACTGGTCGAGAATCCCTTCTTGTATCAGAAAGCAAGAAAAGCGTTCCAAGAGGGGCCAGTGCTGTGGCATAGAAGGTTACGCTGCTGTCTGCGGTGCCGGCATCCCATACAGGCGCTGGTTTGAGTATGGGCTGCTCCACTTCTGACCCAGCTCTCTGCTAATGCATCTGGGAAAGCAGCAGAGGACAGTCCAAGTGCTTGGGCCTCTGTCTCCATGTGGGAGACCTGGATGAAGCTCCTGGTTCCTGGCTTCAGCCTGGCCCAGCCCTGACCGTTGCAGCCATCTGGGGAGTGAACCAGTGGATTGAAGACCTGTCTCTATCGCTCTCTCTCTTTCTCTCTGTAACTCTGCCTTTCAAATAAACAAATCTTTAAAAAAAAGTGCTCAAAGAATAATAGGCATTAAAATTCCGTAAGAGTCAGCCTGAGAGGGTGCCCACTGACCACAAAGGGGAAATCTTGGGCAGCAAAGAGACAATGATATCCATAGCTTTTCACCCACTGAATAAACTGAGAATCCATTGATCCATATCGGTATAAACATGCCAACAGGGAGAGGTAGAAGCTCTTTCTGAGGACAGAATGTCAGAATGCGTGCAGAGGGAACAGAGAGTCACCATTTGGAAACCCAGCTAGTACTGCTTGTTTCAGGTTGAGTAATCAGAGGTACAAGTAGGTTTTCATGGTGTACTGACACAATCTCTAAGTAGCTATCCCGAGATCCAAGGGGGGAAATGGTGACTTTACAGTGAAGATGCCTGCTCAAAAAAAGTGATCAAGAGGGGCTGGCACTGTGCGCAGTGGTTAACACCCTGGCCTGAAGTGCCGGCATCCCATATGGGTGCTGGTTCTAGTCCCGGCTGCTTCTCTTCCAATCCAGCTCTCTGCTGTGGCCTGGGAAAGCAGTGGAAGATGGCCCAAGTCCTTGGGCCCCTGCATCCATGTGGGAGACCCGGAAGAAGCTCCTGGCTTCAGATCGGCCCAGCTCCAACCGTTGTGGCCATCTGGGGAGTGAACCAGTGGATGGAAGACCTCTCTCTCTCTCTCTGCACCTCTCCTCTCTGTGTAACTCTGACTTTCAAATAAATAAATGAATCTTTAAAACAAAAAGTGATCAAGATTCACATCCCAGGCAGGGGACAAATTAGCATCTCTTGCTTCCCGCTAGGATGCACATGTGCAGAAATGCAGGACTTGGATTTAATCAAGAGACACCGAACACAGCCTTCGTCGGGTTGTGGGGTATCAGACCTTCAACATAACTAGCCTGCATTCCTCAACAATGTCATTGTCAGGAAGGACTTCGGATTACAGGAGAATGAAATGCAGGCATGACAACCAAGTGGAATCTGCGATTCTGGATTGCATCCTGGAACTAGAAATTTTTTTTTCCTCTTGTGCTATAAAGGCAAATTTATATGCTATTAGGACAATGTATAAAATACACATATGGTATGTGGGTTAAATAATAGTATACAGATTAAATAATAGTACTGCATTGTGGTAGAGGCCTTTGTCCTTTAATTAGATCTGTTTCTAATAGACATGATTAAAGTTGTGGTGGAGGCCTTCCCAAGGTCAGAAGAGGGCAAAGGGAAGCCCCTGTCCTGGGAATGAAATGCAGCTGTTATCTGCCTGCCTATGAATGCTCCCACTGTAGCCCCTACCTGCTTCTATGTAACCACTTCAGGTTCTGCTTGTTAGTACAGAGCCATGATGTTAACCCTTGCCTGACAGTATGGCTCAGTGTGTGGGTGGAAAAAACCATCAGCAGCAACTACCAACGCGCACATGCAGAATTGTATCAATTCCTGTGGCTGTCAAGTAACATTAGGATATCCAATCAAATGTATACATGTAGGAAAACCTTTCTTGGTTAGGGACTCAGGATTTTGGATAAGAACTTCCCCTAGGGCCTTATGCTGGCATAAATTAAAAAAAAAAAAAAAGACTACTTCCTGTTAAAAGGCCTTGGCATCTTGTCTCTCTACATAAATCCAGCCACAGTATCAATGTAAACCTTGGTCTTTATAATTACACTATGTATGAAAGACATATCCTTTTAAAAAATACAAATAGTATTTAGAGTAAGGGGCATCACATATGAAACTTATTTTAAAATGGTTCTACATATGTCTGAAAATTACATATATCTATATCTACTTATCTAAAAGAAAGAAAAAAGGAAAATAATGATAAAACAAAATGTGATAAAGAATTAAAATTTAGGGAATCTCAGTGAAAAATAGAAATTCTTTGCATTGTTCTTGTAACTTCTGAAAGTCTTCAATTACTTTAACATGAAAAGTTAAGAAAAATAAATTTGAAATTAGGTAAAAAAGTATTTATAACTCCAGAAAAGAAATCAATTTCTAAATGATTTTATAGTAAGTACATAATTTAAAGTTATTAAATAAGCTCACACTAATAAAGTAAATGCTCAAAAGGTTTTGTTTGAAAAACCTAGCAATTCCAATGCTACAATAATTTGGAAAACATGGCTCTTTACACTGTACTTAAAAATACAATTTACATACATTTTTAAAAATTGTTATTTATTTGAAAGGCAGAGAAAAAAGAAAGAGAGGGGGACAGAGGGAGAGAGACAGAGAATCTTCCATTCACTGGTTCAATCCTCAAATACCAGCAATAACTGTAGTTGCTCTAGGTCAAAGCCAGGAGCCAGGAACCGGTCTGTGTCTCCCATGGGGGTGGCAGGGACTCGAGCACTTGAGCCATTACCCACTGCCTTCTGTTAAGGCAGGTAGAATCAGCCTGTGTGTGTAGGAACAGCTGAAGAAAATGAGAAGCTTTAAAGAAACTAACTTCATGTGCAATGACATGAGGAACCAGTCCTGGAAGCTGGGCCCCAGCCCCTTGTCTGCCTCCCTCAGCCCACGGTGTCCCGGCCTGCCCTGCATCAAAAGGAATTCACTGAATTGAGGGACCAGCACAGCTGG